CTTGTTTATTGTTTACTGCAATATAGGAAAATATAACAAACATGTCAGATAAAGAATTCAATGCACATAAAGAATCATTAGCGGATCATCGCTTAGAAAAGCCTAAAAGGTTGAATACTTTGAGTCAAGAATTTTGGATGGAAATATCATCACAACAGTATAATTTTGCTCGATTAGATATTGAAATTCCATATCTAAAGACTATAACGAAAGAACAATTATTAACTTTCTTCAAGGTATTTATAATTATTTAAAAAGAAAAAAAAATCATCTGTTATTAACGATTTCATAATTTATACTTGCAGGATCTTGTTTTTAATAAAAAACGAAGTAAATTTAGCGTTTATGTAATTTCTATGGCAGATGGAGGTGCAGGATTAGAAACAGAAAATAGCGAAGAGAATAAAATTGAATCTTCAAGTGATTTGATTACTACTCAGGTTACAAAAATTGATGATATTCTAACATTTAAAAGTACCCAACATTTATACCCACGATTTACACCTTGTGTTGATTTACCTAAAAAGGGTAATCGCTCTTCTAAATTATAAAAATTTTATGTAACATAGTTTTATTTTAATTACACATATATATATATATGTACCGTGAAAGACCGAAATTTGAAAGTGTCAAAATTCACATGGTCGCTTGGTGTATGTCCGAAATATTAATTTATAAGAATAAATCCAAATATTTGGTTCTTTCACCTATGTATTTGATATATGTTGACAAGCAATCATGTGAGTCTTCAAATTTTACAATTTCGGTCTTTCGCGATAATATATATACATAAATACTTAACATTTCAGAGATTAATGTTATATTTCATTGGTTAACACGTAAAGTTGATTGAAAAGTTTTGAGCCTTGATACATACAAAAAATAAATTTTTATTTTTTTCTTGTCAGTTTGACTGACAAAATAATTGTTTCAACATTATGCTCAAAATTTTTCAAATTCCAACCAACGTTAATAAAATTTCTGCACATATTTTCTAAAATAATCCCTTTTCTTTTTTTTTTTTTTATTTTAAATGATGTTAAACCTTGAAATAAATGTTTTTTCTAAAAGTTTGAAAAATAAATGAATTGATTGTAAATTTCTTCTCTTTTTCATTAGATTTTAAGTAGAAACTTACAATAGATTTATCCAGGTCAAACTGATCACGAATTCTTATCATACGTCAATGACACATTTTTACAATGTTAGACAATACGAATAATAATCGATTAATCGTTGTATTAAATATCGTTTGGTACGATTTTCTATGAACTTTTAAATCTCACCAATCAGTATCGTTTTCTTGGAAAGACTTACACCCCATTTCTGATCATATTTCTTCTTTTAAAGACTATAGATGGCGTAAAAGATGGGTGATGGTAAATTCGTAAATATTGTTTGCTCATCTGTAATTTGCTAACCATAGCTTCTTCCCTGACTAATTCTCTTTGGTTTCGCTGACCTCGAGTGTCCAGAGTCCTCCTTGAAGCACCTCGTATAACTTTAACGTCTGTAAAAGAGTGGTTCTACAGTTGTACGTGCATTAACGTAAGCAAAATATGTCAATTATTTTAATTTAAGATTTATCGCGTATTCTTTGTTGTACAATATATATGTAAGGAAAAAGGTTAAAAGATTTTCACACAGATTTCGGCCATCGTGATTTGCTGCGCAACCTTAACCTCAGACTTTCAATAATCTAAAACTTTTATAATACGTGCAACGTTATATTTCCATTATTAGTAAATGTTATCTTTATACTCCATTTTTTTCATAAATTGAGTAAGGAAGAATTAAAATCGTTAATATATGCAAGTTTCTTGAAACCTACTAATAATAATAACTTCAAAGTTACATATTACAGTTATACCAATCATTAAAGCGTCGTTTCTGACTTCTAACAACTCGTTTAAAAATGTCTCTACTTGTCTCTAGAATCATTTATTTTTTCTTTCAAAAAAATAATACTCAATTATAATAATATAAACACGTTAAATTGTATTTATATATATATGTATATAATATATATATATACATATATACGGATATATGTATATATGTATCCATATATACCTGTATACATATACACGTATATACACACACCATATATATATATATATATGAAAGAACAATTTTTCTATACTTCTTTTTCTCTCTCTCTCTTTCTCTCTCTCTCTTTATTGAAGTAAATAGAATTAAAATAAAATAGATTGATAAAAAAAATATTTCGTAAATTAAATTTATGTTTCGATATAATTGAAATGTATATCTTCGATTAATATTATTGTTATTGTTGTTTATTATTTCAGAAGGGTATTGTATGAGTCAAAAAATAGAAAAACCGATACTGTCTGGTCAGCGCATAAAGACCAGAAAAAGAGGTAAAATAAAGTAACATATATTTTTCATTTGAAACAAATAATATTTGCTATTGAATAATTTTTCTAGAAAAAAATAAAAAAAGAAAAAAAATATTATCCTACGTATAAATATTGAATGATTCTAATTGAAGCAAATATTATTTGATAACATTTTTAACTGATTACTAAATACTTATGAAATTAAAATAAAATTGTATCATTATTGTAAGATTTACAACATTTGTTTACATTAAACAGATGAAAGAGAAAAATATGATCCAACGGGTTTTCGAGATGCAATTTTACTTGGTTTGGAGAAAACTGGTAACGATTTAGAAGCTATTTCCAAGTATTTAGATTCAGCTGGCTCCAAGTTAGACTATCGTCGATACGGAGAGGCCTTATTTGACATCCTAATAGCTGGTGGCCTCCTCGTACCAGGGGGTTCTATTGCTCTAGATGGCGACAAGCCGGTTAAGACAACTGCTTGTGTTTTCGAACAAGCAGAAGATATGGAATCAATGCGAAATTTTGAACAGGTAATAACATATAATGTGTTACAATATTTTTTACATATAATATACAGAACAAAATATCATACATTGTCGTTGTCACATAAATAGGTCTTTATCAAGCTCATGCGGCGTTACAAGTACTTGGAAAAAATGTTTGAGGAAGAAATGAAAAAAGTACTAGTTTTTATGAAAGGATTTTCACCTAAAAACAGAATCAAGTTAGCAAGAATGACAGCATTATGGATCTCTAATGGATCTGTACCACCCATTGTTCTTTCTGTTCTTATTAATGAACACTTGGTTAAGGACAATTTAGCATTAGACTTTTTACTAGAAGTCTTTGTGACTTGGAAACAAGAAAAGGGTCTATCTAGTTTAATGACTGCGCTCAAGAAAGGTGGAATTGAAGGAAGGTATAGTAAAATTTGATTGACTATCGTTTTTATCAAGAATATTCATTATGTTTACTTTAATATACTTTTAAGTGAAAAGAAAATGTAATCATTATAAACTAAACGATATCTCTCTTTAACTTAATTAAAATATCTAATATTATATTTCAATAAATAGGTTAATGGAATTCGTGCCACCAAATAAACGAACAGAAGAATACTTTAGATCTGTTTTCGAAGCTGTTGGTTTAGCTGATATAGTAAAACTCCATAAAGCTCAGGCAAGTCAAGAAGCAAAAAGGGATTTGCAACAATCACTTATAGATGATTTAGGTAACAAAAGACCTATGAAGGATATAATATTAGATGTCAAAGAAATGGCACAAAAAAGTGGTATTCCTGAGCATGAAGTTATTGGATTGGTAATTGTGATATTTGATATTTTAATTTTGTTTTATATTTTCTTGAATTTTTATATATATAGATATTTTTGATTATATTAAATGTTTTCAGATTTGGAGCGTTGTAATGACTCAGGCAGAATGGAATAAAAAGGAAGAACTGGTAGCTGAACAAGCAGTAAAACATTTGAAAATTTATACTCCATTGTTTGATGCTTTTACGTGCACTGCCAAATCTGAGCTTGCTCTTCTTCTTAAAGTTCAAGAGTTCTGTTACGAGAACATGTGCTTTATGAAAGTCTTCCAGAAGATCGTTTTACTCTTTTACAAAAGTATATTTATATAAAAGAATAATATTATTTCTTCTAATAATTTTTCTTATACGTATTTAAAATTTATTTATTAAAAAATTGTTTTTATTTATATTTCAGCTGACGTAATATCAGAAGAAGTAATTCTGAAGTGGTACAAGGAGGGACACTCTGTTAAAGGAAAAATGCTCTTTTTGGACCAAATGAAAAAATTTGTAGAGTGGTTACAAAATGCCGAAGAAGAATCAGAATCAGGAGAAGAGGATTAAATTACAGATGTAAGTATAATCAATAATTTGTAATTATTTCAGGAATAATCAAAGATTTCTCATATTTGAGATTGATTTATTTGATTTCAGAAAAAAATATAAACATCATTGCCAATAAGTAAATTGCATTCTGTCCAAAATAATTGAGACATTTTAAAAAAAATGATGAAATTATTAATACTGCATGAAGTATTGAAAGGACGAACAACAATAGGGGAAATCAGACACACTACAGATTAGACAGATGCAAAAAAAAGAAAAAAGATGTTTAAATTGTTAAAAAAAAAAATAAGAAGAAAAAAAAGAAAATAACAATAATAATAATAATATCGACTACTAATTAGCGTGAAAGATGACAATTGTAAATTTACAATGTGTCTGAATTGTATTACTTTAAGAAAAAATATTTTGTGTTACATTTTTATAACTCCACCACAAAATATATACGGAATAACAAAGAAATTATGAAAAAAAAAATCTTTATCCCTGTGTACGTACAATTTTCGGAATCCCATCTTTCTCTATTTGTATGATAATATTGTATTAGTTTATAGAAAATATACTATCAGGTGGTGTGTTTAAGACTTGAAGTTTTAGTGAATCCTATTTTCCTACAAAATGTAGAGTTGACAGATTAGTGACATGATCAAATTATTTATAACATTTAATTTTATTATTTTATATACAAATAAACAAAAGATCTATAAAATATCAATTCTGTTGTATTTTTCGACTTTATATTTTTCTTAGATTCTTACATTTTATAATTATAACTTAAATTATAACAATATAATAATTTTTACAAATTTTAATTGTAAATACTCGTCAATGCAACTGGTTGCTTTCGTATTAATGTTTTGCCGTCCATAAACGGTACCAATGGTTCCGGAATTTTAATACGCCCATGTTCGGTTTGATGAGTTTCACATAATGCAATCATCATACGAGGTATTGCACAAGCTGTACCATTTAATGTATGAACATGAAGAAGTTCACCATTAGGTGATTGATATTTTATATTCAATCTGCGCGACTGATAATCTGTACAATTACTGCAGCTTGACAATTCACCAAATAATTTCCTTCCAGGCATCCAACCATCCATATCTACTTTTCTATTTGAAAAAGAAACATACAAAGTTTTATTGAATTCATCAATTTTTATGTGATTGAAAAAGTTGAATTTTGTTCATTTCTAAATAAAAATTGAAACTACCTATAAGCAGGAGCACCTAATTCATGAGCCGGCATATCAAGTATTTTAAAATGTAATCCTAAAGAAGAAAATAAATCTTCCTGTATATCTAGTAAATATTGAAATACTTCTGAAGATTTGTTTTGTTCGGAGCAAACAAACATTTCAACTTTAGTAAATTGATGAACCCTGAATAAACGAAGAAAGTCAAAATTCATAACTGATTCTCTTAATCGATTGCAAAAGTATGCAAAGTTGTGTTTTACCTGTAAATTCCTTTTTCATTTGTTGTGCTTGATATTTCAGCTCTGTAGCATCTGCTAATAGCTGTCATTTTTAATGGTAAATCTTTATAAGAAAATTTCGAATTGATCAATTTGGCAGCTAATGACATTTCAGCTGTTCCCGATAAACTATAATCATCTCCATAATTCTTACTCAAATTATATACAAGTGTTCTTGGACCATCCACTAATAAGCCACATCTTTTTATAATTTCAGTTGGTATGATGTCCGGTACAGATACAAGTTGAAATCCATGTTTAATTAATTTTTTTAATGTATACCGTATAAGAGCATTTTCCAATTCAGCCAATTCACCTTGAAATACATAACATCGACTTCCCATTATAGGTCCTAATCCTTTAGATCTCATAAGTTTTAACTTTTTAGCTAAGTAAGAAAAATCTTTGGGCTCGACATTATATTCACGTTTAGATCCGCATACTTTCAATACGTGTGGTTTATCTCCATATTCAAATACAGATGAATATGTATCGTTTGGTATTTTACTTAATTCATTTAAAAACATTTCACGTTTTTCTATTTGCTTGAATAGTTCAAGGACCTTGTCTATGTCACCAACTCCTTTTCGTTTTTTTACATTATTAGCAATGTAATCACGATTTAAAGGATCGCATAAAAATTTGACATTATATTCTGGTTCTGGCATACATAATTTTGTAAGTTCAAAATTCTTTTTTGTTAACTTTTGATACTGTAAGAAAATCGTTCATTTTTTAAGATATGAGTTTTTTAAAATACAAGAAAGTAATTTTAAAATGAGATGTGCATATGTACTCTAAATAACAATATATGTATATTGTGTGTGTGTTATACTTTAATATTATTTATAACATATTATCTATAAATTAATATTAATTAAATTAAATTAATAAATATAAATAAAATTAAATATTATCTATAAAATATTAATATAATATTAATATAAAAAATAATATATATATATATATATGATATTAAATACACACACAATACAAAATTACTTACAATTAATTTTAAATTATGTGAAATTAAAAGGATTATAAAATACACACCTGCGTATAGAATCTTCTAATTTCAATAAAAAATTGACGTAAATTATTTTTAAAATTCATTTTGTCCTTTCAATAATTTAAAATAATATAATAATACTATGCATTCATAAACACTGTGAATAGATAACCTATATAATAATTTTCTATTTTAGATGGATCTTGTACTTAATTATAATAAGTTTATTATCAATCAAATATATATTAATAGAATTCTCGCTTATATATGAATAAAAGTATTAAATAATTGTTCTTGCATCAATTTACACATCATATCTAAAAATCTCTAATAATATATATTAATTAATAGATAATAAACAATATATGATTCATTTATATATATATATATATAAAATATTTATTTATAATTATTAAATTTTATTCATATATAATATCATAAAATTAATATAAATAATATTCAAAAACTTATTTCCAACTTTAAACTTCTAATTAAGATAACGTCGAGATTACACTCAGGTATGACGGCGCACTTATGCATGTATAAAAGAAATACATCACGTGTGAAAATATATTTTAAATCATTTCTATTAGAATTATGCAATATAATCTTATAAAAAATATCTAATGAAATACTGTTGTATTTTAAAACTGAGCATATGTTATAATATGTAAGAATTTCTTTTTCTAATGTTAACTTGTTTATAAAATTGATGATCTAACCAAATTTGTAAATATCGAATTGTTTACTTTATCAAAATTACCGTTAATATTTTGAAAATATAAACGAGAACAGAGTACGTTTCTAGTCATTTTGATTTTCTAATTGTGACCTAATGTAAGTATATTAATATTTTATTATTTATAAGTTTACATTTTACACATAAATTGTTAATTTATTAAACACATTTAATTGTTATATTTATAAATATTATATGTTTTGTATTATATATAATGCATACTTTTGTGTGACCTGTTTTTCTAGTTTCGTTTCATTCAAATAAAACCATGGCTACTAGAACAATATTGAAAAATTGGAACAAATTTTATGAAATTTTCTCTCATCGTTTAAGTGGATCACATGGTAGAGGAATTACTTTAACATTTCTTGGAGCAGGTGTTACAACTGGAATTGTATTATACAATGTATCTAATAGTAAAGTTATCGCAGCGCAAACAACATTAAATATAAAAAATTTTATGGCACAACCTATTACTTCAATTGATAAACTAAAACAAAATCGAGATGATATGAAAACAAAGATGGAACTTTTAATTTTAAAAATACAAGCTGATTTTTGCAAACAATTAGAATCTTTAGAAGAAAATAGTTCCCATTTTAAAGTAGATCGTTGGACCAGAGCAGAAGGAGGTGGTGGTATCACTTGTGTTTTGCAAGATGGAACTGTATTTGAGAAGGCTGGTGTTAATATTTCAGTGGTATCTGGTTTCTTACCGCCAGGAGCAATACAACAAATGAAAGCAAGAGGAAAACAAATGGATGAAGGATCCTTACCTTTTTTTGCAGCTGGCGTAAGCGCTGTTATTCATCCACGTAATCCCATGGTTCCTACTATACATTTTAATTATCGATATTTTGAAATTCAAAATAATGATGGTTCTACTCAGTGGTGGTTTGGAGGTGGAACAGATCTTACACCTTATTATTTGGATGAGAACGACGCTAAACATTTTCATGGAACTTTAAAAAAAGCTTGCGACAAGCATAATCCATCATATTATGAAAAGTTCAAAAAATGGTGCGATGATTATTTTTATATTTATCACAGAGGAGAACGTCGTGGTATAGGAGGAATATTTTTTGATGATTTGGACACACCAAGTCAGAATGAAGCATATCTTTTTGTAAAATCATGTGCGGAAGCAGTTATACCATCTTATATCCCACTGATTAAAAAGCATAAAAATGATGGCTATGGCTATGCCGAAAGACAATGGCAATTGTTACGCAGAGGAAGATACGTGGAATTTAATTTGATATATGATCGTGGTACAAAATTTGGATTGTATACTCCTGGTGCTCGATATGAAAGCATTTTAATGTCTTTACCCTTGAGTGCTAAATGGGAATACATGCATGAACCTAAACCAAATTCGAAAGAAGCAAAACTTACGGAAGTACTTAAAAATCCAAGAGATTGGTTAAATTCAACATAAAATTATTTATTGTTAAAAGTTAATTTTATAAATTAATTTGATAGAAAATCTTAATAATATAAATAATATATATATTTTTAATATCATATACATACATGCATATGTATATAATATTATGCAATAATTATTTTGTTAATAATTACCATCTTGTAAAATATATAACTGGTAATATTTTTAAAGTATTTTATATTTGTAAATATATAAAATAACAAAAGTTATAAACAAAAAATTAATATAAAAATAAATGTATTATAACACATATAATTTTGTTTTTATTATTAAGATTATTACTCAATAAACACATGAAATAAAAAATAAAAACTCTGTCTTCGTTAAAAACAAAATATTATATATTATACATAATAGTAAAATTATTTTAATTTTGAAGACAGCCTTTTTAATTATGTACACACGTTTATGAAATAAATACATTTTATATAAAATAATGCGTATACAAATAATGCAACAGCTTTGGCACATTTACATAGTAATGGTAATCAAGAATGAAGTGTTTATATAATAAGCTGTTATCTTTTATCTTAAATTATGTAAAAAATATAAAAAGCAAAATATTCTGTAATTACTTTTTATATAATTAAAAATGAAAAGACAATAATAAATATGCTGTTCACAATATACACATAAAAATTCTTATAACATTATACACTTGTTTCTTTTTTTACTATAGATAAATGATTTACTGAAGCATCTACATACAAATCAGTTGCTATATGTTCTTGTACATTTTCAAAAATCGTGTTAGTTGGTATATTTTCTGTTTCATTTACAGATTCAAAATTAGGTGTCATCGTACATAAATTTTCAGAAGAAGCAATATCTGTTAGACAATAAAAATTGGATTCAATATTTTTTGTTAAATCGTATGTACTATTATTTTGTTCTAAATTTGATAAATGCAATTCTTGAAGTAAATGGAAGTCACATTCATCACTACAATTGGAAGTATCAATCATATTAACTACATCATTAGAAACTGATGGTTCTACATTTACTAACGCAAATGCATTATCACTGATAAAACTATTTATTTCAGTCAAAGATTGTTCTGATTTACTATTTAATTTTTTTGATTCAGGAACTATATCGAAGAGATTACAACTACTTGTATTTGTTAAATTTGTGAAAGATGATTTAGAATATTCACAATTCTTAGTTGTAATATCATTTAATGAACTGCGATGATTCTTTTTAAATAGTTTCGTATGATTTAATGGAAGATTATGCATACTCATAGACTGAAATAACCACCTCGTACTTGGCTTAGTTTTTACATCTAGAATACTATCATTCATTTTGGAACATCTTTCTCCTTCTAGCATTTCTGCTGTTTCACAGATATCTGGTAAATTCTGATCGCTTCTTTCGCTTGTCATTTGTGTGGTAGAATCTATCTCAGAACTATATTCTAAACTACATTGTTGTGAAACACTCTTTAAGTATCTCTCTTCGTCAGTTTTCAACTCTGGATCAGATTCATGAACAGTTACAGATTTAGAATATAATCTTTGACACGAATTTCTTCTTGGAGAATCCGGTAATGCATTATTTCTTGTAAATTCTTCCTGCATTGTACAATCATTGTTTATCTTTTTTACATTTCGTACAAGATTATCTTGTCCAATGACAAAACGCATTGGAACACTTCTTTCTTCAGAGATACTACCACCACTATCAGAGAGAATATTCACGTTTTTTGTATCACTAATTGCTTTCAATTCTACATGTATATTTGTATTATTTACTTTAGCACTACTACTTAAAATACTTCGTTCAATATTACTTTCCACTTTCACAGCAGGTCGCGGTATAGAAATGCAACTACCACCATCGCTTGTGCCACCGCCATCGCCTTGCTTTCTAGGACCAAGATTATTGTGTTTTGTATGTCGGCGTTGTTTTTTAAAAAATTTCCTTGCCACTCCACTTTGGTGTGGATTGTAAAACATTTCAACACATGTTGCTCCCTGTTCTGTATAGGTAGTTACAGAGTTGTTCGATCGATATTGTTGACGATGTAATACCAATAAATTTATATTGGGTACCTTCTTTGCTGCAATAGTTGCAGGATCTTGATTACTTACAAGATCTGTAATTTTTGAAGTATTACATGTATGAGATCTGTTTGCAGTCTGTCTTGAAGAGCTCACAGAGTTTGTATCAGAAGTCACTTGTGTAGCTTGGGAATTAGAAAAAGGCGCTACGATATTCTGTACTAATGGTTGCTGAGTTGGAATAACAGGATTTGCATCTGATACACTTCGTGTTCTACAACAACGATTTTTTTTCCTTTTAAGCCAACAACGCATTTTCAACCATTGTGATCGTACATCGTTACGTGCAATTCCATAAAACAAAAATACAAATATACCAAGTGAACTAGTGGAAATTGCATAAACAATAGCAAATATAATTTCTACAAAAGGAATATAAGAGTTGAAAGGTTTTCTAGTTACTGCAGCAGCACTAAACCAAGATATTAAATATAATATTAAAGTTAATGTCAGGCCATTTAATTGTGCAATTTGTGAATGTTCCGAGTCTTCAATATCCGAGGAAATTGTTTGCGTACTGTGTGCGCTATTTCTATCGACTGGACTTATATTTGGCTCAAGTAACTCTAAATCCATATTTTCTGTAGCCTGAGTACTCTCAGATAATTGAGCATTTGTATCTACATTTCGAATAGCACATCTAATTAACAAGTGTAAAATGATTATATAGGCAATTAAAATTCCAGCAGGTATAAATAATGCAGCAAGTGCAGCTCCATTTGTAAGAAAGCAATATGAATATCCAGCATATTCCCGTAGATTAATTGCACCAGATATACCACAGATTATTAAAGCTATACCCCAGCCAACCAAATAAAGACCTAATAGTGGTTTAGGTATAGGTTGATCTGGTGGCTCATCATCCGATATAATGTCAATGTCAGATTTTGACAATTTTTTATACATATTACTGTGGATGAAGCATAATTAATTTTTATTCTTTAAAATATAAATAACCAATTAAAAAATGTTTCAATCAAGTATTCTCACCTAGCAGATGTTGCCATCCATAGCAGACAACTTAGTGATAGATAGTGTAAAACAAGACCAATGCTTTGACAAATTTGAATATTTTCAGTCTGTTGAATACCAATGCTATATAGAAATGATAATAATGCCATAGCAAACCAAGTGTTAATAACACAGTGTTTTACTTTCTTTGGCATATTAATAGAAGAATAGCATACAATATATGTCACTGTAGTAACTAGTAAACATATTATTGTAATGAAAGTCCCAATATATATGGCAGGATTCGAGTATTTAAATTTGGGTCCATTTATACTGAAAACATCTGTTGTTAAAATTTGATATATATAACAGTAAAATATATAATAAAGCTAATAAATACCTAAAACCGTCCTGACTAAGATATGAAACATCTTGTAAAAGTCCATAATAACCTAATCTATTACATTGGAATACTATTAAATTATTGAATAAATTTGATAATTGACATCCATCACTAATCCATCCACCAGATTCATTCAATGTCTCGTCCCAAACTACAGGTTTTGGTTTTTTACCAACATAATGATGTAAAGGAGCTCTTAACATAATATAAATTGGATCAGATAAATTCTTTAATGTTAATCCGACTGAAAATAATGATAAGATATAAATTATTGATCAAGAAAGTATATAATTTAAATATTAAGAATAATTATATTTCAAATAAATATTCTATTTGCTTACTCAATTTACTGCCGATTACAGAAGTCGAAATGTCCATATTATCAATATTTACAATTTTAGGAAACAATCTATTATCATTGTACATTGAAATCATAAGTTTATGAGATATTATGGTATCTTGTACATTTTGTAATAATGTTGCTGGTAATTGAATTGAAGCTTCAATTATTTTGTCTTTTGTATTGACAGGAATTGTTTTGTTATTTGTTGTACAATGTAATGATCGTTTATCTAACTCATTAGTTGGATTAAGATTAGTATACCAAGTACACATTAATCCAGTAAAACTATCCCGTTTAACTCTAAATTCTTCCAAAGCCATATTCTTTTTATGCATTTGTATTGTTGGAGTGAATTCCGTAATCGTTTCTGTAGCTTTAATTAATCTTGAGCATGATTTATAATTAATTTCGGCAGTTCTTAACATCTCTTTCGGTAAATTTAATAATGCTTCAACAACGTTAATAAGCATATTACCCAGTTCTTTCTCATCATTTAAAAAGCTTAAATAATTTTCTATTGTTAATGTAATAAAATTAATTTCTATAGGATCAGTCAATTTAACACCTTCACTGGTGTAATTTTTAAAACGTTTAGCTGTCTCTAATAAGTTGCCTAACGTAAGAGATAGATTTACTTTAGAAAATTGTTCCAAAACTTTGGTAGTGTGTGATACAAATGGACACATGTCTGTGTTTAAGTTTTCCCAAAATCCAGTTGCATTGCAATGATATGTTGCTCTCAAAGATACTTGCATTAAATTCGATAAGAGATTACCTTCACAAGGCAATTCTGCTTTCCACCCTACTACTGTTCTAGGCCATGTATACATTCCTTTATTATTTCTAGTAACTGTAATAAAGATTTACTATTAATATTTTACATGTGATATAAATGAAGAAAATAAAATATATATTTAATACCTGCTAAAGGACAATAACGAGTTTGTTCAGATATAACTATTACGCTAATTTCTTTAGATCTATTTCCATTCATAGAAGTTAAAAAACAATTCCATTGTCCATTGTGTTCATCCTTTACTGGAATAATACTAAGAGAACTAAATAAAAAGAAAGTAAAAATTATATAATAATTTGGAAATAATACAAATTGTGTATAAAAATAAAATCTGTTAAATAACATTACCTGTCAACAATACCACTGTCAGAAAGATATCTATTTTCGATCTTAATATTAGGCAAACTACTTTGTGGGTCTTTGTATATATCAAGATCAAAAATTTCAGTAGTTGTATTAGGATACCATAACCAATTTAATCTTGCATTTTTATCATCTATAATGCTGGGTGCTCTACACTTTAAAGTTATCGAATCACCAGCAAATACTACTTGGTTTTGAATTGGTCGTAATTCAACAGACGGCGATGTCCATTGACAATGAAAATTTTCTGATAATCTAAACTTTTTAATAAGCTGCCCTTTGATATTTATCGGTGATGCACATTTAGCAGGTGGACTAAAATAATAAATACAGATTAAAATTAATAAAGATGGAAAAAATAATATGATACACATATCGTTATATATTTAATTTTATATGAAACTTTACGTTAATCTGATAGAGGTATTGTGAAGCCAATAACGAAACCAATAAAGTTCACAGTCACATTTCCATGGATTATTGGATAGGTCTCTGTAATTGAAAAACAATTCTATGAAATTAGGAAAATAAATCTTTAAATGACCAATATATAAAACTTTTCTTTTACTTACAATTGTTTCAGTAACTTTAATCTATGAAATGTGCCTTCTTTCAAAGTTGTTAGACTATTTCCACTTAATTTTCTGAAACATTATATTGTCTAGCAACATACTTATAGTAGTACACGCATGCACTCATGTATTCGTAGATATGTGATTGCATACTAAATAGAATTATAAAATATAATTCATATAATAGTGCTTATAGCAGAAGCAACATAAGTAAAGTGATGATATATGAGAAAAAACAATGCAAAATCCCACTTACAAGCGATCTAAATTCAGCAAATTATTAAATAAAGATGGCATCACCGTATTTATTTGATTTCCCGATAAATCGCTGGTAAAAAAGAAAAGAAAAAATAAGTAAATAAAATATAAGACAAAGAAAGCGCGCTTATGAGGATATCTTTTCATCTATACTTAACTTACAGTCTTCTTAAATTAGACAATTGTTTAAAGGCATAGGTATCTATCGTAGAAATTTGATTTTTACTCAAATCCCTAAAAAAAAAAGATAAATAAATATAAAAAATTTTGGATTCAAGTTGATACTAAATACATGATAATCTAATAACATTCTCTTACAATTTTTCTAAATTTTCCAAGCCGTTAAAACAATCCTCATCTATGGAAGAAATTTTATTCTCAGATAAATCCAAACGTTTCAGATTTGTTAAATTCTTAAAAATATTAGCCTCTACACTTAGAATTTCATTTTTACATAGATCCCTGTAAAAAAAAAGTATTTTATAAATAAATTGTGTTTTTAAATACATTTCAACATTTTATTTAACTATTTAATATTTGAAGTGATATTTACAATTGTACTAATTCTACACTGACTTCATCGATATTGATTTCTTTAATTTCTCGTATATGTCCTTCACACTTAACACGTAACCCTTCTGCTTGTGCACCAATAAGTTTGCACATGCATTGTTCTGGACAGGGATGACTTATAATCCCACTTATTTGGACCAAAATTAAAAGAAAAAAGACACCTTTCATGTTTGTCAAAAGTTAGCCTTTTTCTGTATAACAAAATTTTTAGATTAATTAACACTTAAAATAAAGATTAATACAAAGAAAATATACATAAAAATATATAATCCTCGTGTTATCTTCATTTATAATGTTCATTGGTATTTAATAACAATAAAGAAGAAAATAAAACAATATACAAATGTATACATATCATGTAAAATAAAAATAAATATGTTTATCGTATTTATAATTTATTTGTACACATTTACAAGAACTTTATGGTTCCATGAAACATTAAAAAGAAATAAAATAATATTGAAATAAATAAATAAGATAATAGAAAAAAAAAGTGTATCACTTACGGCATTAAGAGCACTTACGGCACTTAGGCCAACAATTCAATCGTGCTTTTTACATTGTGTCCACATTTCTTTCTTCCTTCATTTTGAAAAACAATTTTTGTAGTTATTATTTAAAATACATACAATAAAAACGAGTAAACAGTATTTCAATAATTATAATTAATCTTTCGTACACAAATGTCATACGCCAAACTACTCTACTCAACTGAACCTCAAATTCTTAAACTCTAAAGTCATTGGATGCTTTCCAAATAACACTATTGTATCTTGATGTGTTATAACATTCTCATAGCTGATTGGTTAAATTTAAAATGAACTTTTTTACTATTTTGTAGGGAACTATAATTTTCAATGTTTGACAAGGTGATATTCATTATTATTACAATATTATTATTATTATTGTTATGATTATTTTGTTCGAAAAAAAGAAAAGAATCAAAACTAACATAAGTGAAGAAATAGACATTTTTTATTTTGTGACCCAAGTGTTGTCTAAACCAATATTATTAACTTTTTAATAGAAAATGTCCGCTTATTTATTTTATACGTTAATTTATTGTTTAATATCTGGTTGCATTATTTATCCACCAGTGGAATTTGTTTCTGCTGGTTTAACAATAAAATCATTATTTGCAAGTTGGTTGGGTAGTGAAACTGAATCTTTTATAAATTATCATATTAAGAGAAGTGTTTTTACATTATTCATACATTCATTATTGCCATTTGGTAAAATTAATTAATTTTTAAATAATACAAAAATATATTAAACAAATCAGATTAAAATCTATAGTACAAGATTAATTTTTTTTTAGGATATATTTTAGGTTTGATATTATTTAATCATGTTGATGCAAACAAAATACAATTGTTCTATCAAAATCCTCTATGGTTAACTGTTGTCATTGCTACTATAGTAGGACCGGCATATGTTTTGTATAAAATTTTTAAATGGTCTAAGAATGATTGGAAGATGCATCCGATAGTACAAAACCTTTTAATTTATACTGATAATTATGCCAATTGGAAGGCTGTTGCATCTGAAATTGATATAGAATACAGAAGGTTCATAATTTGATACAATCATCTGTATAAATTCATATAAATTTAATGGATTCATTGACAATAATAAATGAACTTATTTCAGAATAGATAAAATCATAATTGATACAAATAGCATCACTAGAGTTGTTGTAACAGATAATTGGATAATTAAAATAACTTCTTATAAACTGTACATTGCACAACACAACGATACTGCTTTAATAATAAGCAGAAGTGATTCTCATGCACTGTCTCCTTCATTTAGGGGCGAAATCCAGTTTATTAATATAGAGGTATCATTTATTTATTCATTTAAATATATATTATTGTTTTTTGAATAAAAAAAAAAAAAATGATAATCTAGGTAAAACCTACCAGAGAAGGAGCAGAATATTTTGATATAAGAATAAGTACATTTGCCTTCAAAGATTTGCAAGATAAAGTACAACAGCAAATTGTCATTTTAAAAGATGTTCCTTTTCATAGAACACTGTTGGATAGATTTATTGATGTCTTTAAAGAACAAGCAGCAGAAAATCCTATTTATGAAACTGCAATGGTAATAAATATTTCAATATTTAATGATTCATCCTATTTATTACTATATTTTATAGGAATTAGAGAATTGTATGGGTTGTATGCAAGTAAAATCTAATGTTAAGTTAAATAAACATTGTGGAAATATTACTGAAGGACCAAGTAATGATGAATGTACAACTTGTCATTGTCGGCCAATGTGGTGTATTGAATGTATGGCAAAATGGTTTGTTCTTTCGAGTTATTTCATAAAGTACTGATTTTTTTATTTTTGTTATAACCAAATTAACTTTTAATTTCCAAACATTTTTGTTGAACATAGGTTTGCATCCAGGCAAAATGAAAATACACCAGAAATATGGTTGTCTTCCAAATGTACTTGCCCTGCATGCAGGGCAAAATTTTGTATCTTGGATGTATGTCCTGTACGAAATATTGACACATAAATTATAATCATAAAAATATATTAGAACAATTCTATATTCTTTCATAAACAGATATATTTTAAAATTTATAATTTTATATGATAAAGATACATTTCTTAATTAAAAAAGTAAATAATTGAGATATGTGGGTATACATGCGATTTTGAAATTTGGATTAAGAAAAATCGAAATAAAACTCTTATGGTACAATATAAATTCTGATAGTGCATGTGCCATAATAAGCAACGAAAGTTATTTTTAGTTATTTGATTGCATGCTCCAAATTTAGCTAATCGCATACATCTTATAATATCTACATACACATATGGTGCGTAATTGATTTAATTCTACAAGTCAAATTCTACAAAACAATTTTAAACGATTGATCAATAAACAAAAATGATTTATCTGAAAATAAATAAATGAATAATTAACATTTTATCAAAAATTGGTGAATAAATACCTATTTTAAATTATTAAAATGTTTTGTGAAAAAGCAAACAAAAATTAATAATCTTCAATCGTATAAAATTTTTCAAAATAAAATGATCCATCTAATGCAATTTTATATAATTATATAAAGATTAACTTCTAATGCTTTTAGAAAATTTATTTTTAAAAGTACGAATTTTATTAACATAACATTAATGTATAACTGAAATGGAAAGATATCGACGACAATTGATCCAGGAACCTAACTCATATTTTTTACATTTAGCTAAATAAATCTACCATGGTTCTCATCCGTGGTTTTTATATATAACTGGAATCCCTTATCACTAGTCTGATGCGATATTGTAGGTCAAAGGATTAATAGAATATATGTCCTGTATATATAAAAGCTAATTTTTTGAATGAAAATCAATTATTATGTGATGTTTTTGTTTGTTTTTATATAATATACAATAAAAAGATTTTGTATTCCTTATTAACAAATATAACATCAAATTAGACAAAAATTCTGTATAATAATAATACAATTATTTTATTTAAATTCAATTAAAAAATAGATCTAACTAGATGTTAACAAATAATACTTAAATACTTAAAAGAATAATTACATTAAACATATTTATGTTACCATTAATCTTGGCGCAATGTTCATAGACATTAATTCTTGGAAAAGTAACTTAGCCGCATATGGTAATCTAACTTGTGAAATCTGCGTTTTGTTTTTACAACCTTTACATTCGAACGTATTATTACGTAAGACAGCTATAGCAATTAATCCACAGAAATTGCATATATGAATTCTATATGGATCAGAAACTTCGAATAAACGTTCCCTTAAAAATTGAGCGGCGCCATGTGAAATTTGGCAATCGCGTTCCATTTCACCAAAACGTAACCCACCATCTCTGTTAAGTAAATAAAAAAAACATTATTATATACTTTTCTACTATAAAATATAATAAACATTTTTTCTTATAAAATAATATCAAAAATAATTTCATAATTAAATTTACTAACCTTGCTCTACCTTCCATTGGTTGTCGAACTAAAATCTGTACAGGTCCTCTTGCTCTACTATGAATTTTATCATCTACCATATGCTTTAAACGCTGATAGTAAGTCGGTCCTAAGAAAACTTGAGCATTAATTTTACGTCCTGTATGTCCATTATACATAACTTCGTTGCCTCTTAATTGATATCCATATTCTTGTAAAAGCGTCGAAATTTTTTGTACGTTTACAGCATCGTTAAACGGAGTAGCATCACCAATTTCACCTATATAATTTCAATAAAAAATATAAATTATATAAAATAGTGTTTCTATAAAAAAAGATATATTTTAATTTTTTTTATAATCCTTTATTATAATGCATACCTTTATTTGCTGAAACTTTTCCTTGAATACACTCGATCAAGTGACCAATGGTCATACGAGACGGAATAGCATGAGGATTAATAATTATATCAGGTGTAAGCCCTTCGCATGAAAATGGCATATCTTCTTGTCTGTATTGAATACCACAAGTACCTTTTTGTCCGTGACGTGAAGCAAATTTATCACCAATTTGTGGTATGCGTACGCTACGAACTCTGATCTTACAAAATTTATATCCCTCGCTATTTAGTGTTAACATAACTTGATCTACAATTCCAGTTTCACTATTACGTAAGAAAGTAGATGCATCCCTTTTTATAAAACGTTTGGTTGTACTGTCCAACTGTAAATATTTATAATACGTGTGTTATGAAATGAAAATAAAATATGTTATATTATATTAAATAATTCTTAATATTTACCTCATCATCTGTTTCGGGAAGAGTAATAGTTTTGCCTATTACAACATCATCACCTGATACACGAATGCCAGGAGCGATAATTCCATCATCGTCTAATTTATCGTATATAGCATTGCGCATTCCTTGGCAAGTTTGTCTTGTAGGTTTTTCAAATTGTTCTTCCTGATCACCAATTTTTTTAGATTCAGAATCCTTATAAGATCGGTAAAAGACAGATCTAAAGAAACCTCTCTCAACTGCACTAGCATTAAGAATAACACTATCTTCTTGATTGTATCCAGTATAACATAAAATAGCAACAATGCTGTTAATTCCTGCTGGAAGCTCTCTAAATCTAAGATATTCCATAGATCTAGTAGTAACTAATGGCTTATGAGGATAATAAAGTACGTGAGCTAAAGTGTCCATTCGAACATGGTAGTTTGTTATATAAACTCCCATAGCTTGTTTACCCATAGCACTCTTTAACATAGAAAAAAGATACAAATATTTTACATTTAAAATATAATCTAAATATTGTATAAGATAATCAAATTTACCTGATAAGTATTCCTAGGACTTTGATTATGATCAGGGAATGGAATAATAGAAGCGCAAACTCCTAGAATCATGGCCGGATGAATTTCACAATGTGTATAAGTTGTACAATAAGCATATTCCTTTTCTTGCCTAAGATCTTCAGGTGACATAGCAATCATGACAGTCTCTTCTTCAAGTGTATCTATATATTCTACTACTCCACTACCTACTAATTCTTGCCACCTACAATAAATGATTACAATACATAAAATTTATCAAAAAATATAAAAGAAAGAAAGAAAAAGATATATTTTTATACATACCCATCATTGTTGTAATCTCTTTCCTTTAACATGTCAATGTGTCTCTTTTTTAACAATAAATTTTGTCCTTCTACAATTAGCAAAGGCCTACTGATTCTTCCAGCATCTGTATATATTCTTATCTCACGATCTCTAATATCTCGAATCATTGATACCTCAGACACAATAATGTCCATTTGTCTTCTTAATTTACGCAAAGTAGCCATTAATTGATCTGGATCTCTGTGAATTCCAACCCAGCAACCATTGACAAATATTTTGGTAGCATCAGCAATTGCACTAGGTGCTATTTCTTCCAAATTTTCCATAGACCATTCTTCTAAAAACTCTAATATCGGAGATGGCTGAGATCCAACGCTAATATATGCCATCAATGCTAAATTTTTAACTAAACCAACAGCTGCACCTTCTGGAGTTTCTGCAGGACACAGCATACCCCATAGTGTATTATGCAACTGACGTGGTTTAGCAAGTTTTCCATCTCTTCCAATTGGAGAGTTAACTCTTCTTAAATGTGATAAAGTAGATGCAAAAGTTAATCTATTTAACACTTGAGAGACTCCAGCTCTTGCTTGATGGGCCTTCTTTTGATCTCCCCAATTACCGGTAGCCAGGGAATATCTCAGACCGTCGGTAATTATTCTAGTTTTAATAGCAAGTTCAAGATTAAAATCTTTACCTCGATCTATAAATTTCTGTGCGTACAAGCGTACTTCTTTCATAAGATTTTTGAATAAACCTCTGAATAAAAATGCCAACAAAGGTCCAGCTAAATCTAATCTTTTATTGCCGTAATGATCACGATCATCCAATTCTCTTCGTCCTAAAGATGCTGATAGTAGTCTATGTACCATATAACCAAGGAAATAGGCCTTTTTTGTTTCACAAAAATCACTTATACCAACATGAGGTAACATTTCCTTTTGTAAGATTTCTCTAGCATACTTGATACGTTTTTCTTTTGTTACACCAGGTCTAGCACCTCGAGTACCAATAAAATTTAATGCTACATTTTGTTCTTGTATGACAAAGGCTTCATCTAGCGACGGTTTTACCATTTCCATCATTTCGGGATCATCGAAGTCATAAATAATATGTTCAAGAATATCACGGTCAGCTACAAAACCAAGAGCACGAAAAACTATCATAATAGGAATTTCTTGCTTGATATAAGGTATAATAGCTATGATGCGTTGTCCAATCGCTGATTTTTTAATACTCTAAAATAATTATTTAACTGTTATTATTTCAAAGTACACTAATACATCTAAAATATTATTCTATATTATTGCAATACATACAGCACCACTTTTTGCCATCATGTTAATCCATAATGTAGAAGTGGGACGTGAACTATGTTCCAGACAAGATCTAATTTCAGCTTTGTATGCATATTTACCATCCTTCATACTAAAAACATAAACTGTATTTGTCGCCATTTTTTCTTGTGCTATAAGTACCTTAATAACAAATAAATAAACATGTTATTACAATAAATAAATAAATTAGATTATAAAAAAAAAACAGATGTGTGGATATCACACACGGTAGAAATGAAACCTTCAAAAAACCAAGCTTCGGATTAAATCATCCCGATTCTAAAGAAGATTTCACTTCAAAAACTATGTTCAAAAATACTTTTTCAGATCCGTTAATGATGAAATAACCACCAGGATCAAGAGGACATTCATTTAATTCTGTTAAATCACGATCAGACAATCCAGCAAGGAGACAATACTTGGACCTTAACATTATTGGAATTTTTCCTATAAATGTTTTCTGATGTTGTGTTTCTGCAAATGTTATTTTCAATTATTTCCATTAAACTATCTGCTATAAATTTAATCTAAAGATATTATTGTTGATAATAAATATAATAACGAACCGATAGGATCTTCGCCATCCTTTTCAATAGTTTTAGTTATATCAACATATAAAGGTGCTGAATAAGTTAAATTTCTAAGTCTAGCTTCATTCGGCATCATAGGCGATGGCGCACCATCTTTTTCCCAATGTGTCGGTTTAGATAAATAAATTTGTTCAAATTTCAATAAATGTCTAACAGGATTTTCTATTTCACCAGAAGTATGCTGAGCTTCTGCTTGTAAATCTATTTGTGGAGAATCTTCAACGATCCGTTGAACGGACATTTCAATGAATTCATCAAAACTATCAAGTTGTTGACGAACAAGACCTTTTTCATCGAAATAAGCGTTGATAACAATCCAACAAGCTTCTTGCCATAATTTTGAAGAAATTTCTTCGGCATCTTCATCGTCATACTGATCTGTATAAAAAATTTACAAATTTATTATTTAAGGTTAGAATTCTTGATTTTTAAAAATAACGAGAAATTGATACGAAAAAATTGAGATTATATTTATTCTGATTATTTACCATCATCGATAGCATACATATTACTTTTATAAATATGTCAGTAGTTTGGAAAGGAATATTTAAAATAACACTAATATAAGCACTGAATACCAACTAGTAGGTACACATAATAGAGAACAGTACACTAAACATCTGCATTAAGCTGCATTACATACGCGTATGTACGAGATGAAAACAGGCTGTCCAATAGAAAAATGTAAAATATTACAAGATGTAAAGCTTAAAACAAGAATATCACTAATAAAATATAACTAAAATTTAGTGCGAATCTATTTCTGAAATCAGTAACTATTATTTATAGTTTTTTTTTAAATTAACCAATCATATTTCTGATATTAGTGGTACCCGATCTATGCAACCAATATAATTATATTTCATAGACTATTTAGGGAAATATATAAAATTGTTAGTAGTTTTTCTCGTATATATAAATGCAAAGCAGTTTGGAACGATTATTCAGTTATTTGATATTTAGACAAACGTGACGATAATATTTGAATATAAATTAAAGATTATATATTTAATAAGTGTACATTAAACTATCACTAAAATCTATCATGGAATTTAATCAAATCGTTTTTTGTGAGTGATAACTTTTAAAACGTTGAAGGTCATAATAATGTTGATCATAATGATGCAACATTAGTTTTGTTCATTTTTATTTATATTAGTCTTTCTTTTATAAATTTTACTTAATTAGATGAACGGTGATATTATGCTTTTTCATCGAGTTTTAATTAATTTTGAAATATAGAACTTATTAAGTGTTATGAAGTTTTTAATATTCAACGTGCGTGCCATGAGAGATAATTTTTTATTAATATTTTTGTTATTTACATATAAATATTGTTTTATTTTGAATGATATTTCAGTGATAATATAGAAATATCATAACAATGGATTAAAGTAATTTTAATATTATATTTAGTATCAATTTATTGATATTTAATAATGTCGACGAAGTATTCTCAAACCAGAAGTATTTACAAACTATAAATAAAGATAGTAATTAATTTAAAACAAAAATTTAATTGGATAGATAATAAAAAAAAATAATAAAAACAAAAAGAAAGATATCAATTTATTGTAAATTATGATTTGATTTATAATTAAATAGTAATGTGTATCGTAAATGAATTTATAATAATTATGGAGAATATAGAAAATACAAGTTCGGTTCTTAAATTAATATCAGTAAATGATTTGCCAAGTATTGCAACGAACTTTACATTAAACAGTACGTCTGAAACAGAAACAGAAATTCCAGAGGAAAGTAATAATGTGCAACAATTATGGAGTTTACCTAAAACAACCGTGACTTCATTGGAAGATACATCCTTACTATTTAACATATCAAGGAGTACTGTACAGGTTGCCACAACAACGTTAGAGTCTGTTGATGAATTTGGACCACCAGAAGGGATAGAATATATTTTTGTACCACTTGGTGTTATGGTCTTCGTCATTGTATTATCTGCTGTGGTATGGACCATAATGACATTAAATTATTAACATATTCTTTTTATTATCACATATGCTATCTTTTTATTTTATTTGCATTTAAATATAGTTTGATCTTTACTGCATTTTGTAAACATATTTAAAAGTAGAGATAAATATCTTATAAGGTATTTATTTTGTTATAAATAAGCATGTATTTTTTATATTTAAATATCATACATTCTATCTGTCTATCTATCTATAAATATATGTGCCAGTAATAATAACAATGGACTAATTGTAAGTCCCAAAATTGGAGAAATGAATTTTATTATTTATTTTATATTAAAATTATTTATATTATAAAATAAATCATAAACTAAATTTGTCTACTTTTTTGACTTACAATTAAGCAATTATCATAATTACTGATACATGTATAAATTAATATACATTTAAATCTATTTCTTTCTCTTATCTGTTGAACATACACATACTTTAAATAATAGGTGTAAATAATATGTATTTCATTCATACCCATTTTTTTGCCTCTTTGTAATGTTACAATTAAATGATGTTTCATACTTATCTTGGTATTTATTTTTTGTAACTTATCCCCATTCATTATATTTCTATTGTAAAGCAATGTATAAGATATAGCTAAAAATTTATCTTCTAAATTTAATATATTAGAAAATAGAGAGATTATTAATACTTTATATATATATATATGTCTAAATATCAATATAATATTAACATATTATTATTGTATATTTGATATATAGTTCTTTTTATGTATAAAATGATATGTGTATACATATCTACATAGCATGTATGATTTTAGAATGAATAGATGAAATAGAACAAAAAAAATAATCATATTGCAAAATGTACCATATTTTTTATCATTAATTATATATCATTATAAAATCTTTTCACGTAGCAATGATGATATATTAATATATCATAAACGATATTAAATATATATTTGGAAAATAAAATCTTTTTGAAGGTATTTTTTATATCGAGAAAACGAAAGTTGGAACGATTAAGGCATAGACTAATGCCAATGTACAATTTCGATCCTGGAGAAGAAGAGGAAGATGACTGGGAAACTGAACTATTGGATGAATCTTATAATAGTAATCATCAAAGACGAGTGTGTATATACATAACAATGAGCGAATATGAAATAAATTAAGTATTAAAAATACTAATTTTACAGCAAGGATACCAATCTATGGACGCAGAAGATAATGCTGAACTTTTTGGTGATCATTGACAGAATATCAATTATTTTTTTATCGATTATCTTTTACCTTCTCTGCATTATTAATATAGATGATCATTCAAAACTATGCTTAATATAACAGTATTAATTATGATGTAAAAACAAATGATTTTCAGATATATGCAAAGATATTGTATAATGCAACCGATAGAATTAATAGATTTTTTAACTAACTACATTTCTTCTCATATCTTCTAACTGCAGCTTTTATAGAAAACAATGTATTAAAGTACAAAGATAGTATTTTAAAACTTTACCTATTTAAAATAGTCATAGTCAAAATCAAACGTTAAAATGTCTGACTTTAGTGCATTTTGTTGTCTGAAAAAAGTTTTATATTATTTTTAAGTTTACTGATTGTTATTATCGATTACTCTCATTAATGAAGTAGCGTGATCATGAATAATTATTGCAATTAACATTGTAACGTTGTACTCTTATATATATATAGTTCGCTCTTCTATTTTTTTTATAATGTAACAATCACATAAATATAGTTTATGTAACAAAACTAATTTATAATAATCAAATTTCATTTATATGTTTGTTTAATAACTGACTATATATATTCATATAATGAATTTTCATAAATCAAGAATTTTAACAATATTTAAAGCATGCAAATTATTATTAAAATTTGCTGGTACAAGCTTACAATTAAAATATTCATTCTTTGCACCATTCAATTTGTAATTTTCAAAATTTAATAGTATATATTTAGAGCAATTCATAAAACAAGAAATATTTTTAATGTAAGTAATATAGAGAACCTTCTTTAAAATACAAAAAAGTATATATTATTAGATAGTATAAAATAAAAGTTTAATCTGTAATTATAAATATTAAAAAAAAGAAAAAAAAATTTCGCATGATATACATAAGACGAAACGTTACAAATTTAAAAAAAAAAAAAAGAATGTTATAAAATAAAATACAATAATAAGTATTTGTGAATATTTTGTTTTTTTGTTTGCATAGAAAATATATTTTATTTGAATTATTTTATCAATATTGAATTAGAAATAAAAATTAGAAATAACATTAATAAATCTCGTAAGAAAAAATGACTTTAAGATAAAAATAATAAGAGTATTTCATGAATTTATTTACTTTAATACAAATTTGACATTCACACATATGTTTGTTTCAAAAATGCTAAGATTCCCTTGTTTGTGTTCTATCTCTTATAATGATACATCATCTTGTGTTATAGAATTGTAGCATACGATATAGAAGTACAGGAGGTAGTGGAAAAGTGATGCCAGAAAGACCATACAATGTATCTTATAAAATACAAAATGTTTAAATGCATTTAGCAATTTAGTTAATTCATTTATGAAACAAATATCTTCATGAAAATTCGAAGATTTTATAATCTTCTTTTTTCTCATACATGTTACAAATACATGATATAAAATGTTTTTTTAATTTTTTTTTGTAGTAAAATTATATTACTTTATAAATATTTTTATGATCACTTCTCCAAAATGTGAAATATGCCAAATATATTAATATTTCAAATAATTGTTAATATTTATAATTCTTTTTACGAAATTAGTGACAATCTTCACTAAAGTCAATTTTTGATATTTGCATAATATACAAAATAATTATAACACAAAGTGAATAATTAGCCAAAATGCTTTAAAAACAAACTCCATATATTCAATTTTCTTCTTCTTCTTCTTCCTCTTCTTGTTCATCTTCTTCTTCTCCAGTACTTTCAGGTTTTTCTTCTACTTTTTTTGGTCTACCGCGTCCTCGGCCTGAAGGAGCTATACCTTTTGGTGTACCTTGCTGTAAATTAAAAATCCTTATTTTAACAAATAATTGCTGGATATAAAGTTTCACAAAAATAAATGATTACATATTTACATACTTTCTTCTTGTGTGATCCTTTAGGTCTACCCCTACCCTTTTTAACAGGTCCTGGTGGAGCATCATCCTCATTATCAGATTTTGATGCACGTACTGCATTGTATTTATCTGAAGTTGGCCTTCCTCTCTTTTTGGGTTCTTTAACAGTATTCTTATCTGTTTTCGCTGGTCGCCCCCGTTTTTTTTTCTGTTCCTCAACAACAGGTGAATTGTCATCTGACATGTTGGGTGTTATTTTTTTCTGTAAAAATACACAAATTAATTAAATACATTATTACTGACTATATGTTTGATTACTATATTTTTTTAACGCAGTATTAATAAAAAAAAACTGTTATAATTCAGCAATTATTTTTTTTCTCATTTAATAAAAAAATGAAAAATTATATAAAAATTTAGAAAGCAAACTTATTGATTTTCGAAACTCTGACAATATTAGTAAATTTGCAGTATCGTATAATGTTATAAATATATATTCTTAAAATAAATAAATAAATACATAGCAATTTTCCTTCGTGAAAAAAATATTATTCTACAAACTTCCAAACGAAATTTGTGTTCGCTTCTAGAAGACGGAATATTAATGAAGCATTTATTGAGACATTTTATAATAAACATTTCAATTTGATTATAAAGTGAATTGATATAATAAAAGAATGAAAAAAAAATATTTAATTTAAAAAAATATACTTTAAATAAAAATAACATAATAAAATAATATTATTTTTCGAAATTTTTATAGATCTCTTTCGTACGAAAATCTTCTCTGAAAGTTCCGCGCCCGCCATTTTCAAAATCTGTGAATAAATGTATGCTATTTATACTACATAATATTTGGCCTGAAATAAATGATAAATAGAAAAAATGTTTAACATTGGACGATAAAAATTTTGGAGAAAATATTAACGATTACAGATTTTTGATAGAGAAGATATCAAAGGAAATTCTACTAAAGCCTCGCCTTACAACCAGAGACGCCATGGCTGACAAATCATGGTATCACGAAAGAGTCGAGAAGCTCGCATCCATCTACTATCTCTCTTTGCCTCCCTCGTTTATTCTCTCACTCCCACCCTCCGTCCTTTTTCGCACCGCATCGCAACAAAAAAAAATTAATTAATTTAACATCCTCGAACAATTAAGATGGAAAAAATTATGGAGGAACTAAAAAAAAAAAAAAAATAGGGGGAAAAAGAAAAAAAATAATTTAACAATTCAATCGAGATATATAATGCAAAAATAAATATTTCTGACGACGCAAATAATCCGTAAACGATCGCGTCATAAGAATGAGAAACGGACTCACCTCGGAATTTACGTAGTGTGGTAATAAGACAAAGGCGATTGCCGGTGCGCGCGTCGTGATGTGCCGGTTATGAGAGATACCGTGCGTTTCAACGCTATGTACTAAAGATACACGATCTTTCGCGTTAAGTCGACGAGAAGCTTTGATTCTTTATGCTCCTCTATTTTTTCTCTCTTCCTCTTATTCCTTCGTTGATTCTTCCCTGCCTTATCCCTTTCTTTCACCCTTCCAACCCTTTTTTTCTTTCACTCTTCTTTTTCAGTTTTTTTGATAATAGCACATCGTTTTATTCTTCGGGTTATGCTTTGTATACGTATTACAGAAATCGACGTGTACTACACAACCGCCTGCACGAATAGCGAGATGCGACTGATCCAACAGAAGCGATGCATCGCGCTCCGATTCGCTATACGTATATGAAGCTTTCCCCCTCTAACATGTCGTGCTAACAGATTCCCGCCAAAAAATTGCAATCCATTGTAAAGTCAACTTTTTACCTGCTTTTTCTTAATATTTATTTTTTATTTTATTCTGTAAATTAATAAATTAATTTTTTATTTATTGTAAATCTAAATATCGTGATAAATATATTTTCATATCTAATACGATCGCGAATAAATAAATATGGTGTAAGGTTAACGATTTTGCCGAACAGTAACCATATCACAATGGCGAGTGTCTACATTGATTTCACATTTCTTAGTTGAATTATTAAACATTGAATAATATTTTATTTATATATTTTTTTTAAACTATTAAATCTAGTCAATAATAAGAAATATTTGGTTTGCTTAAGAATATATCTTATAAATAAATAGACTTGAATGGATAATTTTTTTATTGCTGTATAATTGGTTGGCTGCAACCATATTCAAATAATTTATGAGACTTGCCTTTTTAATTTTTTTTCTGTAATAAAATATATTACATATTCTGTACGAATAAAGTGAAACATTTTCAATGTATTATTTTTGGTTAATTATTTAAATGCTTTTTTAAATAAAAGTTAAAAAATATATGTTATAAATTTAATTATATTAACTTATTTACATTATTTCTGTATATATATATATATATATATATATATGATGCATAAATATAAAGTGTATATATGTATGCATATATATATGCACTATACTATATTTAACAGATGTATTGTGAGCATAGCTCGAATCACATTTCAGTGTGACAGCGCCGCCATTTTTGTGCACAGAAACGACGCTTCTTTTTATACAATTTGATGAAATCATAATCAATAAAAATTGAACAACTTTCTGATATATTTATTAAAAGAATAAAGATAAGTTGTTATAAAGACTTAGCTTTACCTTTACATTTTGAATTATTTTAGAACAGCCGACCTCTATTTTTCTAGAATACCTTTTGTCGGTATATGTTTGAAAGATAATTATCATGGGATTTTATAGTTGTCCAATATTTTACATTATATGAGGACCAAAATATGTCAAAAAGAAGGTAACGACAGTCAGTAATTGTGTATAATTCTACATACATATATAAAATCTTTCAAAATATTTATATATATTTCTAATTTAATACTAAACTATTTATTTAATAAACTATATATATTTTTTAACGTAACAAATAGTATTATTAAAATTAATTGCGTAGTTAAAAATAAATACAGATAACCCTCCTATAACGCGGTATCTTATAACACGGTTTCGCTATAACACGATTTATAAATTGCGGGAACCCCCCTACAACACGGCATCCTATAACGGTTTCCTTTCAAAAAACCTTTGTACAACACTATTTCTACAGCTGCGGCGAACAACAAAAGCATGGCCTGAAAACAAAAGTTTTTGGCTCATGGCTTTGGGTATCATACAACACGGTTTTACACAACACGGCATTTTTTAGAAACCTAACTACCGTATTATAGGAGGGTTATCTGTACAAACCAATTAGAAATGTTTTGAGAAATTTTTTCGAATTTTTAGCGATAGATGTCACTTAGCAGCAACATTTTCTGAAATTTTTCCTTCAAGTCATGACTCATATAGTTTTGATTAACGTAGGTAGAGTCTAGTAGACTTTACTCGTTGATAAACATATTAATCATAAGAGTGACTAAAATAATTATTAATTATTAAAAAAATGGCCAATGCAGTTGCCAATGTACCCGTGTCAAAAATCTTAAAAGATAAGACTGCTTGTGAAGATGAGCCAAGAAAAAAGAGTCGAGAAGATTGGAGGAAAGCAAAAGAATTAGAAGAGGCAAGAAAAGCAGGTACAGCGCCTGCTGCTGTTGATGAAGAAGGCAAAGATATTAATCCACATATTCCACAATATATTAGTGCAACACCATGGTATTTTGGTGCACAGGTATAATATATTTAATAATTGTATTGTGTTGTTAAATCATTGCTCATTGTTTCATATCATATAATTTATACAATAATACTTTTTAGGGTCCTACATTAAAACATCAAAGACCTCAACCTGAGAAACGAAAATACTTTAGTGGAATAGATGAATGGTACAAACGTGGTGTAGATACATCTAAAGTTGCAACAAAATACCGTAAAGGTGCATGTGAGAATTGTGGTGCTATGACACATAAAAAGAAGGATTGTATGGAAAGGCCTCGTAAGATAGGAGCTAAGTTTACAAATAAAGATATTGCACCAGATGAATTCGCACAGCCTGATCTGTGCGTTGATTATGATGGTAAAAGAGATAGGTATGTACTATCATATTTTATGGTTAACTTTTTGTTTCTTAATGGTGGATAATCATTTAACGTCAAACGCTTGTTGTAAATCACAAATGACCATATATTTTGAATTAAAAACTTTGGGTGAATATGATATATTTTGATAACTTCATGGTAACCAATATTCTGTTGGTATGCCATTTATAATTTGTTTTATATTAATTGAATAAATTCATATAATATAATAAAAAATCAAATGTTACACTTTTCCGTAAAATATATACTTATGATTCAATTTCTCAAATATTAGTAATAAATTAATAACTAACTCTATCATAGCAAACGGGTTAAACATTTCCCGTTATTACCTGTTGACGAATAAACATTCCCGTCCACTTGTGTGGATTTATTTTCTTACAAATTTAGAATTTACTGAATTTAAACAATTCAATTGTTTATATAGGTGGGCTGGTTATGATCTGTCCGAACACAAAACTATTGTCGAAGAATTTCAAAAAATTGAAGAAGCTAAAAGACAAATGCGTGCAGAAAAACTCAATGCTGAAGAAAATGATGAACAAGATTCAGACAAAGATGAAGATAAATACGTTGACGAAGTTGATATGCCTGGAACTAAAGTTGATTCTAAACAACGTATTACTGTTAGAAATTTAAGAATTCGAGAAGATACGGCTAAATATCTTCGTAATTTGGATCTTCAATCCGCGTATTATGATCCTAAAACTAGATCTATGCGTGATAATCCTTACGTAGGAACAGATAGAGAGTATGTTTTATATTTTTATTCTATATCATATTTTATGTATATATATAAATCATTTTTTTTTAATTTTCTTCCTTTTCATATATATTATAATAAATATTATTATTTCTTTTTACAGAGTGGATTATAAAGGAGGAAATTTCGTACGTTTCTCAGGAGATACACAGCAACACGCAAATGCTCAATTATTTGCTTGGGAAGCACACGAGAAAGGAGTCGATGTACATTTACTTGCTGAACCTACAAAATTAGAATTATTGAAACAAGAATATGATAAAAAGAGGGATGAACTGAAAGATAAAGCACGAGAAAGTATTATTAAACGATATGGTGGTGAAGAACATCTTCAAGCACCGCCACCTTCCTTATTATTAGCTCAGACAGAACATTATCAAGAATATTCTAGATATGGAAAGATGCAATGAATTGATAATGTAAATTTAAAAATTAATATAATTAGTTTAACTTTAAAAAAAAAATTACATTAAGTTAAATCTTTTATTTGATATGCTATCTTGTTTAGTATAAAATAAATATGACGTAAACATGTATTCCATAATGTATATTAAATTAATGCGAATTATTATGTAACTAATATCTGTTACTTCTGTATTATATAATAATTAAAAATAAATATTTTTAAGTATAAATATGATCTTTCAAATAAATTGTATCAGTAAAAATATATAAAAATATACATTTTTTCTATAATGAAATTTGTTCATATGAAAAAATTTAATATATAATTAATTATAAATCTATCAAATTGACATTAATTAAAACGTCTATAACTAATTAAAATAATTATAAAAATATGACGATTAAGAGAAAACAAATATGAATAGTTAATTGTTCAAAGAATTTATTTTACCTATCGAAATTATCGACCGAGTAGAAGGAGTTCTTCCATCTTTCGTTACTTTTCATTGGTTCAGAATAAAATTACTAAATGAAATTTCTCTTTATAAGAAGTTGATCAAATATTGAAAAAGAACTATAAAGCATCATAAATGGAAGTACTATTTTACTCTAATTTAAATTGACCGAGTTACGAATATAATCAAGATAAACTTGTTTTTGAAGAATCATTCTATAGATATACACATACAAACATCATACATACATCTCTATATATAATTATCTATATATATATAGATATAGATATATATAGCATATATATAGAATATATATAGAATATATATATATATAATGCGTATTCATAATGTTCTCTCGAACAAATTATGGCGTTGTCTCTTATCAGGAGTAAAGGTCTACGGTACATAAAGACGCAGTTACTCTTTTTTAAAACTTATTCAACAATGAAGGTAATTCATAATTTCTGTCTAATCCCAAAAATATATATATATTTAAATAAAATCGTCTAGTTAGTACTTTTAGCATGTTGGTTGATTGAAACATAGATTGTTAAAGCAGAACATGCTTATTTTACCTGCACGTTTTTATTTGTTAACACAATTGTAAAATTAATTTTTAAAAACTAATAGCACAATATTAGTCTCTTAAATAAGATTTATTTAAGTAGTATCCAAAGTTCTGATCTCTATCAAAATCTAAATAAATATGTTGATTCAGATGTAAAACTAAATTGTACAAATGATTTGATGAATTTATATAATTGTATTGTTTTTAATTCTTCAACAGAAAGGTTTGGTGCTTGGGGTATATGAGGCAGATGATGAAAGCTTTACTTTAACTCCTGCAGCAGCTAAGTACAATGAACGAGTTCAAGGGAAACTACTAAAACATATTTGCTTGTAAGTTTCAAATATTCCTATCGTGTCTTGTAACCTTAAATGACATATTATATGTTAATTATTTGTAATGTTATCATTGCTTTTATTTATTCACTTTATCGGTTCTGATTGTTTTTCTTTTGTTCAATTTTCTAGTTTATCTATATTTTTTGGCTTACATATGGTTATTTAATTCAGCCATATATGCATCTTTTAACATGATAATGTGCTTTATTAATTAATTTCTCGTAGCTTTTTTTTCTTCCTTTTTGTATATTTATAAATGCAAACATTTTATCATTTAATGAGGTACATCAAGTATTCTGCTATAAGAACACAATAAAGATAAAGCATTTTCTACAGATTATGTAATCTTGCATCTAATCTTTCACATACATATGTTTGGTATAGTTAGTATCAATACATTTACATATATTCTTCATATTTCCAGCCTGAAACAATTGTTATAATGCTGCTCGAGCTATGTTCTTAAGATATTCAAATTCTTTTCTTCTTTTGTATGAAAAATTGTTATCAAAAGTTCTTCTTATATTTTTTATTTTTTTATAATACAACTTTCAGTATAGAGTAGATTATTTTTTATTTTTAGAGCTCAATAGCATTATTTTGATTGTTTCAGGAAAGACTAGACTGAGCGATGATACAAGAGTAATGTCGTCTAATGGGGATGGTAATTTAGGAAGTGATAGTGGGGCAGGAAGCAGTAGAGGTGTAGGGGAATCTAGTAGAAATGTGAAGCGTCACCTTCATTCCAGCAATATTTTACTTGGAATTGGCAGTTCGCTTGAAGACAGAAATAATGATTATCAATGCCCTATCTGTTTTGAATTAATCGATGAAGCACATATCACTCGTTGTGGTCACACTTTTTGCTATCATTGCATCGTGAAGTCTTTAGAAGTTAATAATAGATGTCCAAAATGTAGTCTCACTTTAAGCCAACAGGACATATTTCCTAATTTTTTGTTAAACGAATTAGTAACAAAATATAAAACAAGAATCAAGGGCCTTTCTAAATTAGGCTCTTCAAATGTAGGGGATAGTAAAAATAAAATAGGAACAGAATTATCTGTACTTTCACGTGATGGTTTGAGAGATATAGTTGCCGTAGAAAGTGCTTATCTATCTCTGCCTGATGTTAATGTAATGTTAGAAGTATTGACACAAAGAAAGCACTTACTTGAAGCTGAAACATGCGCCATACAAAATAAACTTTTACACGAATTTTTAAAACATTTGTTACAACAAAAAGAAGAGCAAAAGAATCAGTTACAAAAGGAGATGGCTTTAATTAAACGTGATATGGAAGAAGTTGAAAATATTCTAAAAGACGTTCAAAATAAATGTCCACGTGTAGAAGATTTGAAAAAATCAAGTGAAAATGATACGGCACAAGTATCTGCTATCAGACGAGAAATGATTGGTCTTATAGATATAATTGATTCCAATATGGTAAAACCTAATGATAGAGCGATAGGAAATGAATCATTTACCAACCCGTCTGGTAGTCAAAAACAAATTGAATATGGAAGTAGTTCAACCTTGGCTATTCGTAGAAAAAGAATGCATGGTCATTTTGATGATTTTGTGCAATGTTACTTTCATTTACGTTCTAAGGAACTATTACTTGGATATAAACCTCAAAGTCAAACGGATGCAAGTCATAGTACAAGTTCTGGCCTTGATATCTTTCGAGAAAATCTGGTTAAATTTTCCAGATATAATACGTTACGACCATTAGCTACATTAAATTATTCTTCTGACATCTTTAACAATTCTACAATTGTTTCAAGCATAGAATTTGATAAGGATAATGAATTCTTTGCAATAGCTGGTGTCACTAAACGTATCAAAGTTTTCGATTATGGTGCTGTAATACACGATACAGTTGATATTCATTATCCTAGTATAGAAATGGTCTCCAGTTCTAAAATATCGTGTGTTTCATGGAATTCTTTCCATAAAGGAATGTTAGCCTCGTCAGATTATGAAGGAACTGTAACAGTGTGGGATGCTGCAACAGGTCATAGAACTAAAACCTTCCAAGAGCATGAAAAAAGATGCTGGTCTGTAGATTTTAATGATGTTGACACTAGACTTATAGCATCTGGATCGGACGATGCAAGAGTTAAATTATGGTCCTTGAATACAGATCATTCTGTTGCATCATTAGAAGCAAAAGCTAATGTTTGTTGTGTAAAATTTAATCCATGTAGTTCATGTCATTTGGCATTTGGATCTGCTGATCATTGTGTTCATTATTATGATTTACGTAATATGAAAGAAGCCTTGCGTATTTTCAAAGGACATCGTAAAGCTGTATCTTATGTTAAATTTATTAATAAGGAAGAGATTGTATCAGCAAGTACTGATTCACAACTAAAGATGTGGAATATTAATAATCCTCATTGCCTAAGATCTTTTATCGGACATGTTAATGAAAAAAATTTTGTAGGGCTGGCCACAGATGGTGATTATGTAGCCTGTGGTTCAGAAAACAATGCACTTTATGTATATTATAAAGGACTAACAAAACAATTATTCTCATATAAGTTTGATGCTGTGCGTAGTATATTAGAAATTCAAGATCGAAAAGAAGAAGATTTAAACGAATTTGTCTCAGCAGTGTGTTGGAGACAAATGTCCAATGTTATAGTAGCTGCAAATTCTCAAGGAATTATCAAAATATTAGAATTTGTTTGATTTTAATTAGTAGAGTAATGCATAAGTTATATAGTAAGATTAAATAAAAATGTTCAGAATTTGTGCTGATGTATTTTCGATATGACCTAATTTATGCTCACATTTAAACAACGAGGTAAAAAAATTATTCTAAATATTCTAACTTGCTCTACAGGCTGAAATAAAGCTTCCTATTATAAAGATTTTAATTAATAGAGGCTACCTAGTTCAGATGGGTATGTCTTGAATATTGACAGCACAAATATTTTTTTCTATTTTATAATCGGATTGAAAATTTAAATATATATATATATATATATATATAGGTAATGTTACTTACAATATTTACATCTGAATATAATATCCTTAAATATAATTGAAAATATAGACTGAATGTTAATCATAAACGGTTGCTAGGAATGTGGTAATAATTTTTTTTGGTATATATATATTAAGTTATAACTCTTAAATATCTTTCTTATAATGTCACGTTAAATTGGTAATACAATTAACACACATATATCTTACACATTGAATTTAACAGAACCTTTTTTTTCTTGACAATTGTTATATACAATCAACATTGATTTAAGTATTTTGTACCTTTAACTAAAGTATTATAAATTTTCTGTGACCGAGAATGATAATTACAAATATAACTTACATAATTACAAATATTACTTATAATGCCCATGTGAAAACCATGTTGCCATGTATACAGAGTGAGTACCTAGAAAATTAAGTTTATCAAATGACTCTATTTAAAATCTTAATGTGCAGTTCATAAAAAAAAGTAATTAATGCATTTGATGTCAATATACAATATGTATAGTGCATAAATATATATACTATTAATATTCATTATCTTATATACTGAAGTAGCCTAATTTAATTATTAAACTAAATAACTAGATTAATATGAATTTTTATGAGCAAACAGATATAAAAAGATACAAGTATAATTTGTGCCAAATTTTATCATAAGACAAAAGAGAAAATGATTTGCACAAATTCCTTCAAGTACATTTTATATTTAACAAAGAAAATTTTGAGTATATTTTAATAAAAATAATTAATCTATATTTAGTTGATATTTAAATCTAGATTACTATATATTTTGTTTTAAATAAATCATCTACTTTGCAAGAAATCATGTATTAGGACAATTGTTAGCATCTTTCCATAGATTCACTTTTAAAATATTACGAATGAAGTTTCTTGACAAAGTCATTATATGCATTACTAAGTGTATATAAACAACATATATATATATATAAACTATTTAATGAGAAATGTGTAATCCTACACTAAATCATATTGTGTATCATTAAAAGCAGATTCTTAAATAGGTCTAAAATGAAGGTGGTTACAAAAAGCATAAGCAGCCAATTGTGATGTCTAGTTTCAATGTTTTTATTATAATGCAAATTCAAATACTTCATTGTAGACAAAACTACATTGTTGTAAATCAATACAAATAGATATAGTTGAATCTTAAAAGCATAATTATAAATGTGGTTACATGTAGAATAATTATTAAAAAAACTTATATTGTAAGGTACATAATGTAAAAAATAGTATATTTTTAGATTGTATTTTAAAATTGCAAATATATAGTATATATATAGTATATACATAGTATATGACTCGTGTCACAGATGCCTAGATTTTATTGTAATTAATAAAGATATAAATTTATGTCTCAATCTATCTTCAATATAATTTACTTAGTATGTACATATTTCTTTCATATTTCATCATTCCTTATCTACTATTCCATTATTAGAATATATATAAATATTCATAGTAAATAATTGCTTATACTACTATAGAGCAGGTCCAAAGATTCCAAAAGGTCATGCTAGAGTATTTTGGGGTTTGGACGAAACGGATTATACTGGAGTTGCAGTAGTTGGCTTGGGAAAATCAAATCTTGGTATTAATTTATTAGAAGAAATTCATGAAGGAAAAGAAAGCGTACGTGCGGCAGCAGCAGGTATGATTTTAATAAATAAACAAAACCCACACATATTTTCTCTTTAAATTAAGTAATAATTATTATGTTATTATTGAATTTTATAAAAATCCTTCTATTGATTATATCATACATATAAAAGTTATTATTTTCTCTAGCTGGTTGTCGTGCATTGAATACTTTTGAAATAAAAGATATAAAACTAGAACCATTAGGAGATGCAGAAGCAGCAGCAGAAGGTGCTGGTCTTTCTACGTGGTATTACCAAGGATTAAAAAGTAAACAGAAACGCGAAACTTTACCGCAAGTTTCTCTTTATGGTGAAGAAGGCCAGTGAGTGTGTGAATCATCTTAATTAAATTAATTTAAAAGTTATATAGAGTTATAATAATGATAATATTTATAGTAATGTAAATTGATAACATTTATACATATTTAGAAATGAGTGGCAGAAAGGAATTGTTAAAGCTTCAGCACAAAATTGGGCACGCAAACTTGCTGATACACCAGCTAATTTAATGACACCTACAATATTTGCAAATGAAGTTTCATCGACTCTAAGTACATTAAAAATCAGTGTGACAGTTCATGATAAAGAATGGGCAGAACAAAAGAAGATGGGCTCTTTCTTGAGTGTATCACGTGGCAGTTTGGAGCCACCTAAATTTCTTGAAATTAGTTACAAAGGTGCTGATAATAATGAAGCTCCGATTGCGTTTGTTGGCAAAGGTGTTACATTTGATGCTGGAGGAATTAGCATAAAGGTAATATTATTGAAATGTGTTATCAAATTTATAACAAATATTAAAACATGATATTCTTCAGCCTTCTTCTGATATGGATGAAATGCGCGCGGATATGAGCGGAGCAGCATGTGTAGCAGCAGCTATTAAAGCAGCTGCAGAGCTTAAATTGAAAGTAAATATTATTGGTTTAGTTCCTCTCACGGAAAATTTACCATCTGGGTCTGCAACAAAGCCTGGCGATCTAGTTGTTGCAATGAACGGAAAAAGTATTATAGTAGATAATACGGACGCAGAAGGAAGACTTATACTTGCAGATGCTCTTTGTTATGCTCATGAATTCAAGCCAAAGTAATTCTAGTATTTATCTTAACTTTCATTTGTTTTATTGTATTTGTTAATTATTAATAATGAAATTTATTATAGATTCATTCTGGATATTGCGACATTAACAGGAGCTATGAGAATTACGTTAGCTGGTGCGGCTACAGGTGTGTTTAGTAATAATGTTGAACTTTTTGAAACTTTAAGACAAGCTGGTATAGTTTCTGGCGACAGAGTCTGGAGATTTCCGCTATGGCAATGTTATACAGATGAAGTAACAAGTAAGAAATCTAATATCAACAAATTCCGTTGGCATCTATAAGAAAAACTGAATATTTTATATAATTATAAAATTTTCAGAAAAAGTTAAAGCAGCAGACGTTAACAATGTTGCAAAATGTAAAGGTGGTGGATCTTGTACTGCCGCAGCTTTCTTACGTGAATTTGCAGGAAATGATGTTCCGTGGATGCATTTAGATATTGCGGGAGTAATGGGTCCTGGAAATGATGAGTTACCATATATACCGGCAGGAATGACAGGGCGTCCAACTCGTACCCTTATTCAATTCTTACAATTGATTTCTTCCACTTCCTAATTTTAATTGGAATTGCAAGATTATCTTTTCTATATATTGTATACGCGTGCATATATATACATAAAAGATATAATATAAAAATAATCCAATATAATATGTACATTAAATGAAATCAAGAAGTGAGGTCTATTAACATGTATAAAATTGACAATCACAATTTTATATCTTATTGTTAATGATTGAATACGTATGAAAGTTGTATTTATATCATTTTACAAGATGAATGCATTTACAGTACAATTATAAAATGTCGACATCATTGCGTGTTTAATTTGTCTTTTATTTGAAATAGCATTATTTTGTAGAAATCATAACAAACAAATTCTATAATAAATATCATATATTATTTTTAGTACATCCTTTAACCAAATAATGGAATTTGTAAGAAATCAATAAGACAATGTAATATAGTCGTGTGCATAATAAAACAATAGTTATTTGTTCATAATAACATAACCAATAGAATTATACGTACAATATATAGTGATTACAAATAAATGTGTTTACTATTTTCGTTACGTACAACATACATACATACATACATACGTACATACATACATACATGCATGCATACATACATACGAAAATACATACAACTTCTCACATTCTCAATATCTAAAGATTCTTTTATTAGCTAATAGTAATTATAAATTAAAGAAAATGAACTGAGATATCAACTCATATATATCATCGCATTTCTATGGTATAACTTTTGTTATGTACAATACTTGTCAATTTTATACGCAATTAGAAACTCTTCGCGATTTATTGTTTTACAATAACATCATGTTGAATTTTCTTTAATTTGTTATCTTTTAAAAAAGATCAATATAAACTGATATGATTAATAAACCATTGTAAACTTTATAATTAATACAAAACAAAAACATAGAATTCTATGTAATAATCTTTGTATGTTGATAATTTTAATTCATAATAAAGCAATAAAACTAGTATTGTTAAAATATGTTGCTTCTTCGCTGATACCCTGATATTTATAAATTATTAATTCTATAAATCTGTACATAAGTAACTTCAACACACAATATTCTAGACCCGTACCACAAGCTGCAATTGTTAAAGGATTTTTATATTAATATATAAAAATCGCTTTAATCATTATGAAATTCTAAATAATACAAGATATGAAGAGGAAGATGTAATGCAACTTTTAGATGAAAATTAATTGCTAAAAATATCCTCATGTACATGACGGCGGAGGTTGCTGCTGTTGTGAGGGAAGGGGCGCTGCCGTAACAGCTGCGACTACGGCAGCAGCAGCATAGGATGAGGGGTCCGATGGATCGAGAAGAGACGGCGGTGGTGGTAAACTTCCTCCTCCACCTCGTCCTCTTCCTCGACCTCTTCCTCGACTCCGACCCCGGCCCCTCCCCCTTCCGCGTCAACTCCGCCTTTCAGGCATCCCTATGTTGCTCGTTGTCTTTTCTAGGAAAGCCAATGGGCCTTGAAGTGCACTACTTCCAACACCACCAACTGGAAAACCAGTAGGTCTACCACCGGTTACTCCTACTCCACCCTGAGCCATAAACATGCCTTGTTGCCCGACTGAGACACTGACTCCTTGAAGACCCGATGTTGGTGGAGGACCTGTACCTTGTTGCACCTGAAAATCCACACCAATTGATACATGAAAATAAGTTTCACTGATTTTATATTTATAAACTATGATCAAATAATTTGTATTAAACTTAGTTGAAAGTTTTCATTGCAAATAATACAAGCTCAATATAATATATTAAGTTCTTCCCACGTTAATATTCTTATCGTTCAAGAAATTATTTTTCTCATACTCAATGTATTCCTAATTCAAATGTTCTACTTTGGATTGCTCTACATGCATGCATATGCACAGACAAATAAGTATGTAGATAAACATTGAGATAGGTGTTTATCGTAGTTCCAAACTGATAGGATTATACAGGAATGACAATATTTAGGCAAGGAAAATGAAAGAAAGCACAATGTTTTGCATGAACAGAGATTTATTCTGCAAACTTCTACTTGCATGTAAAGACAACATAAATTAGATATATATATATATATATACACACTGATATACATACATATATATACATATATATCAGTTTGCAATTATAATGATTTAATAAGTAGATGCAAACCTTTCTTTTCAACTTCATACTACATCTACTATCTAAATATAAAATTGTGTATATTCATACATAATGTATTTTAAAGCATTTGCAGCAGGAACTTTACATGTAACTTTATGCTACCCCATTTAATAGACTTTTAACTTATCTTTAATAACCATTGAAATTTTCTTTAATAATCCTAAATTTTGCAAATGCATAATGCATACATGTTTACATGCAAGAAATCATTTGTTTTACAAATAGAAAAATCTTATACATGTACAAAATATTTCAAATCATATATACTTGCGCATGAACACATGTGTATACATACGCAGGTGTTCCTGCGATTGTGTATATGTATAAATACAACGACAATGACAAAGAAAATGTATTATTTATGAGATAAAAAGTGTAAAAAAATATGAGTTTATTTTTATATATGTTCATCTATACCAAAATATGTGGAGTGGCACGAGTTGTTTTTTTCGAATCTACAAATGATATTTATATATACAATCATTTTTAAAGGGCATATAATTGAGAGCTTATTAAGTCTGTTAATGTAAGCAGCCATACCCTATATGCATAATCTTATATTTTATTATTGCCTTTATCAGTTTTATTATGTTAGTTTTGGCTAAACATTTGTACATATTTTTATATTAGTTGTTTGGCACCATTTTACAACAGTGATACTTTCTTTATATAGAGTTCATATTTTTGTATTCCTATATCGCAGTTAATTATAAAAGCACTTTAAATCTTTGCATTATATATTACATTTCTATAAATAGGAATTGTATAAGGCACTGATTACATACAACAATAATAATATAAATTTTTTCTTTCTACATCAGGACCATTTCTATACATTGTTTTATGTATCCTGTACATTAAAATAAACAAAATAGATTCTAATATCTTCATGAGTATTCCAATTAAAATAATTTACTTAATAACTATTTTTTTTTCTTTTTTCTTTTTTTATGCATATGTACTCTTTAAACATACGTATACATGCATGATTTGAATATATATTAAATAATATAAAAATTTGATTAATAAAGATAATAAATATTTGGTTAGAATAAAAATAAAAATACTACATTGAGTACAATCTCTTATAATGCAAATAAGATTTTAAAATGCAACCTCAAAAACTTTCTAGATAAATGAATTCTCAGTTGTATGAATACATTATACTTCAGTAATCCCCTTCCCATTATTAATTCAAATAATTAGCAGAATAGTATAATTTTGGGGATGATCATAAAATGTAAATTTTAAATAATGTCATGGATAATGAATAATTTACCCAATGCCTATATGATTTTGACTACCTGCTATAAAACAGGATTTATAACACTAGGTTTAACGGTATTACTTAAGTACCTGTTGTTGGTGAAGTTGCTGTTGTTGCATTTGATGTTGCTGTAGATGTAATTGCTGTTGTTGTTGTTGCTGTTGTAATTGTTGTTGATGTTGTAATAACTGCTGTTGTTGCTGCATAGTAGATCCACCACTACCATTACCGGCTTGTTGTGTTTGACCACCTTGAGATCCATTTGGTAGTCCTACGAATATAAATTAAAAGTTATATAAATTTAAATAAAATATAGAAGCATATTATTTACCATTAGGTGCAGGTCCTTGTGCAGGAGATTTAGCCCATCCTTGCAAATCTGATAACAAATTTTGCCAAACTGCAATTTTATCATAATGTCTCTTAATCAAATCTTCTTTGCGTGCTAATTCCAGCCTTAAATCAGATATGTCCTCTTTTACTACCAATTCTGGTTTTAACGCTGATAGTAAAAATCTTTTTTGTAGAAAGAAAGCTTCCATTTGTCTAGCCAAATCTGTAAACCTTAAAGTGACTTGATCTACTTCGCAACGAGCTTCTTCTTTATCTATCGTTAAACCACTGCTTACACCCATTCCGCTATTGCTTGAACCTTCGTCCCTTGTTAATATACTTAAACATTGCTATAAATTAAAAATTTGATTACAAATCTTGCTTTTTAAATAATTGAAAAGAAAAATATTTAGATAAAGATTTATTTATATTTTCACTAATATGAATAAGAAAACAAAATTTATTAGAAAATAAATTACTTTTAGTATAAAGTTAAGTAATTTACCTGAAATGCTTCTTCAAATTCATCAACAAGGTTACCATTACCATTGGTTGGTGTTGCCATTTTGATTGTTATTCATATGTAATACTGTCTATATAATGTTTAAATATCGTATTACTCCTTTTTCTCAATAACCAGCAGTTTTGATATTTATGAGCCGGTAAATAGAAAAATTGGAGTTTATTATGCAATTGCTCGAATTTCAAATTCATAACCAAGAACTGCTAAATTCGTATTAAATCCAAAATGTCTAAAGTGATTTAAAGAATTTTAACAACAGATTAGTAGATAAAATTCAAAAATAAGAGATTCAAGAAAACAAATCCATTTTTTGTAGAAATCTTATGTTATATGACCACTTAAGTTATCATTATTTAATACAGCTTGGAATTATTTGCATAAAATATATACTTATACAATGTGAGCAAACCTGATAACTAACAAATTCTATAATTACCCCAACATTATCTAAACTGACCCAGGCACTTAGGTTAAAGAGAGAAGATGAACCTAGAGTTCCTGTATCTGCATAGTTTCAATTTCGATGATAGAAGCGTCATCTAACGGGAAAATGTTGGACTTTTGCTATTTTAATCAACTATTGTACTTCGAAAATTTTGTTCGAAGTTATGCAAATAAGCATATAATATACCTAAATATATAATACGTTAGTAATAAGTATATATACTTCTATACGCATATTCGTAAGTATATACTTTATAAGATACTTTCTTTTGTATACCTATTTTCTCATTTTTATCTTAAAAAGACAATTACATATTTAATTAAATTTATTAATTAACTTGATAAGAATAACTAATAAAATATTAGCTCATTTAAATATATTAACATACGATATTAAAATGTGCCTGAAAAAAATTTAAATCTAATTGTGCGCATGCGTCATATCTCCTTCTGTCTGAGTTCACGGCGTAGGTCTACAGTCACGGTTGCAGGTTTGGTTCTAGGCCTGTAATTTGCCATTTTGTGACGCCTCGGAAAGGATTTCAAGTAAACAGTCTTTGCAGTTGCTTGTCTGCGAGGACACAAGAATTATGTCGAAACGTAGGATTGATGTTGTTGACCCTTATGTCAAAAGAAGAACGTAAGTAATACAGAAATGTTGATTTGAATTTATGCAGGAAAAAAACGTTCAATGGTGGATCTGCCATGTGCATTGTTACTCATTTTTTTGGATATCATAGTGCTGTTGTTACATATGTGTTTTAACAATTTTAGATTTTATTATTCATCTGTGTTAAAATTTTCATTTATAATGAATAGTGAAAGAGGAGAATTAATTTAACTGCTAATATTTTCTAATGTAAAAGAAAAACTATACTATGTCGTCAATTGTTTGCTCTACTCATTCGTAGTGGTTCTCAATCAAGTTTATTTTGTACAATTACCGCGTGCAACGGTGTCAATAAAACTAGTTATAAAATTTAAGAAGATAATAAAACAATTATAATAGATCGTTAGTAATATGTCTTGTTGCACTAATATTATGCATTCAATCCACGCGTATAATAATTTGCAATTATTTATGCTTATGGAATTATAAAAATGTTATTGTTTTTTAGAATTGGATCAACATCCAATAATGTGCCTGCAACTCCAACTGACTCAAAAAGTCAAGTTCAAATTAATCCCTATAATGGACTACCTTATACCCCACGGTATTATGAATTGCATAAAAAGAGGGTAACACTACCTGTGTTCGAATATCGTCCTGATTTCATGAGGCTTTTAGAAAATCATCAGTGTATAGTGCTTGTAGGAGAAACAGGCTCAGGAAAAACAACACAAATACCACAATGGTGTGTACAGTATTCAAGAAAAATGGGAGCCAAGGGCGTAGCATGTACTTCACCAAGAAGAGTAGCAGCAATGTCTGTTGCTCAAAGAGTTTCAGAAGAAATGGATGTTTGCTTAGGTAAAATTTTATTCAATTATTCTTCATTTATATATAATGTAAATTTTTATATCTGATATTTAATAATATTTATCTTAAACAGGTCAAGAAGTTGGATATAGTATCCGTTTTGAAGACTGCAGTTCTTCAAAGACCATGTTGAAATATATGACGGATGGTATGCTTCTACGTGAGGGCATGTCTGATCCAATGCTTGAAGCATATCAAGTAATTTTACTTGACGAAGCTCATGAAAGAACTTTAGCTACTGATTTACTTATGGGTGTTTTAAAAGAAGTGATTAAGCAAAGACCAGATTTAAAGCTTGTTATTATGAGTGCAACTTTAGATGCTGGAAAGTTTCAACAGTATTTTGATAATGCACCACTTATGAATGTACCTGGTAGGACGCATCCAGTTGAAATTTTTTATACGCCAGAACCAGAAAGAGATTATTTAGAAGCTGCGATTAGAACAGTTATTCAAATACATGTATGCGAAGAAGTGAGTGGAGACTTACTTTTATTTTTAACTGGCCAAGAGGAGATCGAAGAAGCTTGCAAAAGAATCAAAAGAGAAATGGATAATTTAGGTCCCGAAGTTGGTGAACTTAAATGTATTCCATTATATTCAACATTACCTCCCAATCTTCAACAAAGGATTTTTGAACCTGCTCCTCCAAATAAACCTAATGGTGCTATAGGTCGAAAAGTTGTAGTATCAACTAATATAGCAGAAACATCGTTAACAATAGATGGTGTTGTCTTTGTAATTGATCCTGGTTTTGCCAAACAGAAGGTAAATTTTAGTTACCAGTAATTTTCTTTTAATATTTACTAAAGTACATGGATTGATTAGTGAATGTTTCTTGATAGGTTTATAACCCCAGGATTCGTGTAGAGTCACTTCTTGTATCTCCAATTAGTAAAGCTTCTGCGCAACAGCGTGCCGGTCGTGGAGGTCGTACACGTCCAGGGAAATGTTTTAGGCTATACACAGAAAAGGCATATAAAAATGAAATGCAGGATAACACTTATCCAGAAATTTTGCGATCTAATCTTGGTAGCGTTGTATTGCAACTAAAGAAGTTGGGCATAGATGATTTGGTACTTCTTATTATGATATTAAAATATTTTCACAAAAGTATAGAATAATAATTGTTTAATATATTCTTACATTTATCATCATAGGTACATTTTGATTTTATGGATCCACCAGCACCTGAAACTTTAATGAGAGCATTAGAGCTTCTTAACTATTTGGCCGCTCTCGATGATGATGGAAATTTGACAGATCTTGGAGCAGTAATGGCAGAATTTCCATTGGATCCACAACTAGCCAAAATGTTAATTGCTTCTTGCAATCACAACTGTAGCAATGAAATACTTAGCATTACTGCTATGCTTTCAGGTAAAGTTTTTTAACAATTATAAACATATCAATGTCATTAGAGTTAATGGTTAAAAAGTAAACTAAATATGTATACTATTTGCTATTTATGTGATTGTTTACTGCAAGTAAGTGTTAAGAAATTATTTTAGACGTAGTTAAATAGTTATAAAAAGAATTAAAGTCAAAGTCGTGGTAAGTTAGCATGGTAGTGTATTGATGAATGACGTTGTATTAGTCCCACAGTGTTTTGTGAGGCCGAATGAATCAAAGAAGGCAGCTGATGATGCCAAAATGAGATTTGCGCACATCGACGGTGATCACTTGACATTGCTCAATGTCTACCATGCATTTAAACAAAGTAAGTAAGCTTTAATCTTAAGCAATAGATTGTTATATTTTTAATGAAATATTTTATTCCTTAAAATATTAGATTTGGAAGATCCACAATGGTGTTATGATAATTTTGTTAATTACCGATCTTTGAAAAGCGGAGATAATGTCAGACAGCAATTAAGTAGAATAATGGATAGGTTTTCTTTGAAACGAACTTCTACTGATTTTACATCGAAAGATTATTATATAAATATCAGGAAAGCCCTTGTTAATGGTTTCTTCATGCAGGTATTAATTAAAGCATTACTATTACTTTATTATATATACTTATCATAGTTTTCATAATAATCTTTATCAATATTTTCAAATTAGGTGGCTCATTTAGAAAGAACAGGCCATTATTTAACAATTAAAGATAATCAAATTGTCCAGCTACATCCAAGCACTTGTTTAGATCACAAACCAGAATGGGTGATTTATAATGAATTTGTACTCACAACCAAAAATTATATTAGAACAGTAACTGATATTAAACGTAAGAACAAATATATACAACTATATGAAATATAAAAAGTACAATTTATTTGTTGACGGATCTTTATAATAAATAAAATTTTTATTTTCAGCCGACTGGTTACTGAAAATAGCACCGCAATATTATGATCTACAAAACTTTCCTCAATGTGAAGCTAAAAGGCAATTAGAAACTATTCAAAACAAGCTTGATTCGAAACAGTATACAGAAGGATTCTAACCTCTATACATGTTAGATATATTGAAATATCATATAACATGGCTGAAAATTGTCGATCAAATAATAAATGACACTAAGAAAGACATATAATTGATTGGAATATCAAAATCTAAATATGTCACATAACCGATTAGAAAATGTGACTTGAGAGTAATGTTTCTTGCTCTTCAATTTCATCTTTATAAAATGTGATGCTAAAATAGAATTCAAGAAAATTGCGACTTATCAAAATATGAGCGGAAGCTTGGAGGATGCTATAACATAAAACAAAATATCCGCAGCTTGAAATAAAATAGGAAAGAGAATGGAAAATAATTAAAAATCTATTAAAAAATGGATCGCAATTAAGACACAATTAAATGATAAATAATTATTTATGTACATTTAATAAAATCTAGTGGTTAAGTGATTTTACCAGTAGAATTTGTTGGAAGACATTTACACATTTCGAATGTCATGCTAGGAAAAAAATAGATTAATTTTTGTATTAAATGTTAAAGGAATACACCAAACACATGATGCGTAAACGTATTACGATATTTACGTAATTAAAAAGAAATTAACAAAAAAAAAAGAAACTATCATTTTTGTAGCCTGTGTAGCCACGGTTGCATCAGAGTTTCTGTCTTATCTTTGTCTCACATTTTATCCTACAATATATGTAGGAATTTGGATATTAATTAATTCATTCATTGTAAACGTATCAAACCCTTTTCCCGTTTTCTCATATACGCGTATTTATTTACTTTTTTCTATGTTAAAATGTACGGTTGCTGATATCATGCACAAGTGCTTGTCAATCTTCGTGCACGACTACGCTCTGCTATGGTTTAGTAGTTATGAAATATGTTACAGGGTGACGGACAACGTTACTCTAAAAGCAGTGAGACATATATATAGAGGAACTACAAATAAATGTGATAGATACACTATTCAAAGGGGGACCCAACTTATAATTACAAATTACCAAAAAAAAATAAGAGAAAATAACTTCGTATCTTAATATAAAAGTTAGGTCTAATTAAAAAAAAAAACAAAAAAAATCAAATTATTCTAATTTATAAACATTAGGATAATGAAAATTACAAGTTGCTGTTATTTTGTAAAAAGATCATTTTCAATATAAAGACTCAAATTATATAATTTAGCTTTTTTCCATACATGACAAATATTTTAATGATTATTATAATCAAAAAATATATCTAAATATTATCCATATTTTGGATTAATCTCAACAGATTAAGTATAAATAGAAATTGTATGATACACATTATAGAAATTTATGATTAAAGTTTTTTCCTAATTATCATTACAATGATCATTTGATCGATTGAACAAAAATACTTCGTTTCATATCATAGATTATTAGAAGAAAAAGAATTGATAAATGCTTTCGTAATACACAATTTAGATTTAAAAAAAAATGTTAATATTATATTTTATTAGTTCGACTAGTTTTATCAGTAAAATTAAAGAATATTTCATGCATTTACTTGTTTACTCCAATATAGTTAAATAATGAAAATTTCGAGATTTATCATCAGATTTGTATTATGCGGGTTTAAACAAAAATACGGTACGGTGTAATAAATATATATGTACATATAATCTAAAGTATTTAAATTTGTATTGTGTGTGAATATTGATTTAGATTATTCAATGAAGGTCTCACTGTTAGTAATATTTGTCCTGCTACACTGGAATATAATGATTTCATTTTTAAAACTAAACAATAATAATATTGCAAGTTTAAATGAGATATTACAGCAACCGCCTTTATTATCACAGATGCTATTTCATTATACTGTACCACTTCATTCCAATAAAATAACACGATTATACATTTGGCTTTTGTTTAATTAAATTTTCGTTAATCGTTATTTTAAATGCTTACTGTAAACAAAAAAATATTAACATTGGCATATCAATATCTAAACAAATATGGAAATTAAATAATACAATTAATTGTGTAATATTTTTAAGTACATAATAAGAATATGTATAACATATATAATATTTTGAAATGATATGGTATATTTAAAGGATGAGAACCACTGTGGAAGCACGAGATTTGTAGTATTTCATCATTCGGTATACACTTTCGTTGAAATCTTCCTTAAATCATGGCTTCGATTACAATACCGGTAGCAATGAAATTAGTTCGTTTCACTACAGATACCATGTATCAAATTAACAAAAATTCATTACTTAGGTGAGTATTAAAAATAATATATTATGAATGTAATTAATTAAGTTCGATCATTTTGTTTTTTTGATGATATTTGTGTGCGAGTAAGGTTAAGTATTAGATAATATATATTTATTAGTTGATTATTGTGTATTATCCTATTTTAATAATTATATTTTATTTATTTTTTATACTAGAGAATTGAGTAGTTTAATTAATGTATAAATTAATACTGTCTTTACATTTTGATCATTATGTAGTATAATGATGTAAAAAGTATTGCTTATAATTTAAGAAAATTTTAGTAAAATGTGGGAACATTTATAGCAAATCTTTTTTTATATTTGTATCATTTTATTTTATAAAAGTGTTTAATCTTAATTCTAGGTTATCTCGAACATCATATACTTTTCCCTGGCAAAAGCCAAGATATAGTACGGTGACAGAAGAAAAAAAGAACGAGGGAGATGCACCAGGAACACCGTTGCAGGAACCAACGGCGGCTGAAAAAAAGTGGAAAGAAGAAATTGAACTTCTTAACAAAGAGATAGTAGAACTTAAGGAAATCAAAAATACATTTGAAGATAAATATAAGAGAGCACTAGCTGATGGAGAGAATCTTAGAGTTCGGTTGACCAAGCAAATTGAGGATGCCAAACTTTTTGGTATTCAAGGTTTTTGTAAAGATCTTTTAGATGTAGCAGATGTTTTGGGAAAAGCTACCGAAAGTGTACCTAAAAATGAATTAACAGATAAAAATCCACATTTGAAAACACTCTACGAAGGTTTAATAATGACTGAAGCACAACTGCACAAGGTAACAGATATAATTAGTTAATCTATTATAATATTAAATTAAATAGTGTAAATATTAGTAGCGACAGTAATATATTTTAATGACAGGTTTTCAAGAAGCACGGTTTGGTATCTTTGAATCCTTTAAATGAAAAATTTGATCCGAACCAACACGAAGCATTATTTCAACAAGTAAGATATTTAAAACAGAAACTTATAATAAATTTCTGTTAAAGAAAAAAAGAAATGTATTTAATTTTTTTAGGAAGTGGAAGGGAAGAAGCCAGGAACAATCGTAGTTGTATCGAAGGTTGGCTACAAATTACACGAACGGATAGTTAGACCTGCATTGGTTGGCGTAGCAAAAGGATAAATTTTCTATATTTAAATTCCATAATGATAGATTATATAAAACTAACAATTTGTTAAGTGATGTAAAATGAAATGACATAATGCCGCAGTAATTTAAGATAGAAGGTATTTAATAGATTTACACAACTTAAGAATGTTATTAAAAATATGTCGAGTTTATGACAATTGATAAACTATATTTCTTATTTCTTAACATATTCACTACCACGGTCTACTTAAAAGAACCAATGCCATAGACATGGCCTTTTGCAGTTATTTAAGATAATATGTTATAAAATGTATTTATGTAGATATCAAGTATATTACTATATGTCATTATATAGTATATATTTACTTGTTTCATTGACTATATGTTGTATTCATGCGACGTGTGGTAGTAAATGTGTTAATAGAATGTTATATTACATATGTAACATTTCACTCTAGAGTAATTTCAATCTTGTTTGTTTCAAATTATTACAAAATAATTTTTAATATTTTTACAAATCTGCTGATATTTTTTGAATCCAAAATGAATTGTTACATAATAGTCAATGCAAACAAAAAATATTTTATATACTCGATTGAAGGTTACACACAAAATGCATTATCCATATTCTATAGCATTTTTAATGTAAACTTTATTCATTTTATTTTAATTATAAAAAAGCATTAATGATCATAAAAATATTATAAATTATATGTAAGTAACGAAAAAATATGGCCTTCAGATATTACAATATATATGTAACGGCTAATATCACAGGTAACAAAAAATATGGTATGAAAAAATTTATTTCTTAACATCTTTCAAATACTTTATATAAATTAGGTAAACTAGCTATTTGCAGTATAGTTGAGTCATGGACAAAAGGTTTTGGAGGTAATAAACTTTCTTTAATTGCTGGATATAAAATATGTTCAGTAACATATTTCCAGTCATGCATATTATGAATAGGATTCATTTCACTATAGTATTTTGCTGTTTCTCTGCAAATATTTCGGAAACATGTTTGTTCATTAGTCCAGTCAACCTCTGTCGATAAGCGTAAAATATATATTGGTAAATCTCCTTCGAATGGAAAATATTTATCTAAAAAATAAATATATCATTTTTATATAATATCATGGAACAATAATTAATAATGTTTCATTGTTACCTAATAATATTGGTAATGATTTTAAATTTCCTTTTTTATCTATGACTATAGAAAAATATTCTTTCATCATATCTGCTTTTTCTAATAATAATTCTTTTACACTTGTAGCTAGCTCTTCTTTTGGACCATCTTCTTCCGTCCACCCTGCTTCTTCGGTTTCTAATCCTAGCATAGCTAAGTCATATAAAGATATTGGATCCTAAAAATAAATAAAATAATACATGGATTCTTTTAAAATCATAAGGATATTATTTAAAATATTTTTTGTTTATGTGCAACTTACTGAAAACTTCATAACGCCATAATTAGCAAAGTCATACAGCATAATTTCGTAAAAAAGTTCCTCGCTAAATGTATAGAAAACAAAATTAAGTTTCTTTTTTTTTTTTAGTTTTAATTATATATTAGAAATATATCGGAAGATAAAACTCACGCTAATTTTTTTGTATTGCATATATATAAATTGACGCCACTTTGTACCAAGGCGGATATTTCATCGATACATCCAACGAATATTAAATTAGATAAAATTTCTCTCAAACCTTGGTGGCAATTATCTTCTACTTCTTTCCTTAATTTTAACACACTAGTTAATTTTACTTCTCTTCTAAAATTGTTTATAGAATAAGATTTGAATTCTCGTACCGATTTATCATCTTCTTTGGCAACAACGTTTGATTGAGATACACAATCAACTTTATCTTTTGTACATTGTTTATTAAATTGTTCTATTTTATTATCATTATTTTCTTTTTGTATATTAGTTATTGGATTTTTTGGTGATTCTTCTTTTTCCAAATCTTCAGTATTTTGATTACCGAAATATTGACATACTCTTTTACGTGCATTTTTTGCAATCGATTCATTAAATTTATTTACACCGCATTGTTCTTCATTACCCGAATCATCTGATTCAGATTCTGATATTAGTAAAATTGGTTCTTTCTTAACGGAATTTGGATTAATATTATTATTAAATATACCACTACTATTAGATGTAGATGCAATTGGCTCAGATGAGGCTGATGACGTTGATTGGTCTATGATGGCACTTAAATGTACAGATTCATTATTTTGTAAATGTTTTTCGTGTAATGTATTTTTATTTGAAATATCCACTTCTTTTTCATTTACAGAAATATCATTTGCAGCAGCATTATTTTTAGTATCATCTGATATATTTAATTTTAATATCTTTTCAGTTGGAAGATTAGATTTTTCTGTTTGTTCCAAATTATTATCTCTAGCTATTTTCATAGCAGTATGAACGGTAAAATTAAACTTATCAAGTTTTTGATCAGCAGAATCAGTTCTAATTAATTCTTTATCGTATATTTTTTTCTGTTTTCTTGAATTATTTTTATCGAATTCAGGTAAAACTTCTTTCAAAGTTTTTTCAGCAACATCAACTTTTGGCAAACGTGCTTGCATATAAAATGTTCTCGATGCACTGTCACTGGTTAATTTTTCATCTAAAGCTAATTTAACTTTTTCTATTATAATGTCTTCGTGGAGAAACCTAACTTCATGTTTTGTTGGATGTACATTAACATCAACATTATTTGGATTAATTTCCAAAGATAAATAAACAAATGGATGAGTCTTTTTTGGTAGATGTATCGCATACATTTCCTCTAACATTTTTTTAATTGCTACAAGAAAAAAACATTTATATTAATAATAAGATAGTAATTTTTTATAATTCTACAAATTATATTTGTAATATACTTACGAGAAGATTCTACAAGACGATTATTAATGAATAATAAAAATATCATTCGTTTACTTGTGTAGTTTGGATTTGTTATTAGGGCATGCATTTTAAATTGGTAACTATCATCTTGAAACTCAATTTCTAACAACTCTCTTGCTACTGGATTTCCATACAATATTTTTATATTATTCATTTTAGTAGAATTATGTGCCGTTCGAACCTTACAATAATATAATTCAATTTAAATATAAATACTATTTTAAATACTTTTAAGTTATGAAATAACTTGAAATGATTATTTTACTTGTGGTGTTGTCTCTCCATGTTTCTTTAATGTAAATCCAACTGTAGGATTATGTATAGCATATTTTATAACTACGTCTGTAATTTTACCAAATTCTTCTGACGAGTTGGACAATGCTTTTCGTCGAGTTGCTACATTGTAAAATAAATTTTCAATAGTAATCGTTGTACCTTGATTACCAGCACATGGTTTTGGTTGTTCTTTCAATTTACTATTGATATACATTGCTCTAAAATATAATTATTCAAATACAGCGATAATTACCATTTCTATCGGTTTATTGTTGTAAGTTAAATATAATACCTATATGCACATTTCTCATCAGATGTTTTAGTCGTTATAGTTAAAAGTGCAATATGACTAATACTTGCTAAAGCTTCTCCACGGAATCCAAATGTTGATATCGTTTTGAGATCTTCAAAATTTTGTAATTTGCTTGTGGTAAATCTTTCGCATACAATATCCATATCATCTTTCTTAATACCTGTACCATTATCTTGAATCTACAATGCAAATACTTTGTTGATATCATTTTAATAATGTGTTTAATATAAATTAATATAAATACCTGCAGTAATTTTAATCCTCCTTCTTTCACTATTATCTGAATATTTGTAGCTTTAGCATCCAAGCTAAAATATAAAAATACATATAATCATAATAGAAATGTAAAGATTTTATTGTATTCAAATAATATTACCTATTTTCTATTAATTCTTTTAATGCATTTGCTGGTCTCTGAATGATTTCACCAGCTGCAATTCTATTTACTACAACTTCATCTAATTTCTTTATTTTCGCGGGTAAATTCATGTTTCATTTGTAAGAATAAATGAAACTATATAAAGAAATTTATTAAATTAAATGTATGGAGGTTATACAGTGAATAGACTTAACCAGATCTGAACTTCCCGCTAGATTTGAATTTAACTAACATAGAGCACAGCACTGATGCACCCTCTGTTTATCTAACGGTAGTGAGCTTAATGCTTATTTGTGACGTTATTTTGTGTGTATACAATTTTTGTGTTTGTATATTTATAAATGTATAAAATATGAGATATTTAATATATACGATTAATTATATTTTTTAATATTTTAAATAATTCGGTTATTGAATGCATATGATAATTTGTGATTATGAAATTTAATATATAATAATATATTATATTAAATATAATATATTATAATATAATATATAATATATAATAATATACATATTATCTTTATATTTTTATCGTGAAAAATTATATATATGTTATAAATATTTATTTTATCATATTAAGATTTTTTAAAATAATCTCAGACTATACGCGGAAGTTTATTTTTATATCGTATATACTAGAAACAATATATATTGCAACAACCTTGTAACGCTGATTTAATTTCTACTTGAGAATCTCTCATTTCTCTATAACGTATATAAACAATTAAAATAAATTTAAGGATAAAAAAATGATATAAAAGAACTTATTCTTAACATAAATTACGTATTAAAAACCTATAAATTAAGTTGAAAAGTTTTGAGTCTAATAAAAAAAAATGGTTCTTTTTTCTAAAAGTCATTTTTATTTCAGAAAATAGAAGTTTTTTTTGTCGAAGTTCCAAACTTTTTAATTCACTATCGTAGTTAATTTTAATATTAATCGAGTAAGAGATGACGTCAGATTATTACAAGAAAGTCGATATTTAGATCAGAAGAAATATTTGGCGCAGTAAAGAGAAACATTTTTCGTAGTGCTAATTATAGCTACGAACGATTTAAGATCTAATACGTTCCAGTATATTCTTTCGTCTCTTCTCTCGTCTTCAAATGCAAATGCAATTATGACCTAACACACATATATATATATATATATATATAAATGTCTCTAGCTTCTCCCCTCCATGCTTTGAAGAAACCTTCCCTACCAATGACGAGTTGCGACGTTTGAAATAGACATTGTGATTGGCCAGTCAAAGAAACTTCTCGAAGCGGGCGATTCGGTCTATTAAAACTCCTTCCTACGAGAAAGTTGCAGAAGTGTTGTTGTAGTCACAAGTGACAAACGTTTTCTGCGTATTCGCAACCGAATTACGAATTATTGTTTCTGTTACCAAATAAGGAGCACGAAATGTAAGTCTATGCATTTTATTTGTGTCCTGTTTTTTTATTTCTTTTCTTTCTTCAAATGTTTAAAGTTCCGAAAAAGTTTTGACATTTTTATTGGTTTGATTTTTTATCATAAACCCTCTCACGCGCGTTATAAATAAAATGAAATTTAATATGATCTTCCATTTACATTCAGTAAGAGTCTTATAATGAAATAATCTTTACAGAGATCGATTAAATCTATTTGTTCTCGAGATTATTTTTTAAATTTTATTTTATGCGATATTCTAGGATATATCCTGGAAAGAAAACAAGATAAAATTTAAGATAAAATTTGATTCGATCGCTGGTCTTATTGAAAAAAAAAAAGAAAAAAACACCAGACAACAACTAAAAAAAAAAAAAAAAGATGAAACATTATACAATCATATCTAAATCGAAAGTGCATGTTATTTTCGGTTGTGTCGTAAAGTGGAACAAGATTCGAGAAACTTCGAATCAAGTTGTGCTTGCAACATAGCCTAAGTAAATCAGTAAAAGAGTTTAGCTGTGGAAGAGTAGGTTATTCTTAAACTATCTGCGATAATATATGAGAACGATACGATGTAATATATTTTCATGTTTTTCAACAGAGTGTGAATCATGTCAAAAGTTCCGGCAATTGGAATCGACTTGGGCACTACGTATTCCTGCGTAGGTGTTTTTCAACATGGAAAAGTTGAAATTATTGCCAATGATCAAGGAAATCGGACTACACCAAGTTATGTGGCCTTCACCGATACCGAACGATTGATTGGAGATGCGGCGAAAAATCAGGTTGCCATGAATCCAAGTAACACCATTTTCGGTATGTATTTGTATAATTTTGAATAATCGTATTTTTATAATCTTCAATTTGTTAGAAATTTCTCGACTACGGACTAACAAACATTGCTTTTCTCACGTTTAGAAAATTTCATGTGATTTTATATATTGATTAAAAGTTGTTATCGTGTAGATACTTCAATGTAAATGTAAACTGAATCAACTTAATTACGATGATCACGTAACCGTATAGATTTTCTTTATTTATCCCACATTTGATTTAATGACCTCGTAAAATAGCGTAAATATAACATACTATGTTTTTTGTTACGCGTGTGTGCTGACTCAAGGTTAACGTGACATTCATTCTTTTCGCGTCGTACAATATAGTAACATATATTATGACTTGTAGAAAAGATCGTAATTATCGGCTCGGTGATTAACGTGTAGACTTGTCAACATATTTATGTACTGCGTGAGTTTTAAATGCATACACGATCGAGAAAAATGTGTCATTGAAAGCTATGAATTTACCTTATTTGGAATAACATTGAATTATTTTGAATTATTATTTGTTAAGATGCAAAACGGTTAATCGGTCGTCGTTTCGATGATGCAACGGTACAAAGCGACATGAAGCATTGGCCATTTACTGTGGTGAGTGACGGAGGAAAACCAAAGATTCAAGTTTCATACAAGGGCGAAGTGAAAACTTTCTTTCCGGAAGAAGTGTCCTCGATGGTTTTGACAAAGATGAAGGAAACTGCAGAGGCCTATCTTGGACGGACTGTTACTAATGCAGTTATCACAGTTCCTGCATACTTCAACGATTCTCAGCGGCAGGCAACGAAGGATGCCGGTGCAATAGCTGGCTTAAACGTTTTACGTATCATTAATGAGCCAACTGCTGCAGCAATAGCTTATGGTCTTGACAAGAAGACATCAGGCGAGAAGAACGTATTGATCTTCGATCTTGGCGGTGGTACTTTCGATGTTTCCATTTTGACGATCGAGGATGGTATCTTTGAGGTGAAATCGACGGCTGGTGATACTCATCTCGGTGGCGAGGACTTTGACAATCGTATGGTCAATCACTTTGTTCAGGAATTTAAACGAAAATACAAGAAGGATTTGAGTACTAATAAGAGAGCTGTTAGACGTTTGAGAACGGCTTGTGAGAGAGCAAAGAGAACGCTTAGCTCATCTACACAGGCTAGCATTGAAATCGATTCATTGTTTGAGGGTATTGATTTTTATACGTCTATTACTCGAGCTAGGTTCGAGGAATTATGCGCCGATCTCTTCAGGAGCACTCTCGAACCGGTGGAAAAGGCTTTAAGGGACGCGAAAATGGATAAGTCGCAGGTGCATAGCATCGTTTTGGTTGGCGGATCTACTAGAATACCAAAGATTCAAAAACTTCTGCAAGATTTCTTTAATGGCAAGGAATTGAACAAGTCTATTAATCCTGACGAGGCTGTGGCATATGGTGCCGCTGTACAAGCTGCTATTTTGCATGGCGATAAATCAGAGGAGGTTCAAGATTTATTGCTACTCGATGTTACACCGTTGTCCCTTGGTATCGAGACTGCTGGTGGTGTTATGACAACTTTGATTAAGAGAAACACTACGATACCTACCAAACAAACTCAAACGTTCACCACTTATTCGGACAATCAACCGGGTGTACTTATCCAAGTTTACGAAGGAGAGAGAGCTATGACGAAAGACAATAATATTTTAGGAAAGTTCGAACTCACGGGAATTCCCCCTGCACCGAGAGGTGTCCCGCAGATTGAAGTTACCTTCGACATTGATGCCAATGGTAAATTTTCTTAAATGGTTATAAAAATCAAATAAACAATTAATAAAAATCGTTATCCACTTTACACATTCTCTATTACTTATGTTAATATATGATTTAAATTTAATTTTTTAGGTATTTTGAACGTCTCTGCGATCGAAAAATCAACCGGAAAGGAAAATAAGATTACAATTACGAATGACAAGGGTCGCTTATCAAAGGAAGATATCGAAAGGATGGTGAACGAGGCTGAAAGATATCGAAATGAAGATGAACAACAACGAGATAGAATTAGCGCTAAGAATGCTCTGGAATCTTATTGCTTCAACATGAAAAGTACGATGGAGGATGAGAATATTAAGGATAAGATAGATGAGTCAGACAAGCAGAAGGTTCTTAACAAATGCAACGAGGTCATTTCTTGGTTGGATAGTAACCAATTAGCAGAGAAGGAGGAATTTTCGGACAAGCAAAAGGAGTTGGAGTCTGTTTGCAATCCCATAGTTACTAAATTGTATCAGGGTGCTGGTGGTGGCGCTGCTGGTGGTTTTCCTAACAAACCTGGTGGTGGTGGTGCCGGCACTGGCGGTGCTGGTGGACCCACCATTGAAGAAGTTGATTAAAAATCATCTTAATCGAGCATTCTTTTTACTATGTCTTTTATAATTTATTTATTTCTTCTTGATTGTTTTTGAGATGAACTAAATTTTATAATAGGTCGTGCATACATTATTTGTGTGAATATACACTATGTTGTTCTGTCTTATAGATTGAATATGACCGCCGCTGTATATGTTCTTATTCTGATAATGCTTGGGAATATATTTGGATCCTCAATAAATATTTATTTTGAATAATTAGACTTGTAATCGAGATTTATCTGATTATTACTTACTTCTAATGTATTAGGATTAATGTTGTTCGAACGTTATTTATCGTCGCATTAGTTCTTACCGTTGACTCTCGTTTGAAATTATTTAGACGTTTTCAGGTCGGTAGAATTGAACGAGGATAATTAAGTAAGTTGTAATAACACCTACGAACTGAAAATGCGAATTAAATGTTATTTCTTGATCGAAGAACGTAATAATGAAATATTTGAATAATTTATTTGGATTGATCGAATCCAGTGGACTTACACCAGTCAAAAGAGCGTTGTTCATTTCAAAAAAATCACAGGCGGTAAAGGAAATCGGTTGTTGTTGAAGTTGATTCGAGAAATCGTTAATCTCGTTTCTGACACAATCACGCTCGATATTTGCCCGTAATATATTTTCCATGCTGAAGTAGTTCAAACCAAATCTACTAATGTCGAGCGAAATTCGTCGGCGATCTTCTTGGTGTTGTTGATATTGTTGGTTCAATTGTAAGGAATAATCGTGCTCGTTGTAAATAGCCAGAACGGATAACGGTTTATCACGATTTGTCTTTTCATGATTAGGAATAACAGAATGTATCAATATACCAGTCTTCTTGAATTCTTGATTGGTCAGTGTGCAGACCCAGCACATAAGCCCAAACTGTCCTGCGTAAATTATCCAAATGATGTTGTTGATCAGCATGAACGCATAATTATGCTCAACAACACCCATGTAAATTCGGAAGAGCGTAGCAACGACCATCGTGAACGAATTGGCTGAACAAAGAAGAAGTTGGACACCATGTATATCATTAACAAGAACCACCAACTCGCAAACACCTATGAAATTGAAATTCTAAAATTAAAATATTAACGATAGAGGAACTCTAATTTTTTACTACAATCTTATTTACCACTGTGTAATTCCCTTATACGTCGAATTTTGAATGCGATTAAAGATGCAACCAATTTGTTGTCTAGTCGCTCGATCATTTTATTGATCTTTCTGAATCTATTACAAATCACGTAGACTACCGTATCAAAAACGAAACTGTTGATTGCGGATTGAGCTATTGTATAATATAAAAGAAGATCCGAAGCGAATATTTCTTCTGGTGCAGTAAAATAATAATAGAGAGCATGCATCAATAGTGACACTGGTCCTAAAATAAATGTCAATATGACGGCCAGAATTTGAATGGTCTTAATCGATCGTTCATTTATCGACACCTCTCGTGTGATCTTTTTATTTAATTGTTCTATCTTGTCCATCAGTAAAGGCCACTTGTCGTAATGTTTGATACCGTGAAAAACGTAATAATATGATGAAACGTAACAGACGACTTTGTTCATATAATACATGATCTTATAAATATCACTTTTGAAAATAGTACCAAATGTAAAAAAGTCAATGGCTCCATAAGCGACGATCACTGTGCAAACTCCAAAGTTGAGAACGCGAACGATTATTGTTACGAACTTTGGTAATATTTTCGGACGGGCTACACCAACTCCCAAAAACCAAGAGACATAAGTTATAATGCGTAAAGTTTTTTCTGTCGTCAGTGTTGATCTTTGTTCTATTTGAACGTTCGTTTCGTCTTCCATGTTGTGTCGAATATTCGAGACAGTACGAGATCAGTTGAATGGTACGTTCATTTTTTCAAGAATGCTGGAACACTTTTGAGGTTGACATTCTCAAAATCAAGAACATAAAAGTCCTGCATTAATAATCTTGTGTTAAATTTATAAGACAGCGATAAAGTTAGCTGTTAAAATTTCATGGTGTCCTTTTAAGGAAATTAAAAATCTTACTCCTGCGTGGTTGTATTTCCACGCACGAAAGAAGAACATGCATCGTTCATTCTTTATACATATCTACATAATATATATATATATATATGTATATATATATATATATATGTATATTGGAAAAAACGAGCTTTATTTGCCCAACGACTATATTACAATTTTTATTATATAGTAAACATTTAAAATCAGATAAAACGATAACGTGTTGGTTGTACATCGACCTTTACAAATCATGCGGCAAGTCGAGTTAAAGTACTTTTGGAGATATGCGGGCTTGAAATATATTCTTATTTCTCTTTTTATCTCGCTTAATAATTTTTTTTTCTTTTTTTTTCCCCATTAATAAATAATTAGCAGCGCTCGCGATAAATCGGCTTATATCTGTCGGATAATATATTTTGGTATTATTTCTTTTCTCCTTTCCCTCTTTTGTCAACCCTTTTTAATAATTCTTTGCTTTTATAAGTGCGATCGTTTGCCAAAACACGCCTAAGTATAATGCATAACATTTGTGTGCCTGTTGCTTCTTTTTTTCTTGCTTTGTTTTTTTTTTTATTTTCTTAATTTTTTTTGCCTGCTTTTTCTTTTTTTAATGATGGATTATACATGAAGATTCGATTGGCTTTAGCGATCGAAGTTTTTTTTGAATCGCGATCTAAGAATTTTTCGCGAAGGATTTCTCTTCGATTTTGTGTATATATATATATGTATATATTTTTTTTTTTATGTATAATATATATCGCTCTTTTCTGTTTTTTTTTCTTGTAAATCTTTTTTGTTAGTTTGTTTACTCTTATAGGGAAAAGGCAGCGTGAAATTATTCGAACACGGAACGCGTCGATTTAACACTTTGCGACGACCCCGAGTTGGTTGATTTTTTTTCGCGAAATATAATTTTATTTGGTTCTACGTGTATTAGTAGTAGTAGTAATAGTAGTAGTAATAATAATAGTAGTAATAGTATAACTTCTCTTCCTTTTTTTTTGTAATTTAAAAAAAATAAAAGATCTCAAAGTATGAATATAGAATCGCGTTTTACATTGCCGACGATGTTCAGACTGATTTATTCGAAACGACGACGGTAGTAGTGGTCGTTGGTTGTGAGGAAACGAAAAACTATCACGATTGGAAAAATGACGCTCTGTAGAGAAGGATATATTTTGTTTAAATAAATAATTAGCAATATGGTCGATAAAAAAAAACAAGAAAAGGAAGAAAGAAAAAAAAAAGAATAGAAAGGAAGAGATAGATAGATAGATAGATAAATAGAAAAAGAGATAGAGAAATATGACAAATTGGTAGAACGATCGTACACGATTGCGAGTAATTTGCGTGACTTTTGATAATTAAAAGATTTTCCTTGTGTATCATCAGTTGACATATAAATTAATGTAAAAGGAGACCTTTATTTCAATTTTCTTTCTTTCTTTTTTTTTTTTTTTTATTGAATCGATTCCCTAGATGAACGTTAACGTTTCTCTCGACGAATAATAAATATTTCAAAATAAACTTACGAAAGTGAAACGAAAGATCAACGAACGTTATTCAATATTTTCGTTATCGAATATTTTAGTACTAACAATCGTTTCAATATAAGGTGAATAATATCGTAAGATTTAACCAATGGATTAAACTATCCCTTTTTCATTATATAATTATTCTTAATTATTAATTAATCATATTGCATTGATTATTCTAATATGGATGACGAATTATTATCCAATCATTTTCAAATAATGAAATATCTAAAAGAGAGTGCTTTTTGGTGATGAGTTTGATATCGATTCTTTTTATTTTTTCTTTTTTTTTGGAAAAAAGAATAAATAAATGCCTTGTTTAATATTCTATTCGTCAATGAAAGATTTTATAAGATTACATAAAATGATATTAAACTTGTAGATATTTTTCCTTTGTTACTGTTCGTCAATCAAATGTTATTTTTCATTTGATATGTCTTTTAAATTATCGACGTAAAGCTGAAGCGTTTTAACTGATACGATTTACTGTTCTTTAATTGGTGAATGTTATCACGATTTATCCATACGGAACAAGTTGATATATCGTATATAGATATACTATTTTCGAATATTTGTAAATATGTTATCAATACAATATAAATAAATATATAAATATATATATTTTATATATAATATATATAACATATTATGTGTGTGTGTGTGATATATGAAACATATACATGTAGTATGCGAAAACATGTATATGTAACATATAAAAGATATAATATATGTATATCTATATATATATATATATATACATCTCTTGTTTCGTATAGGTTACCAAAGAACTCATGAGGTCGTTCGATAATCAATCATGCAACGATTCCATAAAAATTATTACTTTTCTTTTTTCATAGACTTTATGGATATGTAATCTGATCAGTTAATTGTTTTCTTGAAAACACTGTTTCTCTTGGATAATTATAATTATCATATATCGTTAATACCGAATAAAAACAATATAGAAAGAAAAAGATATATAAATACCGATGCAAAAACGACAAATCGTATCAATCGCGTTCATTTAAAAGACTCCAATTTTGATAAGAATATTATCATCATCTTCTTCTTCTTTTTTTTTTATTAATTCGGAATAGAACGCTAGCTACTTGAACTTGTCTTATCGGTATGCTTCTTTTACCACAAAATCCCATTTTATGGAGACGGCCGTTTCACGTTATTGTTTAAGCATTATTTTAATAAGCCGAGCGGTCGTAGACAAAGCTCGACGAACATTGTTCTTTTTATTATTATAATTATAATAATWATTATTATTATTTATTATTATTATTTCTTGTTTGTTTCTTTTTCTTTGAAATTAAATCGCAATTTTTTGTTTCATAATGAAATTTTCTAATTAGATCGGAAAAATGGGTATTCGTTTGATCATACGAAGAGAATCACGGATGACGAGGACTCACAATCACGATCTAAACTTGAAAAATGTCTACGGAGGCTCGTGGTGCCACATTCGAATCAAAGATAGATGTTGTCGGGGTTGTGGCAGATGGGACGTCGATTTTTCTGCTGTTGACCACTGCGGTAGTCGTCGATAACGTCTTCTTCATCGTTTCCGGTGACTCCGATGTTGTCGGTACCTGCTACGATTTAATTTATTAATAATTTTGTTCACTTTTTATATCCTTTTTGAAGTGAAAACTTCTTTAGAATGAGTGTGATTTGAAAAAATGGTAAAACGAAACCGGGATGTAGTGAGGGAAAGAGATGGCCTCAAAATACTACGTAAGAAGAGAAAAAGAGACAAACATATTATTTATAAATCATCATTATTTATAAAAATATTTGATTTGCAAACATTTTTTAAAGTGTTTTATTATTTACTTTCTTTGTAATTATTATAAAAATTCGCGCCTGTATGAATACAACCCTCCAGACACACTTTGAAAATGTTGCTTGCGAGCGCTATCTGTCGAGACGGAATATTTTTTCTGCCCGAAAGATAGGCAACCCGTCATACATACGTGTATAAACAGTTTTGATTGCAAAAAAATTTCGTCCCAGTAGATGGTGCTCGCAAACAACATTTTCAAAGTGTGTTTGGAGGGTTGCATACGAACAGGCGAGCATTTTTATAATTAAATTAATAATTAAATAAATAATTACAAATTAAAAGTACAAATAATATTAAAATAATATTATGTAATAAATTATCCTCGAAACTTGTTTATTTAAAGGTTTCACTTCTAACTTGTGTGATATGCACACATATTTTTTTTTTATTTATTTATTTTATAACGATGTTCTTCGTTACTAAATATTACATTTTTCATTGGATCATTTGTTTGTTCAATTAAGGTTTGATTTACGGTTTGATTGATAAATATATATATATTGTTATTATTATTTTTTTTAAATTAAATTCGTTAAATTCGTAAAATATTTTGTTTTTTTTTCTTTTCATTCAGTAATATGTTTTATATTTCAAGTTATTTTATGTATTACTTGATAATAAAGTCGATAGCGACTGTGTTACGATTAATGAAAGTTATTTTGTGAAATATTTACGTACCTCGTTGTAAAATACTTCTTTACCCTCTTCGACAGATGGTAAAAGTTCGTCAGTAGAATGCGGAGTCCTAGGACTGGGTGTTGGGGCTACTTGTTGCTGTTGTTGTTGTTGTTGATGCTGTGGTTGTTGTTGTTGTTGTTGTTGCTGTTGTTGCTGTTCCCGTTGTTTTTGTAACCTTAACTCTTGGAGAGCCTGTCTTTGTTCCTTTTCATTACGTTCTTTTTCCAATCTACGTGCACTGTAACTACGGGCCGAGGATGTCGAACTGTGAACTGATGCTAAGCTAGGTCGACGAGAACCTGTCAAAAAGAGGACCTAAAGTCAGTTTGAGAATCGTAAACATTAAAAGCCGTGTCAGAGTTTTATCTAAGAAATTTCTTCTATGACTCCTAGCAGCCGAAAAAAGAAAGAAAAACATGTGGATTCTAGCGTATCCGATTTTTTCTCTAATGTTACGAGTTTGATATGTATTTATATATAGGGTGTTCCGTAATTAGTAATACAAACGAGCAAGGAATGATTCTACGTGAATGAAACTAACAATAAGTCGAAAATATATTTAATCACATCTGTTCAAATTTGTCGAATACTAATGCACTTGACTAAAACTAACAACCCTGTAAATTAAAAGTTTTGTTCAATAAGCATAAGAATAGACCGATACAAGAGATAGCAGTATATTGACAATGTTTGCAAACGTAGTGAGAAGCATAGAAGTGATCTTCGAAATATTCGAAAATAAAATTGTAAAAGTCATTCGAATTGAAATTGAACCAAGTGTACGTGTATTCGACAAATTTTCAAACTTATTTATCTTCAAAACAAAGCCTTATACGAACAGATTATATTCCATTTATTGTTAATTTTCGACTTATGTTAATTTTTCACGTAGAATCATTCCTTACTCGTTTCTATCATCAATTACAGAATATCCTGTATGTAACACATATTTCTATAGATGATGCGTGATTCTAAGGTAAGATATATTTCTGTAAGAGATAAAGCGAAAGTAAATGTCGCCCGTAAGCCATCATTGTCGTACAGTCAAGCTTATTATACGATTGCGAGGAGTGCTGAGAATTATTATTATGCATATTTATTTTTTTTTTGTCAGTATGTGTATGGACCCGGTCGGACCATCGTTTCGCATGGTAACTCGGATAGACGGAATAGAAATATGTTGGTGTAGAAATATCGTGTAAATGAAAAGTGGAACACAAGTGGTGGGGAAAATGAAATGTTTTTTTTTCATTTGCCGAGCAAACAGGCAAAAGGCCAAAGCGGAAGCACACATCGTTTATATTTCGTATTCGAGTACTATGCGGAGAATATTGATTTCATATATATAAATCTATTAATAGTTTAAGTTTTCTAAGTTTCATGAAATTTTATCCAAGTATAATCTTAACGATCTCAATCATTTCTAACTCGAGTTTTCTATTATTATTATTATTATTATTATTATTCTTTATTTTTAAATTAATAATCAACGTTTGTATGTGATTCTCGAAAGAGAAAAGATACTTTCGAGTAATTAATTAATTCGCCAATATTTTAATCCAATATGATATTTTTCTTTACAAACGCACATCATCATTCTCGTTATAAAAGACGAGAAGAACAAATAGACAAATATTTTTCTTTCGTCATTCGCGTACGAAGAAAATCATCTTGACAGCATCTCTTGAGTTTCATACGCGAGAAAACTTTGTTTGAAAAGCGGAACGCAACAACGTCTGTGAGAAACGAAAGTTGAAAACGCATATACGTCGTTCGTTCATCGTTGTCCTTGTAAAGCGCATATAGGAATTATTAACTGATAGACCATAGCAGAAAATAATACAAGAGATAGAGAGAGAAAGAGAGAGAGAGAGAGAGAGAGAGAGAGAAAGAGAAAGAGAAAGAGCGAGAGAGTGAAGAATGGGAGGAAGAAAGAAAGAGAGAAGAGAGAGAGAGAGAGAGAGAGAGAGAGAGGAACAGACAGACAGAAAAACAAATAGACAGAGAAACAGAGCTCTTTAAAGTCAAACACTTCGTTCCACATTATGTATAGGAAACGAAAATGAAGCGGTAGCAATGTTCAATCGACAAAGTTTCATCGACATTTCCGATTTTCGAACGTCAAACTTTGTCCATCGAAATATAGGAAAAGCAGATTTTTAACGGGGATCATCGAGAATTGCTTCAATAAATAATAATCGATGAATTAGAAATATTATTGATAAGGGTTTCTTTTATTCTTTCCCCCTCAAAAAGTAGTTTAACTAGATGATGTCACTATTGATAATAAATGTTTTTTTAAGTAAGATAAAAAAAGAAAATAGTGTAAATTTGTTTTGTTGGTTATTTAATAAGACGACTAACTTTAAACTTGTAATATTAAATTGAGAAAGTAAAAAGGTATTTTGACTGTTGTTAGGTAACTTATTATTTTTATGTAATATTAAAATTAAATATTTATTGTTAGATTGTTTAAAAATGAGAGACTAAGGATAGGAAAAAATATATGTAAAGAAAAGATACACAGGTAAAAGAGGTAGAAAGGAAAAAATTCGTGTAACCTTCATTGCGCGATGCAATGCAAAATAAATGAAATACAAGCATGAGAAAAAAAATGTTGTACACTTTTAAGCAAAGTTTAGTGAGATTCGTGTTTCGACTACGAAGAAGTTGTATTCGTATAATAATCTCGCTAGTTCGAGACGTAAAAGATGTGTTAAAAGCTAAGTAAAAGCCGACTACACTAAAAAGATTAAGTCGCATACGACTGTTTCTTCGATAACCGGTTTCTCAGTGCAAGACGTGTTATATCGTTGATCATTTGGTTTGAATTTTTGAAATCGTTTCTTTTTGGATTTGTTTATATTTTGTAATATTTTTATTGACTTGTAAAGACAATTATGATCATTTTAAAGAACTTTGAATCTAAATTCGAGAAATTCTAAGCTTATGATCGTATGCAGAATTTATGACAGGCAGATAGTTTTGATTTTGTCTAAATCATACCGAGAAACCGGCCGCGAAATGATTTTCCATGCGATTTGTAATTACATATAATATTTGAAATGCGTTATGTGTGTGTGCAGCGAGCTAGCTAGTGCGTAAAGATTTCGCGTCTTTCTACAAGTCTTACCAGAAAACTTTTGTTCGTTAACGAGCAACGAAATCGGCCGCTGCCATCTTGCTATCTCGTAACACACTCGCGAAGCACACATTGTGACTTAGCACACTTTTCTTATCGTGTGTGTAAAAGTAAGGGGTTTAGTGTTATATTTTTTTATAATTTAAAATTATTATTATTATTTATATTTACTATTGTGGTTGGTAGTTTATGTTTGTATTTTGCTGTCGTGTAAACACGTTTTAAAGAGTGATCCATTCATCTTCTCGTAACAATAATCTATTAAACTTCCAGTCCTATCATAATTTTCGTAATAAGCAGTCATTATGTGTGACTTATGTAGAAAAGATATTTGGTTATGTTTATTTCTGTTTCTATTTATATATATTTTTTTTGGTTTTTTTTTTTGAAAGATAGAAGAACGTTGCGACCGATGGTCCATCGTAGAAATAACGAATAGAAAACTGGAAATTGTTGTTGTTCATAAAAGGGCTATTATTACAGACACACCATTAAATCGGTCGCTTTTTAGACTTATAACAAAATTAAATGAGTCTTATACAACTGTTTTATGTTTTGAATTTAAAAACGAATAAGAGTATCGTCCATCTCGTGATTTTCCTAAAGCTTATTTAGAAGATAAATAAAACAAGATAACAAAGAACAATCAAGAAACGTATATATGTCAACAATTGTTACTAATTCACAAATTGAGAAATCTAAGAATCATGAGATTGACTTTTGGCTGACCTGAACTTGAGGAAAGAGTTGGAAATGCAACTGTGTAGATAAACGACAGCGACTTTTCTACGACACACACGCACACATAAAGAGACAATACAGAGCGAAAAAACTCGTTGAGATACGAAGATTTTTGTCAACGCCATTACGAAAACGGCGTCGGATCTTCGTCGTCGATTTCGAGAAGCAAGTCATGTTTAAAGACAAAGAGAAAGAGAGAAAGAGAGATAGAGAGATAGAGATAAACAGTAGGATAAGAGGAAGGGGTTAAGAAAAATAAAATAATAAAAGTTGATTTGACGTATAGACAACGAAAGAAATAGAAATACAATTAGAATATTAGAAATAGAAGAATATTATTTTTTTTTCTTATGGAAACATCTGATGAAATGAACGATTCACGTACGCATAATATTTCGATTAAGTTCGAGTAAAATTGTAATTATTTTTTGTTTTCTTTTTCTTGAAATTAACTTTGGTTCATAACAGTAAAATTTGATAAATTAATAATAAAAAAAAAACAAGGAATTTCATATTGTTTCAAATCAATTGATTGATTTAGAGTATAAAAGCTTTGAACGAGTTTCGTCAGGTGTTTCAGAATATATTTTCATTGAAGTACTTGAAGAAGGATGATGGATAAAGGGTTGGAAATGTTCGACAGAAACAGAAACAAAAATAGAGTTAGAAAGAGAGAGAGAGAGAGAGAGAGAGAGAGAGAGAGAGAGAGAGAGAGAGAGCGTGATCGTCTACCGAGGCCGTCGGACGATCCCTCAGCTACGTCACTAAGGGTACGTCGGTGCTTGTTCCCGCCCTTGGTTGCCTGCAGGTGACACGATATAAGCAAGATGGCGGCGGCTCGTGCCGCACCTGCTCTTGATGCCGGTACCAGAGGACCGCGGCTACCACCGCTGCTAGGCCTCCTGGTGAACGCGCAGCTCAGAGATCCGCCGCCTCCGCTTCTTTGGCTCGAACGCGAAGATGGCCGACCACCGTGCAGCGTCAGAGGTATACCTGAGGACCGTCGAGAAATAGAAAGAGAAATTCTGATAAGAATTTCCTTTTTTTTTGTTTTTTTTTTTTCAACCCTTTCGCTGCGAAGCTCTCAGATACGAATTGCTCTCTCTGTGGGCAGGCGACGGAGTGATTGTATCTTCGGTGATTGGTCGTACTAGCGTACAACACGATGCACGAGTTTTTATTTCTTAAATCAACAAAAATTCTGACTAAATAACCGTATGGATAAAAAAATAAAAATAAAAAAATCATGAATGTGCATTATTAGGAAATTGATGATAGCAAATGAAGATAACTTTGTTCGTTGAGAGACGGTGACTATGGGTTGAGCGTCTAAAGGCGCTCTGTTCGTAGCTAATGGATTAATTTCCTTCTTCGTTTTCCTCGACGAATTTAGACACGATCTCGAAATTTTCTTTTTCTTTTTTTTTTATTTGTTTGTTTTTGTTGTTTTTGTTAATTGGGCTCCTCGAGTAAATATGAACGATGAGAAATGATTCCTTCGCAGTTTGTATTTCGTTAAGAGATTATTTTTTTTTATTTTGTTCTTTTTTTTTGTAGAGTTCCTAATTTTTAGTGTTTTATTATTACGCATATGTTCTGGCTCGATATCCAATGTAGGTAATGAGGTGAGACGAGAATAGATGAACTTCGGTACGATAAACATGCTTGTGATACGATATAGGTCGCTTTTATTGATTTCTTATACGCTAAGGTGGATGCTTTAATGGAATATGTAAGTATACTCGTCATAAGAACCTAGTTGTGATACGTAAATGATGTTCGGTTAATGATTCATTATAAATAAAACTCATTTTTCGGAATTTTGGATCAATTTTGAAGACATTTCTTATTAGACAACAATGACAACGACAATGATGATAACGATGGTGATGATGATGATGATGATGATGATGATGATGATGATGATAACGATGATAGTGATAACGATGCATGTACGATATATAGCGATATGAAATGGCATGCTACTTTTAGGCAAGCGATGGCAAAATGATCTTATAATTCGCAATTTATTTGAATTAACTTACCTGTATCGCTAGAGAATAGCATGGGTGGTGGATGATTCGCGTTAGCATAGTGTCGTGGCCTTGAGTATCTCGCACGGCTGAACAATTTCAGGACGAAGCATATCATACCCGTGAATACAGCTATGCCAGATGCTATGCAGAGTAGTGTTGGTACGTCTGTAGTTATCAACATGAGATCTGTCGAATGAATAAACATTTATGACAAATTTTAGAAGCGTTTTATTCATTTTTTTTTTTAAGAATAAACGTCGCACGTCTATCAAAAATAAACAAAATTTGAGATTCGATTGTAGATATGATTTTCCAAATGACACAAGGAAACTTTGCGTTATTCGCTTGAAGAATTAGACAGCAAGCTGGCACTGATTACCTTCGGCGCAGAAGATCTTCTTTGTTGGTCTGGACAAGGTGACTCTGTGATAGCCTTGTTCACAGTCGCACACCGCATTGTGCTGCACCTGTGTGCAAGTCGCGTGTTGATCGGCAAAAGTGCAAGTCGCACGGTAGAAGCACTGTTCTCCAATTCTTTTCGCTAAAGAATGGTTAATTTATTATTAATATTTTGCATATATGAGTAAATTATAATTAATTGTTAAAAAGTTATGTGTTTGAAGAAGTAGAGGGTGTATAAAGAAGATTAAATTTAAAAAATAATCACACGCACGTTTGGCACATCCTTTGCTAGGCCCAATACGAACGGGGTAAAATTTTTCACACTCGCACAGGCCAGTGATGGAATCGCAGAACACATGCTGCAGGTTTGGATTGCACGTAAGTTCGCACGGCGAGCCCAGGTATTGACCTTTTTCTGCAAAAGATATAAAGGTAATAGATATTGATCATAACACCCTAAAAGAAGTAATCAATTTGGAATTTAATTAGAAAATTATAATTAAAAATAATCGAAAAAAAGAAGTACCGCATTATTTGAATATTTTAAATTAATAGAACAATAATTGTGAAGCTTTTAATAATAAATTCTACGGCAGACCCATTTTCATTCGGTGGTGAACCGAGATATTCCTGCATTTCGGTTTTGGTGTCAGCTCGTCTATGTACGTATGCGCATATGTACGTGTATCTTGCAGAGAGCCTTCGTTGAACTTTGCCATTTGCCAAGGATCGTGAGTTGGTCTGCACACATTCTAAACGATTAAACGGCTAGTGGAATATGTCCGTGTATAAACCGACCAATGTGGAACTTGTCCAGTGGCTATTCAAAAGTTTTCGATCCAAGTAAGTTTCCGTTCTTGGACTCATCTGGCTTCTCAATAACAATATACCCTAATTCGAGAGTGTCGAAGAAATTTGTTGAGGAATTTCGTGGTACTTTCCCCGATCTTAATTGGACATAAATCGGAGAGTTATTAAGGCAAACCGCAAGATCTTCTCAGGGATATTTTCAAGCGGGCACCAAGCCAACTCGCTTACAATCGTTTTGCCATATCTCTAACAACTATACCTCGTTATTACGTATATTAGTAGTTGTTGTCCGTGCAACAACGGATAACTCTTTTGGCAAACTTCCATTGAGTAATATTATGCTAATAGGACGCACCCCTTTCTAATTAAAGGTTCTCGATCAAACCCGCATTTACGCGACCCAGCAGATCATAAATATTTCATGAATTAGCTTCAATTAATTTATTGTCACTAATTCGGTAAGTGTTTTAACGAGGACATTTGATAAATTAACGAGAATTAGAATTAATTTCAATTGTAAATTCATATTTTTGCCTATTTAATAGATCATTTCATAAATATATATATATATATGAAAGAATTTTAATCAAACAAGTTTACCGTCGTAATCAATCGAGAGCTGTTTTCGACCAATGTGATCAATTTATAAAGGAGCTGTTGAAATAAAATTGTAAGTGACGTTGTTCTTTTTTTACATCGTTGTTTTAGTCTATTGTTTAGAAAAGAAAGGAAATATCTAGAAGGGTGAACGCGTCGAATCAAAGGCAATTGCTATCCTTCTACACGCTTCCACACGCGGAACTCGAGCGCTTGCAGCATCCATTAAAATCAATACCGGTGGTGTGCTTGGCGCGAAAATCAAGAAGGACGCGTTCCTTTCTTGGTGCTGAAACTAGCGCAAGCGCAAATCCACGTGTAAACTGCGCACTGCAAAACGTCGTTTCTTTTCTTCTTTTTTTTCTTTTCTTTGAAACTACTTCAATTTTCCTACCATTTATTTAAAATATATATTTTATATTATGTAGAAAATTTATTCAACGCAATTTGTGTGACATACTTACGGTTAATTTTTAGCAAACAAATTTTCCTAACTTTATCTAACCGTTAAAATTAAGTTGTTTTTTTTTATTTTGTGATAGGTTGAAATATTTATGCATGATTGATCTTTGATCAAATTTATCTAAAGTAATTGATTAAATGTTTAAGAAAAGGGTGGCAGAGTGTTTTTGTGTAGGGTATCAAGAGGATTATTTGAAGTAGTTTACAATTACTTTGAATTTTGCAAAAACCTCTTGCAAATTGGTTAAAGCATACCGGATTAATTTTTTCTAAAGAAGTAGCACACTTTTTCTAGAGCAAGCGTAAAGGAGGTATGGAAGAATCTTAAGGTATACCACTTGTTCTATCTTTTTTGTTCTTGTGGAAATAGAATAATGTCCGAAAGATAGGATGGGCTTCTATCGATCGCAAGGATACCGATAGACTTCTATCGTTTCGGTCTCTGTCATATTTTTTAATTAAAATTTCAACGTAAAAAAAAACAAACGATCGATATTAGGTTTCATCGAAGAAGAAGAATATGACATAACGTGGCTTTGGTCGTTTGTTTGAGAATTAATCATCTGTAAAATAAAATCAAAAATCTAATATCAAAGATCCTATCGATTATCCGATGCGCGTTCTACGTTCTATTTGTTTATTTTTTAATTATGAAAAAGAAATCATCGTAAAACCTAAATTTTTAATTGTTTACATGATGGGGTGGGGAGACAGGTAAAGAAAGGTATGATTGTTATTAAAGAAAAAAGGATTTTCTCTTTTGTAATTTCTCAATCTTCCGACATTATTATCGAATTTGATTAAATATAAAAAGAGTAAACTTTCAAAGTGAAAGAAATCACATTCTATTTCCGTTTGTGTCGAATTTCCTCTGCCCCCTGCTCCCCCCTCCATAAAAAAAAATACGCCCACGGAAAGTTATTCTTTTTCTAGACGAACTTGTCGAGGTCATTGCCGATGGCGGTCGAGTGTGCTACTTTGCTACACCTACTGATGATCGTATTGAAAGTAATGATAGAAGGAAAAAAGACCAAAGAAGATTGGAGGGAACGGAGCAAAGGAATGACCTTTGCTGATAAGACGAGTTTACCTGGCTGGCACATAATCGATTCCGGCTTGGGGCAAGAAAGTAGGAAATAAGCGAATGAAAAAAAGAAACGAAAGAACAAACAGTAAAAATGGCTCTCTTGCTTTGATTCAAAGTAAATGTAAAAAAAACGTTGAAGATAAATTGAGGATAATTTGGGGGGGTTGACGAATAGAATTGAAATGGTCATTTAGGGATATGTGAATGGTATGGTTAAGCTCACCTGCTGTAATATTCGTCTCAAAATAATCGTCGTCCAGGTCGTCGAGTGTTTCGCCGTCCTCGTATACAGCGACATTGTTTTCGAGGTAGCTCGATGATCGTTGCACGCCATCACCTTGCACCTGCCTTCGATAGATTCGAGGATGTAAATTCCTCGATTGTAAATGATCGGCGGTGGTAAAGGTAATCAGGTTTGATATCAGGAAGACGATGCTGCAGACAAGCAGCAGGAGCCAGGAACGGCAGGAGAAGCGGATTGGAAGTCTCAGGGCGGAGGGAAGTGCGCTCATCGCCCCCGCGGCGCGAGTCAACCCCCGAAACCGAGCACCGCTGGCGCATCGACATCCTTTCCCTTCGCCCGTCCCCTCCCCCACTTCTTCCTCTTCCTCTTCCTCTGCTTCTTGCTTCTGCTACGAGCCACCCTCGCCCTCTACCCCGAGACCGGCACCTTATGTCGTCGGCTGAGGGAGCGCGCCCGCGCGCTCGCTCACTTTTTTTCCCTGATCTTCCTTCCTTCCTTCCCTTTTTTCCCTTTTTTCCTCTTTTCCTTATTCTTTATTTTCACTCGAACTATATCTTCTTATTCTGTTACTATATTATCCTTGTTTCTCCTACCTCCTCCTCCTCTTCCTCCTCCTCCTTTTCTATTCCTCCTCTTCTTCTTCTTCTTCTTCTTTCAATGTTTTCTTTTTCCACTTATTATCCGTAAGTTTTGTTAAGTCGCGTTTATACACGTATTTCGAAAAAATATTTATCTTACATTAGATATTTGAATGAAAGTTTTGAAATAAAAACGCGATTCTGGACGTAGCAGGCGTTACCATGCTGCTGGAGCAGCGAGTAATACTCTGACCGAAGAGAAACTGCTCGAAACTGGTAGTCTCGTTCTCCTCCCACATCGCAACCCCACCGACACGGCCCTTACCTCCCTTACCTAAACGCGCCTTCCTTCCCGTCCGCCGACCGACCGACCGACCGACCGACCGTTGCCTGCAGCTGCGCGATCTGCTCAATGCTCTCTGTTGCTTCGCATCGCGATCAGGGGTGCTTGTTCATTCGTTCCTGCTACTCGGTACTCTTCTTCGTTGAAGGGTGGAGACGGTATTACGATAAATGATCGATCAGGAAGAACTTGTCAAAGAAATATATAGATGTTAATATGTTAATTTTCTTTTATTTTTATGTCATTATTACCTTCATATTTTTATTTAATATTGCATTAGTAAAAATTATAATTGCTATTCTCATACATTACCTATCAATCATTTTCTTTTTGTTTTTGTCAATATGCATATACCAGGTAATGTTATTTGCTTGATAAAAAGTCGATAGGTTTATCAGGTTGTTTCGTAAAAGCGAACTGTTCTTACCAAGATACTAAAGTTGCAACAACATTTTTTTTTCTCTATAGGAATCGATATTTCAAGCTTAAAAAAACTTGTTTAGAACGCCAATATTATATCATAGAACGTCTATCATGTATTTATCGAGTTATGACGCTTTTAAATTTAATTATGTAATTGCAATAATACGATTTATCTTTTTTGTAATGAATGAACGAATGTGATCTTTTTTTTCTTACTTTTTTGTTTCTTAAATTTTTAATGTTGTAATCATTTCCTTTTTCTAATTTAAATAGTTCGTATAGTTGAATATTAAGTAAACAAATTTTCTAAGACATTACACTTATAGCGAGTGCATATTCTGATTCTACGTTTAAAAATATCGAACAGTCGGTAATAAGAGATTACTGAAAAATATTCTATAAAAATATTTTTAAATATTAAAATCGTATGAATTAATATAATATAACGTATGTTTCTCAAAAAGGAATAACAATTATTTGAAATTTGGTTTATAACAAATTAATTGAATATAATTATTTAGTCATATCTTAAAATATTAAACACCGGGTATACTTAAATTTGGAATATTGTAAAATCTGATGAAAATTCATGTAGGACATGTTACTGAATCGTTTTTTCTACCTTCACCCACTTAGCGTGCTCTTCGAATGCCTTTTTATAGCTCTAATCGGATGAAAACGTCGTTAACTGAAAGTTTTCTCCATTAACCTAAATGAAGTCCTTCTCTTTTTCACTAGGTGATAGCGGATTTTAATGAGTCAAGATTTCTGCCAACTATTACTACTTGTTATAAGATCATACGAAATGTAAATTCTATTGAACGAGTTACAATTTTTATGCACTCAAGTTTTCCGTCCAATAGTCACAGTCCACTGTTTTTGGTGTGTTTGTATGTGTATATTTGTGCGTCACATTATTGAAGTAGAATATACTTGTTACATCGAAACCAAAATTTGTTTATTTTATCTCAAAAAAAGTTCTACTTCAAAGAATATTTTTATTATGTTATATTAATTTTTGTGAAATAGCAAGTAATATGTGTATGCTATATCTATAAGTTTATATAATGCATAAATGTATGCTTATATAATATATGCACGTCTATAAAATAAACAATCGATATAATTATCATTATACTTTCATTCTCATTGATATTGGATTATTAAAAATATTTATTATTTGATAAGATAATCCTCTTCTATCAAACGTTTATCACCGACTGGTTTTGCTCATTTTTTCCTAAAAAAAGATCAAATTTACGTTTAAAAAAGGTTGAGTATTGAATAATTTGATAAATATTAAAATAAATAAACTTACTTGAATTCTTAATTTTCTTTAGACATTTGCAAAAGATACAACATCCGAATATTAAGATTTTTATTATGATGAGTCCGATTATTTTTGCCACCTTATGAATAGCTGGTATATTATTATTGTGTGCCTCTTTAAATTTTTGTTGTATACGATACACTGGGTTATCCTGAAAAATGACAAATCAACCAACAGGTTGATCGACTTATCGATGTGTCATTTTATACGATTGATCTGTACTAACACAGAACGATGCTCACTTTAATTGTGTAATCAATGCGAGGTTTTTGCATTTTGTAGATTTTTTCTATAGCCTGGCACATATTTTCGTAATCCTTTGGTCGATGTTCCATCTTTCTGTCATTAACAACGATCGAATTTGATTTAAATATATATTTATTTGATCGAGATAAACATGATTAAATAAATCAATTATATTTTTTTTGCAAAATGAACACTCATAGGGCATTGGCCATTTAAAGGTGCAATAACTTAATGACTGATAAAGAAAAGAAGATCTATCATATGTTTTACTTACTGTGCAAATTCTTTACACTTTGACTGGTATTGCATGTTTTTCAAAGGAAGGACGCTTGATATTTTGGGCAAGTTGAGGATTAAGTACACGACGACATATAAAGATACTTTATTTAATTTCATTTTAACGAAATATACACTTACTATAACGGTGAAGCAATGATTGACTACCACGAATATTTTCATAATTTTTAGTAGCACTCGTTTAATCTTGCTTCCTTTCATCCTAAGGTTATTCAGTGTTATCTGACTTTAACAGGATGTTATTCATTATGATAACTGGGGAATTCATTACACAAAATGATTTAAAATAGTTTACCGGAAACATAATATCTTTGGATTTCTTCTCTTTATATTCTTTACTTTTTTCTGTATTTAAAAGTATATTTGGTTTTTTTTTATCTCGTCAGATGTTTATTCTAATTTCGTTTATATGTGCAACAAAAATGCATTTATTACATGATTAACGATCTGTCGTCATTTAATATGGTTTATTTATTTATTATAATGATTTCTTTATTTTTACCAACAAAAATGACACAATGATAAATTTATATTCTTTTTCTTTATTTTATTTTGATGAATTTCTTATAGGATACTTTTAATCTAGGATGATTAAAAATAATTGTGATAAAAAATTATTTCAAATAAGTATTCTCTTTAACTTAAGTACTTTGTACAAATTATTGTTTATAAATTATTTTTCACATTTCCTGAGAATGTTCATAAGAAATGTTCATACTATTACTTTGCCTTTTAAACTTATACCAAGTAATGGCGATCACAATGATTATTATAATTAAAACAATTATTCCTCCGCTGGTAGCGAAAACTTTCGTAACATCTTTCGTGGTACTGTAACTTGTGTAACACAATGAGCCTTGAAAAAAAGAAATGAATATATGAAATAAAATAATTCATTACGGTCCATTAGTATATATATAGTAGTCCATAGATTTAATTTTTGTTTTGTTATATGTACTTGCGTTGACGAGACATATTGTTGAATAATTTTGTTCCTCGTAGAAATTGAATGGAAATTCATAACAAATTGTTTCATTATTTACTTCATTTAAACATTGCTGGCACGTTGGATTAGTTTTATTCACAAATACGATTGAATCATTTTCTTCTTTAATAATTGATAATCTGTAAATGAAAACCAAACGATATGATTTATATCTTAGAAAAAAAATTTAAATATATCATTGTAAAAAAAAACGTTTAACCCTTTCGTTGAGGTATGCTTTGACGCATTGAAAAATTCTCTTGCATTGTTTCATGATATATCGACCCCTATACGAGTCTGGGTATTTATAAGGGACCTTAGCATGAACGATTCGTATATAAATCGCTCGTAATGAAATAGTTGAAGATAACAATTCGATGGTTATATTAGACATTTCATTTTGTTTAAGTTATATGTAGTCTTCTTTTTGAAATAAAAGTAAAGGACAAAGATACGATACTCACGTTTCGTATATTTGAAATTCCTCTGATATGACAACGACACAAAAGGTTGCCTTTTCGCAGGCGATTCCTTCCCATCCGAAAAAACAATCGCAATTACCTTGGTCATCGAGACAAACACCTTTGTCGTTGCAAGCATCCTTGCAAGCGTTAATGCAAATCGAATCGGTATCGTTGCCGTTCTTTATAAAACCTTCGTTACATTGACAATCGTCTGGTGCTACGCACTCGCCATTGTTGCAACCATTTTTACAATATGGTTCGCAAGTTTGATTTTCGTACGTCGATACGTAACCATCGTCGCAGGTACAAACTTCCGGATCTGAGCAAGTTCCATTACCGCAGTCGACCGTGCAATAAGCAACGCATGAGCCGTTTTCGTTGTTGATGTAACCCGGATCACAGCTACAGGTATCCGGCGACGAACAATTACCATTTTGACAATCGAATGTGCAGATCGGTTCACAATTCATAAAATCATTGCCGCCGTTAGACCGATAACCTTCTTCGCAGAGACAAAGTTCTGGGCTTTCGCAAATGCTATTTGGAGGACAAGCAGGCTGGCAATTCGGTTTGCACTGAAATGAATTGTCTTCGTTTTTAACCATAATATAACCTTCGTCGCAAGTGCATTCGTTTGGCGCTGTGCAGCTGCTATGCGACCAACAAGAAGGTTCGCAGATTGGATTGCATACATTGTGTAAGGCTTTGTTCAGTTTTCCGTAGCCTTTATGACAGCTACATTCATCAGGTGCGCTGCAAAATCCGTTAATGCATTCTTTTTTACAAATTGGTTCACAACTTTGAATGTGAGTTTTATTAACTTCTTTCTTCGTTAACTTGTATCCTCTGTCACAAGTGCAGTTGTTTGGTGCTGTGCAACTGCTATGAGGCCAACAAGAAGGTTCACAAAATGGTTTACAAACGTTATTTACATCTGAATGTTCGTATCCCAACAAACAGCTACAGAAATTCGGTCCCGTACAAAATCCATTAATGCATATCTTTTCGCAGATAGGTCTGCAAACTGATTCATCCTTAAAATAAACAGTTCCCTGAAGAGAAGAAAAAAAGATATTAGATAAAAATGTTTGTACATCAGAAACCTTTATTGATATAGTAGTTTGTCTTACATTATCGTCGAGCGAATATCCCTCATGACAGGTACAAACATTAGGGGCGGTGCATTTTCCGTTCGGTTCGCACGGGTGTTCACAACGAGGCATACAAATGTGCAAGCTAGTCTCATCGCCTGTTACATAATAACCTTCGTGACATTTGCAAACATTAGGATGTGTGCAGAAGCCATTAATACACGCTTTTGGACAAATCGGTTCGCATATATTTGTCGAATTACTAAGGAAACCATAACCATCGTGGCACATACAAGTTTCAGGTGCGATACAAGTACCCATATGACAAGGCTTATTACAAACTGGCTTGCAATGCCCTTCCTTAGTTAAAGAATAGCCTTTACGGCAGGTACAAATACCCGGTGCAGTACAAGTTCCATCTACACATTTGTCGCATACCGGTTTGCATGTAAACTTATTATAAAGATCGGAATAGTATCCCCTATTGCAGGTGCAGGTGTCAGGTGCAGTGCAAATACCATTTTTACACGGTACGTTGCATATAGGCTCACAAGTCTTATCGTTGATTCGCTTATATCCTTCTTTGCAAGTGCAGGTATTTGGTTTTGAACAGAAACTAGTTGCCGAATTACATTTAGGATTGCAAACTGGTTCACAAGTAAATCCGTCTGACTTCATTTGATAACCGGAATCACAAGTGCAAGTGTTAGGTTTCGAACAATAACCATGCACGCAGGAATGCTTGCAAACAGGTGTGCAAACAGTATTATTAAAGGATAATGGTATGTATCCATTGTAACAGTTGCAGACATTAGGACTTATACATTCACCTTGGCCACAAGGAATAATGCATTTGGGTATACATGCTCCGTACAGTTCTTTATATTGATAACAACATGTTTTCTCTGTTTTATAATTCGTGAAATACTGACAATGAGAGAAGAAGGTGTCTTTTGTTTAATGATCATATTCTATCGTTTAAATCTAGAAAACAGAATATACAAAGCGTTCACTTACCTCGGTTCTATAGTTATATCGATACTTTGTTTTATAAAAGATTCCCCATTTTTTTTCTCGATAACTTTCAAGGTATGAAACACGTCGTGAATCTCTAAAACTGTGATAGAAATATGATCGACTTAGCATCATTATTTCCGATGGAAATAGATAACAAGAGTTATTTTTTTACCTGACTAATTTACTGCAATATCCTGTTTCCAAAAAATCAGATTCTGTTAAAGAAAATTTAATTTTCAAGATGAATATATAAACAAAAATGTAAAAAAACGATTTCATGATTTCCGTGGATTTGTTGTTTTTTATTTAATATAATATAGATTTAATAATAGTATATGTATTTCTACTACTGTAGTGTATATCGTACAAAAGATGGTTACAGACTAACAGGATGATTTAATATCCAATGACTTTTGCTCTATTTGTCATGTGGAATATCTCTTACTATCGGTAACAGGCAGGATGCACACAGAACACAAGTTTTTTGTTATCATAGTGATTTTAAATTGTTGGAAAAATTATGAATAAAAAATTTGTGTAATCTTTTTTCTCCGAATACATAATAGATATCTAAAATTATTTATTATAATAGATTACGATCGATTATATACGTTGGATAATGATATGTATATTATAGCATATACTGCGTGTTTTCTGTTTGGTGATACAAGCGAGCAGAGGGTGATTCTATATGAAAAAAATAAGTCAGAATGTAGAATAAAATTTGTTGAAAAATAATTTGGAAAATTTATCGAGTACGACTGCACTTGATTTAATGTTATATAGACGTATTTCATTATCTTACTTTATTTCAGAGATAATTTTTGTTTTTTAAAAAATGTTTACAGACATGACTGATGATACGATGATATTTCTTGTATCGGTTCTACTTTTATCTAATTGAAATAAAATTTTTCGATTTCATTATTGCAAGCACATTGTAAATCAAGTTCAGTTGTACTCGACATATTATCAAACATTATTTTCTCCAAAACAAAATCTTATAGGAACAAATTTAAATATCACATTTTCTAGTAAATTTTTCGAATAGAATTATAGAAAATTATTATGAAATTATATTATTATGAATTATTATATAGAAAAATATTTTGTATCTTGACAAAAAGTGGAAAGATTTTTAGAATAGAATTTTAATTTTTTGTCATTAATTTCTCTGAGGTGATTCGACATTGTCCAGTAAATTGACTGGGTAATAGCAAAGCCGTAGTTTCGTAAGCCAAGCTTAGTCTTGAATTAATAGCGTTTCGGTTATCAACCGGCTGCTCTAGGTCAAGGTTTTCTGAGGATCTTGGAACGGTGCAAGGTACGTTCGAGCATGTGTGAGAACTCGATAGATTTGTTTAGATCAATTTTTGAATAATATTTTTGACTTTAAGAAATAATAAAGGAAAATAAATATTTTTAGTTAATTTATTTAATTAATTTAACTCTGTATTACATAGTTCTCCGCTTTTCTATTTCTTTTTTCTTTAAATAAAACAGTCTAATAACTCGGTATGCATCTTTGTCTGCCTTTGACACCGAGATCTTTTTTGTAGCCTGGGTTGCAGATGCAACGATTTGGCGCCGTGCAGACTCCGTTGGAACAACCACCAGCGCAAACGGGCACACATCTTGTTCTTGTGTGATCATTCTGGTCGAATGTGTAACCGTGTTTGCATGTGCACTGATTGAGACCGGTGCAATCGCCATTCAAGCAGGGTAAATCGCAGATGGGTTCATATTGGTTACCAGTCTGTAAGTCGCCTGGTCGTCCATAGGGTGGTTGGTTTCCTTGTTGTCCATAGGGTGGTTGGTTTCCTTGTTGTCCATAGGGTGGTTGGTTTCCTNGTCCATAGGGTGGTTGGTTTCCTTGTTGTCCATAGGGTGGTTGGTTTCCTTGTTGTCCATAGGGTGGTTGGTTTCCTGGTTGTCCGTAGGATGGTTGGTCAACTGGTCGTACATAAGGTGGTTGATTTCCAGTTTGTCCGTAGGGTTGTTGGTCGACTGGTCGTACATAAGGTGGTTGATTTCCTGTTTGTCCGTAGGGTGGTTGATCAACTGGTCGTCCATAAGGTGGTTGGTCAACTGGTCGTCCATAAGGTGGTTGGTCAACTGGTCGTACATAAGGTGGTTGGTTAGCTTGTTGTCCATAGAGTGGTTGATCGACTGGTCGTCCATAAGGTGGTTGGTTTCCTGGTTGTCCATAGGGTGGTTGATCTGATCTTTTATCTGGTATACATCTACCCGTGTCTGGTTCTGATTTGTATCCGGCCTCGCATCGACAACGATTGAGACCTATGCAAACGCCGTGCTCACCGCAACCGTATCTACATTGATTCGAAGCGGGATCCGGTGAACATCCACCGTTTGGATTACGCTCGTAACCTTGAATACAATTGCAGACACCGGGTGAGATACATTGACCACCGTTGCAATTATTTTGGCAGTAAGGGATGCAAGATTCTCGTTCATTTGGTGGATTGGTATATCTGAAAAAAACGAGCTAGTATTATGAATTTAGATTAAAAATAATAAGATAAGAGAAAACAACCACAAAGAAGCTCACCCTTCGTAACAAGTACAAATACCGGGGGCGGTACATTCGCCATGGGGGCAGCCACCTTCGCAAACAGCGACACATTCCTGACGATCATTCAATACGTAACCAGACCTGCATCTGCAAACGCGCGGTGCGATACAGTCGCCATTTTTGCAGCCACCTGGACAGATTGGCTTACATTCACCGTTAACCTCGTCGTAGCCCAATTTACATGCGCAAACGTTCGGGGAGAAACAGTAAGCATCCTTTTGACATTGTTGCTGGCACATGGGCATACAGACCCCGTTTGACGGAAACCAGCCAGGCTTGCAGGTACATTGATTTGGTCCAGTACATTCGCCACCAAAACAGCCTTGCTCGCAGTGAAAATCACAGTTACCATTGGTAATGTTACGCTTGTAACCCTCGCAACAATCTAAGATCGTTATGAATCCGTGATTACCATCCTGATTTTATAGAAAAAAACAAAGAAATTCTTCCTTCAGTTTAAGTTTTGCATTGTATTAGAATATATTAGAATAAGTGAAAGCTAAGGTACTCACATAATTGTCTTGAGGTAAGGGAATCGTATTGTAAGGTACTCCGCTGCTCGCGTTATGAGCTAATGCATGATCGTATCTAAACATAAACAGTGTTTTTTGAGCGCTTATAACATACATAGATACCTAAACAGTCAAAGGTCATTTGACGTTCTCTCGATAAGTAAATGTAACATACGCAAAAGATTACGTATCGTGTAACCTTGATCTCGATTCATATCTATCTCTTCAGACGTAATTCATTGGCAAAAATATTAATTTCGTTATATTTTATTTTACAATTAGATTTGTGATTTATTCGTTATCTTGTAAAATTTCGTTTTTCAATATTGTTTACAATACTCTTACATTTTTTAATCATTTTGTAAGATACACACATAGATACGCATTATCATAATATTTATTTTGCGAGTTTATTTGATAGATAAATAAAATATTTCATATTTTTGTGAGAATAAGAAAAAAAGAAAACTATATGTAAGTTGTCAAAGCATTTGATATACGTTAACCCTATAGAAGAATGCAGTTTTTATTTTTCACTATTTTTAATCTCCATAGAGTTATATTGAATGAACCTGTTTTATAAACGTTATATTCATTTTTATTTTGACAAAAGTTTTTTATAAACGTTTGCGGTTACCAAAGTTTAAGATTGGTAATATATATATATATATATAAATATTATAATTTTTAATAAAATAAGAATAAACAATTTTATACTTACGGTACGGTCTTGTAGCAAAGCACACTATTGTTGTGCCCACCGTACTGATTAGCGCTTGTTGGATAACGAGGACGATGTCCACCCTTGACTCCATCGTATGCCCAGGTATCAACAATTGTATGAAATGCGATTAAAATCGCTATGATCAGAGATCGTTTCATGTTGAATGAACTGCGATCTAAATAAGACTGAAATTTACATACGCTTCTCGTCTTTTTGATTGAGCTTTTAACGCCCATTCGATAAAAACAACATACAAAGGTCACAATTTTTCTCATCTTATAACGAGAAATTATACAAGATGTTTCTAAAATAATATCGTTCTATTTATCGGTTTGTTATATCAATTTATAAGGACATTACACACATTCAATTATTATTCGTTATATATTTTACATACACTAAGAATTACTTTATTTATAAATGACGTATCAATACCTGAGACTCTTTTTAAGCTTTAATATGTTAACATTTGTAAGAAATATTTTGTAATATATCATCTTAGAAATAACTTATATATTATACGAATGATTCTACTATTCGAGGAAATGTTTTGTCGACCTCATCTCGGAAATATGTTGAAATTATTTGATCTATAAACATTTTTAATCGAAAAAAAAAATTAAATAAACCTAGATATGTAAGTAATTTCGTTTGAAAATATTATCGCTTTTTTTCCGATTATACGTCGACACAATTTTCTGCATTTATTCGTATCTGTGTTCTTTTTTTTTCTTACCGATGACTTATTTAATAAGAACGGGTTATGGGGTTATAAGGAGATTACATTCAAACGCATAATGATAGTTACATTGCCCTAATTTTCATAAGTCGATAAAGAAAAAATTCTCTGAGGTACATAAATTAGATACATACATATATTATATAAAAATGTTCTTAATTTTTTCACTAAAATATCATATTTTTGTTTTGTTTTGTTTATAAATATACAACATTTATATGAAGTAAACAAAGTAATCCATTCTATCGTACAAATACAAAGTTCAATTTTTGTTGATTTTTAATTTTAAATATGAGACATTAGAAAATACACTCGGATGAATTATTAAAAAAATTCTTACACTGATAAGACCCTCCAAATAAATTAATAAAATAAAACAGTAATTAGAAATATTAATAATCTTTGATTAATCTAAAAACATTCAGTTTTTCTTTCATGCATGTACGATAATTCTATAGAAATAGAACGCTTTGACTTAAGTCTATAAAAAAAAAGAAATACTAATAAGATAAATAATTGTATAGAATTCCCTTTCACGTTTGACTGAATAAATTTACAACTCACAAGGAGGTGTGTACATGTCGGATCATTAAAGAATAATCATTGGTGTTGTTTATTTTCTCGAATCAATGATCAACAATTCGATTGTAGCCTTGTACGTTCAATCTCTATGCGTAAGTTAGAAAACCAGTTGAGTTGGATTTTTTCTTGAAATTCTTATTTTGAACACATTGTTGACACACATACATGTGTGTATTTGTATATTTATCGACACTTGTTACTTCATCAATGAACTATTCTTTTTGATCCGTGTATCTTTCGACGAAGTAGGAGTAAAGAAAAAGAAAGAAAGAGAAAGAAAGAAAGAGAAAGAGAGAGAGAGAGAGAGAGAGAGAAATATAGTCAAGTAGAGCGAGTTAATCACGTTGGAGTTAATCACGTGCATTTACGTTCGCAAAGACCCGTTGATTGCAAAGGAATCTCATCATAAAGGTGTTCACCGTTCGATTCAAAATTCGTGTGAAGGCGTAGTAAGGTCGTAGGAGGTCTGTCATAATGATCTTCTTGTAATAACTCTGAAATGTGGAAATGTTGAAAGTCGATTTAGAAAGTAATTTTGATTATCCGAAGTATAGTAACATATATAGTTATGAAGAATAGTTTTCTTTAACTTACCACGAAGATGGCCGGAAATTCGAAGGCCGATGGTTGCGGTGCCATTAGCGTAACTACTTACTGGTTCGATGTTTATACCAGTTGGTAAAATCGTACCGGTTTGTTCAAAATTTGAAAAGAATGCTGAAGGATTCGTATGTATCGGTGTTTCTTAAAACAAAACAAAACAAAATTATTATTATTTTTATATTATTTCTAAGATTGGACTGTTTTATTCGTGAGTTAAGTAAATACGATAATTTTTGTTAAATTAATTTACTTGCTTGTATCTTTTTAAAATTATATTAGTTAATATAAGTTGAAAAATTTATTTTAAAAGATCTTGGTAGTTATCGCAATAATAATAATAATAATAAGTGAAACGTAAAATGATTCATAGTGTGCAAAGGAATGAATTGACAGACAGCTGATCAGTTAATATGCATAGTACAGGGCCCAATTATAAATATGACTGACATAAGTTTGTGGGTCAATAAAACGTTGAACTCTTCGAAGGATTATGTTTCTATTTTTTTTTTTTCGTTAGGACTCATCGTAATCGGATTAGTTAGCAAAAGCGAACAAATTTAGTCATCGAGCGAGGATTACGTGAAGGAATTGAGCGAGGGAGAAAGAGATGAGCGAGGTCAAGGACGGCACAGATTTCACTGGCAAGTACCATCGAGAAAGGAAGCGTGAATTACGTATCAACCAAGTGTGTGTGTGTGAGAGAAAGAGAGAACGTCGCTGACATTACTTACGAGGTAGTGCACTATCGATGATCGTTGAAATCTTTCCGGATGGTCGTTGTTGCTTTTCACTTTCACGTTCGTTATTTTTTTCTTTCTCGTCGTTATAAATCGAAAGTCTCACCGTCTCGAAAAGTTTCGTCCTTGTATGGATAATCGTAACGATTGCGACGGACATTAAACTGAGAAATACTATCGATCCTATGATAATCAATGCTACGTCCAATGGAATCGATGCAGCTGTTGTATTATTTTCTATCGAATAAAATACAAATCAAATAAACAGATTCGTTGTCAATTCAAAAAAAATATCTCGTAATAGATTATCTATAGAATTATATTATATAATATATATATTTAATTTATTATTTTTTAAAAATAAACATACGTTAGATAAAGTCTTATCGAATTTTTCCGACAGTTTATGTGGGTTAAATTAATTTCAATTTTATTTGATTATATTTCACGAATATACGAACCTTTATGAATAGTTTTGACATAATCAGTTTTCAGTGATAGACCATCACGAAGTTCACCTTTTTCCTTCAAATGCCCCAAGAAGACATCCTTTAATGCAAATTTATTTCGATCTTTCGCCAAGATAGTCTTTTGACGTTCCGGAACAGAGACAAGGACGATCACTGGTCTAACCGTGCTTGTGCCAATAATATCGTCTCCTTGATTATGCGTTTTAGTTTTAACATCAAATCCGGTTGAACGAGAAGTTTGCTCGTTGTTTGTGCTTTCGAAACTACTATCCATGCTCGATTGCGTGACATAATTATCCCATCCTATGAACGCGATTGTTGGAAACTAATTGGGAACTAATAAAAGCTCTTACAATATTTAATCATGATAATTAAAAGTTTTACAAGATAAGTAATGTAATTTGGTACCGTAAAGTTGATATTTCTTGTAGATATTTAATGAGGGCAGAAAGAAAGAAACAAAAAAAGATATCACAAGAAATTCTTGTGCAATGTCAAAAGTGTCGACAGTTCACAAGAATTTTATATTTTTTACATTATTCATTAACTTACGAGTTATGATAATTCGTTAAAAGCTTTTATTATAGTCATTTAAAACGATCATATAATGTACCTTCCTTCATAATATGTTCAGTAGTCCAAGAAAGATCAGTCGTTTCTTTTTCGTAATCCATGATTTTTGTACTAAATAATCTAGCTTCATTTATGCTTTCGGATGAAGAACGTATGTCGGTTACTGCGAATGAAGTGCATTGTCCAGTTTTAGGATGGCAATTGCCATTAGATTCATTACAATTGCAGGAGTTTTCACATCTAATTATAGTAATACAAATTATTTATTTTATTCTATACGAAATGTGTGTGTTAAATGATTACGAGATTAAGTATTACCTTGCTCCCCAGAAACCTGCTGGGCAAAGACAATCGCCGTTTTTAGAATCGCAAATAACGTTTTCGGTGCATTCGCATTTCTGCATGCATTGCACGCCCCACGATCCTGGAGGGCATTCTAAAAAAATAGGCTGAACTGTTAACTTTTCGTACATTCGTAATAATTGTATGGTTGTTTCGAAAAAAATTGAAGTATTGCTAATTTCCAAAGAAAGTTGAATGATAAATGAAATTATTATTAATGCAACATAGGTCATTATTTTTTATCACATCAAAATATAAAATAATACAAATTCATGTTACATCAAGGTCAACATTAGAATACATCTCATAGTACTTTCTTCTTAGTAAAAAAGGAGTTTCGATAAAAAGTATAATAATGTAGACCCTTCTTTTAAATAATCAATTCAAATACATGACGTGCTAATACATTATTTTGAATAAACGTAAGTAAAATTAATCAGTTTTAGTATTATATAACGTTTAATTATATCATATTATAATATATATTGCTGTAATAGATCGAAATTAGATAAAATCAAGATACTCATGGTCGTTTAGTGTATATTCGAAATATTAATATAATATTTATACATAATATAATATTCGGTCTTACACCGATGAATTTGGTATGCGTAGTCATTTCACTACGTGAATCTTAACATTCTCCAATTTCAGTCTTTCACAGTAACACACATATATATATATTTACAGGGTGTCTTATATAACTGTATTCACGATTTTTCAAGTATTTATGATAACCTGAAAAAAAATATACTTTAAACAAAAGTTGAAATGTTTTTGATTGACTTTACGTTGCAATAAAAAAAAAGTTTGAAAATTTTTTTTAATTTAATGTTTTTTAAGGGTACCTTTATTTTTTAAAAATGGCACCCTATTTTTTATAATATATAACATATAATATATAATATAATATTTAAATAGAGCACACCATTTTTGACCTTACAATATTATAGCCCGTATTAATACGAGCTATTCAACGAACTAGTATACCATAACCTCGAAAAAAAATGTATTTAGTTCATTTTTTTCTTTCCTTCCAAATTCGTTGAAAATATCTTTTCTTTTTATTATTTGTGTCAATCAAAAGATTGTTATTTCGATTGCTAGTATAATATCAATTCTGTTAGAATAATTTAGTGTCTTGAGAGTTACGATGCGCGTTGGAGCTTATTGAGACTGTGTAGTCGGGAAAGTGAGTAATACTTCGTAACTTCCGCGCATCCGTAACTGTCGAAGAGTCCTCCTCGATAGTTGATGTAATATTTATCCAGACAAGTCGTGAGTGTGGCTTTTAGCAACAATACGCGTGGCACTATTGAAATATTCTTTGGCAATAAAAACAGATATATATATATATATATATATATATATATATATATATACATGACGGACATTGAACAGAGGATATTCTTTTGCTTCTTCCAGGCAAATGTTATTACAAAATCGTCGTATGCGTAATATGCGAAAAAGAAAGACGTGTACGTACCATTCTTGGTTTATTACCGTTTTCTACGCGTTTTTCTTTCCTCTCTCTCTCTCTCTCTCTCTCTCATTATGCATCGTCATCGTGAGAAGCTCGTCTCTTTTTCTTAACTAACATTAGAAAAATGATCGACCGTTAAAGGATCGTTGAGTTAACCGACTTATTTGAAAGAAAGACGACAACGACAAAAAACAGAAGAAGAAAAATGAACATTAAAATGTAGACGAACAGATGTACAACCTATCAATTTTAATACGATTGACTTTCGAAAATATCATCATTTGCTCATTATCTTTCACTTGCCGTTCAAGGCTTTTTTTTTCTTCTCTTTCTGCCAATAAAAATTAAAATAGGGACGCAATCGTGAAAGAGATAGAGAGAGAGAGAGAGAGAGAGAGAGAGTAAGTTTCTCATTATTCATAGCTCACCAATGGTGCCACGCTTTTATGAGAGCTAATTATTCGCATTCCATGATTTAACGCGACGTTAATATTTAAAGTTATCCGTGTTGGTTCTATGTTTCTTTTTTCTTCTTTTTTATGTATAGAAAACAAATTACTACGGATACTTATAACACGCTGTAAATCGTACATTAAATGGATTAGATGATTTTACATAAATATTTAGCATTATCATGGATTATAACGAATTTCCAAAAAGAAAAAAATAACCGGTCCATCCTTGGACTATTTTTGCAAGAATTCTTACGTATAAAATTAATAATGAAATATCGTGAATAATGTGTCACAAGTAAGATTCTCCGAACGACAACGTTTTCTTTGAATGGCAAAAATTTCTCGCTAGACTTGAGAATATTTTAGTATTCGAATTCTTATTAATTTTAATAATAACCATAGAGCCATACCTATATATATATATATATTTATATATGGTACCTTCGTGCAGATATCAACGAGAGTTAGGCCAAGAAAAATAACATATTACGAATAGTCACGAACGTTAAAGTCATTGGTTCTTTTCACCTTAGAGAAAATCATGCTAGCAACTATGACGAAGTACCGATGACGGAAAAACTCTTTTGATTATTCCGATTAGCATTAGAATAATACGTTGTTGTTTACATCTAATATCATTTTTTTTTCTTTATTCTCTCATTATTATTTTCTCTATTTTAATTTTGCTTTAGCAATCTTTTTGTAATTTGGGAAGGTCGGTTCGTTTCACCGAGCGTGAAATATATTCGTTCTATCGCGACGAAGTTGCTTTGTAAGTTTTACGGTTGCCTTATCGGATATGTTTGCAACGTCGAATTGTTTACGTTAAAGTAATCGATGATAATATTTAACCAATAAAGTGCGTTCGACGTGTATACACGTCGAACCAAATCTCTACTGCGGTGTGTTTGACGTGCATACTCGTCGTGTAAAATAAAAAATTACCATTCACTATAAAAACTCGAAATCTCAATAAAATGTAATAAGAATATTATTTGGTGGTATGTTCCCTTTATATTACTAATACGACCTCTATGTATTTTATTTATTTAATTTATTTTTATTTATAAGATATGCCGTTTGTTCAAAAAATGGAAAACGCAAGGAAACAAGGTTTAGGTGTACGACCTGTGAAGTCGCACTTTGCGTACCGTGCTTTGAAACATATCACACATACATAGCTTGAAATTTTGTAAATTATTTTCTTATTTTTCTTCTTTATTCTTGCTATCTTCAATTTTTTTTGTTTATGTATTTTATTATTTTTTGACAATTTTCAAGCTTTTAGTAAGAATAACGTATTCAGAAACGAATTATTAGTTTTTTTGACGAATAAAAATGTAATCCTTCCTCATTTTTCGTAAAATGTATAATAATACCATTTGCCCTGCGTTCGACGTGTATACACATCGTTGCTTGTTTTTAATTTCGCACCCTCTGGTGATCTTTTGAAACTAAATTCCACAGTCAACTGGTTAAACAAATGATATTTGTAAATTCATCTAGTATATATATTATTTTTTAGCTAACAACAAGTGCGTTGAATTTTTCCATGAATTTTTCGACGAACAAAACGCCTCTTTTTTCCGTTTAATTTTATTTTTCATCGGACTATACTATCCACGAAGGATTATGCAGATTTTCTCGATTATCTGATGTTAATTCGAAGCTTAATAGGTTAGTGCTCGAGAGTATTGAATTCAATTTAAACGCGTAGATATTCACGAGTCCTGCCTTGAAGTATCGTGTTTACTAATGTTACCCAACGTCGATGAATTTGCCTCTTGCAATCTTGTCCTTTACCACTCTGGATCGATTAAACTATTCGATTATGTTACGATATTTATGAAAGGTATCGTTTAAAATATTGTAATATAAAACTAGTATAAAAAAATATGTAAGAAATTCATTCAAATGATATTATTTAAATAACTTATTAAATAAATATCTAATATATTGATTAAAAAAAATATAATGAAATCATTCAATTGGCTGATTTATGATCATAATTCATAATCGAAATCAATTTACGATTAATAATAGTTTATTTAAACATTAAAGTATTTTATTTCTGTTGTGCAAGAAAAACTCACAGGTAATGCATTACTGAAATAATCATTTGATAAGTTTCTTTTTTTCTTTTTTTAAAGTTTACGCCCTCTTTTGTCTCTCTCTCTTTTTTTGTTTCTTCTGTTCACCTAAGCGACTTTAAAATTGTGGAGTCATTTACATGTGTTCTCACTTTTTCTTTTCTTTTTTCTTTTTTTTTAATACTGAGCTGCGTAATTAGAAGGCGCGGAAGAGGAGAAATAACGAAAGCTGACAGAGAAGATCAATGTTTGAGCCACGTTTGAAATGATGGCTGCTGTTGGGAAATGAATGAATGGCGCCTTTAAAGAGATGAAACGAAACGAAACGAAACTAAACCGCGATTTCTATTTTAATTGATGGAGAAGATATAAGAAATATAAAAGAGATATGATGCGTATCATTTTTAAGACATATTTGATTGTTTTGCGAATAATTATATTATGAAAAATGTTAATATATTATTATTAATTTTCTGTCCAAAATTAAAATTATGTTTTATTATATTTTTACTTATAGAATTTATTATTTAGAATTATTATAGAAATATATATGTATATTTCTATATAATAATATAATAATATAATATTATTATATATTATTATATTATATATACATATATAATATTATATTATATAATAATAATAATATAATATTATATTATTATATTATTTCTATAAAATTTCTTTAAAATTTTGCTATTTATAAAAATATATATTATATAATTTATAAAACTATTTATAAAAATTCTATAAAAGTTGCTATAATATTTCTATAAAATAATAATTCTATATAATAAATATATGTATTATAGAATTTATTATTAAGAAATATTATTTTTTACTTATAGAAAATACGTTAACATATTAACCGTACCTTTCTCTTTGCGTATCGCAAGTGAGACTTATGTGAAAATACATATGTAATAAATTAGAAATTGTATATTTGATGAAGTCAAAATGTGAAGATTTACCTTCCTTGATTAATATCAAAATATGTGATTTCAATCGTATTAGTAAAAATATAATTTAGTTTTATACATATTTGCATAAATAATGTATTTTTATTATTATTTCAATTTAATCAGACAAAATATAGAATAACAAAATTTTTCTGCATTTAAACTCGGCTCGATTTTTCCTTAAATATTATATAAAACAAAATATATTAGATTTCTATCGTATTTTTACATTAATTTAAATCATATTAAAAACATTGCAAAAACATTTGTTTTATTATCTACGATTTTTCTGACACGTTCATATTCTGAAGTTTTCATGAACCGTTTTTTCTTTCATTTATTAATTAATGATATAATTAATTAAAATATAAATTTGGTCTGAATACTTTTCGAATATCCTTTAGATTGTAAAACATAAAAAATATTGAATCGATTTGTCAACTCACCTTTCGAACAATCCGTCCCATAGTAGCCAGGATCGCATTGACATTTGTTCGGTGAAACGCAAACACCCGCTAGGCATTTATCGCAAAAAGGTACACAGTGCGTATCGCCATCGTTCTCTGCAAGAATTGCTATTGGTTTGTAACCCTCGCAGCATTCCTTCACCTTCCTGGTCTTGACTTCCGACTGGAAAAGAATTTCATTCATTCATTCAAACACTTGTCTTAAACATTTCTATCCTTTAAATCGATTTCTATCTTTAATACTATATTATACTTATCGGTATTTCGAGTATTTCATCGATTTATTTCTTTTGATCGATAGTATATATTTTATGTTTATCGAGAGATAAATAATTATTAATATTTTCATACGAATAAAAGTAAAAGTAAAATAGAGAGAGAGAGAGAGAGAGAGAGAGAGAGAGAGAGAAAGAGAGAGAGAGAGAAAAACAACGAGAAAAAAATTGAGAGAGGAAAAAAGAGAGACAGAGAGAGAGAAAGAGTGAGTGAGTATATTCACGTAACGGTTTCGTTCGTAATCTGTCTTAAGTAGATACCACTGGAGAAGGTTATAAAGTAGATGTTCATAAATTACACGTCAAAGATGGCTACTAGGTTCATTTTACTCCACGTCCGTCTTCTTTCTTCAGCTGATAATTATTTCATTTTACTGCTGCTAAACTACGCCCACCCTCGCATACTATGTAACATGCATTAAGAAAGAATATATTTGACTTTCGTTGCATAATCATTGAAGAATTTAATATTACGATATTTCGTTTTTTTTTACGCAATTTTATAGACTTTTGATTTCACGTTTTTGGTAATTTACACGTTGTTAAAATAAAAAAAAAAAAATAAATAAAACAAGAAAGAAAAGGAAAGAAAAAAACTAGTTGTTACAGGTTTTTTCTTTTTTTATGATTTTAAGATCAAAAGTAATGAGATAGCAGATAGTGTGTTCTAATTTTTGAAAAATCGTAATATAAAATTGTTGTCTTTTCTTTTTTTTTTTTAATTTGCCCGAGGAGAATTATCAGAATAATTTTTCGATGATTAATTAATCGTTTGTATCAAATTGCGACCTATGTTTACTGTCTTATTGACTTTAAAGTGAAAGTGAAATATAGTGATTCTGTTTTATTACGGAATACATACACACATAAATAATTTTTAATTTAACGAATTATATTACCAGATTTGTTCCTGTTTGAATTTTTTCTTAATTTAGGTTTCTAAATGGTAAAAGTTATTTTGAAAAGAATAGAATTTATAAATTTATAATTGTATTAAGATTCATTATCGAACTAACGATATAAAGCTAGATTGGATCGTAATTAATTCGAGTATTATCGATTCGAATGATTAAATCTTGCCGATAATTGATCCAGGATGTATATAAATTATATAACAAGAATATATTCTAGTTGTTCGTAAAATATTGAATTGATACGCGTTAAAAGAGAATGCTGGTCAAACATCGATGATAGTATCACCAAGAATAAACTTAATTAATAATATAAAAAAGATGATGCGATTGGTCGAATTTAGAAATGTTCAAAAAAAGAAAAAGAAATTCCAGTCTCAGTCTATTTGTATCACCGGAGGGGGGGGGAGGGAGATGAAACGAGAATGATATCACCTCGATTACGTTATTTTCCTTACCTTCGAAAATCAGATTACCAGTTTCTGATTTTATAATATTTACGACTATTGATTATTATCTTTCTCTGTCACGTTTTTTTTTCGAAAGATTCCACTGTGTTTCTTTTCTTTTTTTACTTTTTTTTTTCTTCTATACAAAGTTTTATTATTATTCACGTTATTTTCTTCAACGATCTTTTACGCGTGGAAAACGTTTACGATCGAGCTTTGTGTTACAAGGACCCCTCATTCTACGAACTACATGGCTGGATAATTATCGATCGGTGAATGGTTCAGATAACGAAGACAAGAATTCTCAGAGAATCTTTGCTCGGTTTACTTATTATTCGGTGTAAATCTTACAATTTAAAATTACAACTATTTCTTACGTTAATCGATTTGATTCGATTCGTTTCGTTTCGTTTCGTTTATTTTCGTGTCGTGTCGTCCAACGTTAGTTCCTCACGAATATTTAACATGTAACACCTGTTCAAGATTCTGTCTGATACTTCTATGTAAATAAGACAGACCTCTTAGTTCGTCGTATCGTATTGGTAAAAGCACGGTAAAATTACGGGAGCGTGATCGATCGGGTTCTTCGATATGACTACGATATTTCGTCATATGCATTTTCCGAACGAATTAAATACGTTCGAGCACGTAAAATTCTTTTTTCTTTTTTCTTCTCCCTTTCTTTTGTCGTTACACTTATACGTAGAATATTTTTCTATACGTCTTATTCGACGTTACAAGAAATCGCTTTATAAGGCATTAGATCGTTATCCTATTAATCCTCGAGATATAATGCTTTAGATAAAATCGTGAGTACCATAATCCGACACGACTAAGGTAAGATATTTTTCTATCTTTTTGTTTTTATTAATTCTAACATTAAAATGAATAGATCGTGTTGTCTGTGTTGTATACCTTTTTTAGACAAACTATTTTATACATTGACTCTGTGTGTGTATTAATTTTCGATTAATTCTTAATGTTCCTTGTAAAGTTCATCGTTATTTTATCGTAAAAAATCTAATTGTTCATATTTATTCTAATATAAGATCTTAGATATTATTTTTTATACAAAATGTAAATTGATTATCAATAGTACATATCTTTTGTTCTTGATATTTTAATTTTGGTACAAAAAAATTGTAATTATTGTAAAAACAAAAAGAAAATTTAATATATATATATATTAAATTAATTCTTGAATAGTTTATTTCATAATTTCTCTTTCATCCTTTGGGTCTATACAAGTATTCGTTTCATGTCTAAAAGGCACGGTTCCTTTCCTTCCTTCCTTTATTTCTTTTTATTTGTTTAATTAGACTCTTAAAGCGGCCACTTTCCCTGTAAGCCATAATTAACGCATTCGACTACGCTCGAGTGAATGAGAGGGATGACGCTGATGAGTGAAAGAAAGAAAGATAAAAGAGATAAGAAAGAATGATAAAAAAAAACAAATTTTTATAGTACACTATGCGAATTAATTTCACTTTAACCCTTTAATAACCTTTATTTTTTGTAATTACTTAAAAAGAACAAGATTTACATAATAGTAAATTCATGAATAACAACCTTTGAATATAAAATTAACGATGAATATGAACATTTTCAAAGAGATCGTTTGTACTTATAATGAAAATTATGAATTGAATATTATTGATTACAGAACAAGAGATGGATCCCACACACGTTTCGGAGAACAAAATAAAATTAAACGAAAATAAACGTTGAAGTATCCTTTGAATGATTAAAACCCTGAAATGTTAATTGATATCAATTAAACCTTTGCACTCCGAATTATTTTTCAATTTTGTTTTCAGCAGATTCCAATGATTTTAAATATTTATTTAAAATTTACTTTAATTGAAAAATATGGTAATTTAAATATATTGTAAAGGAAAAAATAAATTATATAAAATGTCCATTTTTTATTTTCATTATTGTTATATTTTGTAATTGTCAAAGTTATGATATTTTTTGATGTAAAAACCGATGTCGAGTTATATTCGACATAGGAGTGCAAAGGATTAAGAGATTGATATTTTTCGATTTGAAATTATATATAGAAATTTTGTTGGTCATATTCATGCGTCATTGATTTTGTTAGCATAACTTATTCGCATAGTTAATTATTGTTTGTTTAATTGAACGAATGTGATCCGATAGAGAACATCGAGGACGGCTCCTTAAATGTCCGATCGATTTTGTCGTTATATAACGTAATCGAGGATAGGTTTATACGTGCATATGCATGTATATCGAAACGAGCCGAGCATTGAAGCTTTCTAGGAAATGGAATGTTTGCTCCAGTAACATCAGGCTCAACGCTTTATACGAAAGTAACTGGTGGAATTGCATTACGCTGCCTCTATAATGAACGGATTGCTTGATTAACGATACAGGGAAAGGGAGAAAATGTGAGAAAGAAAGAGAGAGAGAGAAAACTATTTCAGTTGGACATTAAATACTTAGAAGTATACATACACATAATAACTGGTACGCTTAAGACCTCGAAATTGGATTAGAGGAGAAGTTCTTGGTTTGGAATCTTTTGGTATTAAATAATTAAATAAGTTTAAACGTAAAATAATTGTTTTTGCTTTAGCTTCGATATTTTTCATTTCATCTGCATATTTATTAATCAACGCGAACTTTTCGAACGAAACCAAAGTTATAATTTAATGATATAGTTTATAACGAATAGCAGAGAATAATTCGTATTTGTTTCAAATTGTTTATTAATAAATAATTAATATTTATTTGTAATGCAAACCTTTCAAATTGTTATTCGTATAAATTATTTTGTAGGAAAATTATACTTTTAAATTGATGTATATATATATATATATATAAAATAATAATAAAATATAAAAATTAATTGAAAGTAATAAATATTATTTTAATTGTATTTATTTGTTTTAATTTTATTATTATTTTAAGTAATATTTAAAGATAATTAATTAAATATTTAAAATTTTATTTTAATAATTATTATTCATTTTATTAGTATTTTAAAATTAATATTTAAATTTTGTTTTTATATAAAATAATAATAAAATATATATATTATATAAAATTTAAATATTATTTTTTTTAAGAACATATGTCCATTGCTATATATACTCATTCCGTAAATATAATATTAAAATTGACAGGTGTCGTGAAAATACTCCTATGATTCATTGAATAATATATTATATATAAATTATAATATAAAATATTATATTTATATATATATTTTGTTATATTTACCTTTATTCGATACCGTTCTCTCATTACAGTGAAGTTTCGAGGACATCTTGGTGGAACTTCGAAGCACCATGTGAACGTGTTCACGACTACTGGCTGTTCGTATCTTTCTTCATAAGTGAGCGTGTAACTGTAATATTCAATCAATTAGCGATTAACCTCTCTGGTTATACCCTTATCGGGATGAGTATAATGTTATGCGAATAGGGCAATGTTAGAATGGGATAGGATATCTATCGAAGCCAGCCAAGATCAATATCAAGGTTTCGTCCTATTGAAGGTATTAAGGGAATATTTTATGTAATAATTACATTAATTAAATAATAGGAATGTTAAATATGACAAATTTCATGTAATATATTAATATATTCTCTTTAATATATTTATATTTATTATACAGGGTAATTCTCTAAAAATAAGGGCGTGTTATTGTTTTTTTTGTTTTCTAAATAAAAATAGAAATAGATGATAGATAAAAATGTCAAATATCATAATAAATTTTGTATGTTTCAACTTTTTATGACTATATTTTTTACATTATAGAAATGTACCGATGCATTCGTCAGATACGATTTATTTAATTTTCTTATGTAAAATTAAATGATTGTAAATTTTAAATTTGATAACAATGAAAATGATTATTGCGATTTATTATTATTGATTAAATCTATGTATTTGAGTTATTTTCGATTTCACGCTATATTTGTTGAAATTATAAATTTTAAATAATTTACTCACTTTTCAATCCTTGTACAAATTTTTTCAGATACTGCGTGTGACGTTACGATGTTGTAAAAAAGAAACAGTGATACTCCTAGTACGTTCATTTCCAATTAGATAAAGATGCTACTTAAAATTCATAATTTTCTGTAAATTAAATTATTGTTTTTGTCAAATCGAAATAAAATTGATCAACAAATTGTTTTCCGATGACGTTTTCTCCTGAAACATAAAATTATTGTGAGTAAGGAAAATACGAGATATCTCATTTCTCGAATGTGTTGAGAAAGGGTGGAACGGTATTGGTCTTGTTAGTGGTCTTTAAATACTTATGGAGTATCTCGTTACCATCCGTAATGCGAAACGCGGTGAAGGTGCAATGTTACGGTTATTGCTTGTTCCTTTGGAGAGAATAAAAATAGAAAAACCTTAAAGTTCTCGTTGATTATTCTAAATAATTATTAAATTTCTCATACAATTAAAATAAATGTTGATATAATTTAACATGTTTCTTTTATGTTTATTTTGTAGTTTAAATAAATCTTTTGTTTTAATTCGTACAATCGTTTGTACCCTTTTTTTTACTTCTGAAGAGAACAAGAATTTGCTTAAGCAGGTAAAATTTAACACGTTTAGTTATACACTTATTTAAAAATCTTAAAAAATATATTACTTCTAGTCTGTTTTTCTTTTCTTATGCCTTTCATATACTTTGAGAATGACAAATTTATTTCAAACGATATATATGTTATGTTCTAAATAATGTTAGATCTATGAAACAACGAAATTACTTTAACAAGCTACTAAATACGTTTCGCACGCTTCGTCTCACACTGGCGAAAAATTCTAAACGAAGTGACGACAAATGAAATCGTACTGCATACAGGGAAGATTGAACCTTACGATAAGCTATTTTAGATTCAACTATTAGAACGTAGAGTAAATTAAACTTGCCTATTTAAAGTACGGTATAGAATTTCGACTGGTATAACGCACGTGCAATAAACTCATTTAAAGTTAGCATATAATATCTGTTCCTTCGTATGGATCCAACGAGGACAACGTGTGATTTGTCACACGTGCTATATTAGACCAGTAGACAGTATCTACTTCGATACAAGCACACACACATATATAACAGAGAGACAGTTGGACAGACAAACAGACAAATGAAGATTATCGTGAGAATTGAAACAGTGAACGCTATTTAATTTTTCTAAGCGTTCATCATTGTGGCACCGGAAATATTGAAGCATGGACGCAAATAGAAGTCGCGTCCTTTGAGGGATCTTTTACAAAGGGTGTCTTCTCTGACAGGAAGTAAGAACTTGACAAATATAATTCGAGAGTTAGGCACGACACTTACGATGGGGCGAGGGGGAGGAGTTGGAGAACATTCTCAATCGTTTTCTTATTTAACTGTAAAAAAAAAAAAAAATGTAAAAAGATCATTTTGCACTTTTCACCGCACCTTTTCTGTTAGGATATAAACACCGTTAATTAATGTCATTAGAATATTTTTCTCATACGTTATAAACGCATTTGATTAAATACACACGTTCATCGACATTTTCTCTTGCAGTTAGTCAAGTGCATTATCTTCTTGAGAATCTTTCGAAATCTATTTTATTGTATGTGTATGTGTGTGTGTGTGTGTTACACGGCGACCCAACCTTAACCTTTTTAATGTCACGATCTCGTTCGAAAAAGGCCGTGTCGTTCCTACGTCCTTCTTCTTAGCTTTAACGAATGGATTTGTTGTGATCTAACTGAACAACACACTCTTGAATGCATGTTAGACCGCGTGAGATTGTAATTTAAATGTTTTTGTTTGACTTTAGAGATCATCGTACTCGAGTGCGACGAGCATTAGCTAATAAGTAAGACAAAAAAAGTGTTTCGAGTCACCGAACCATCTGTGAGTCTCGTTGACAATTATTTTTTTGTCATTATTATTATTTTATATTATCATTCCGTGCATAGAGTATCGTTCATAAAAACAAAAAAAAAACGAAATTTTATAGCATATTCCCACATATTTCACTCCTACAAGAACATAATTCAACTTTGTCTCATTCTCTTATTACTCTTTTATTTCTTTTCTTTTTTTTGTTTTATAGAGTTTGGGAAAATTAATTAACGCGTATCGTGGATGGATTATAAGTTCCCACGAATTAGTATTAATTAATTTAATTGTATATTATATCTAATATTTTCGTTAACTCCGCCTAGTTTTAATATCTAGATATCTAGATAATAACTAGCTGGTCCCAAGCCCAGATAAAGGAGGAGGGTTCGAGGGTGAGGCTAGCAACCTACCCTCGGTAAAAAAAAAATATAATCGCTCCCGGAACTAACAAAATAGCCTTTTTAAGCTGTGAAGTTAGGGATAACAGGACAAAATCCTAAGAAGAAGAAGAAGAAGAAGAAGAAGATTTTCGTTAACTATAACGTCGAACAATTTCTGTGTCTTGTTTCTTTTCTTAGATTAACGTTATTTTTATCGAGCGTACATTTTATTAAATTATACTTACGTTATATAGATGATATAAATAATTTTATCCACAAATAAATAAAATCACTATCCTTTATAGGGTATTTTATTATTTTTTGATTTTTAATTAGTACGAATTAGAAAATTGATTACAATCAAGACATTGTATTTAATTTCACGAATAAAATTATGAAATATAAATCCGTAAAATCGTAATTAAATTAACAAATTTCGAATCTTGTTAGACAAAATTCGTACATCAGATTCGCGGGTTGATTCAGAACTGACAGGAGGAGTTACAACGTAACGAGCAATTGGCGTGGTCGACACTCGGAATGCACTTGTGGCTCAATGAACTTCGACCCTCCCGCAACGTTCAGGAGAACGACAATAAAGACGGGATACAAAGAGGGAAAAGAGGGATTTGCTTAGTTCATAAGAGGGGGAGGGACACACAATTAACGGAAAGGGATGTAAAAAGGGAAACGATACTCGAAACAAACGTTAGCTCAAGTCGAGGATATTCTGAGAAAACAAACTGCTTTAATACGAGGAGTATTATCCTTTGGTGTTTTTTTCTTTACTTACCACCTCTGCTTTTATATCTTATTCTTTTAATCTTTCTTTCTTTCCTTCATCTACATACCGGATTAAGATACCTGCAAATATTGGGTGTACACTTACCATCTTTAATGTTATTACACATTTATGTTGATTACGATAACGAAATAAATTTATATATTATAATGTTAAAAAATAAATAATCCTTATTTTAAAATAAAATATGTTTTCGTTGCCAAACAAATTTTGTTCTAACTTTTTAATAATTAGTAGAATTATCGATAATTATTTCTACGAGGTAGAGACTAATATTTTGCCTCCATTCATTATGAGTTTTTACAGATTATAATAGTTAAATTTTAATGATCGATGTAAAAACTCAAAGATAATACCTTTCGAATAATTCGAACGAGAACGGTTAGAATTCTCATCTTCTAACTCGTTTTTCTTGCTAGAAAAGTACATGGTGGTTAAGTTTGAAAGAAAAGAAAAATAAAGGAAGTAAACATGCAAAAAACAAAAAGGAAAAAAAAAACAAAGATAAAATCTGAATAGACGAGCGAAAGTGAAGTCCGGGCCTTCTCGTCGGTTGTCGGACACTGTGACTACGAGCAAGTAGACTGGTATAATGGGATGATTGGTTAGGGCAATTCCCTCTTGTTCTCGCGGCACGCAATGAACCGGACTCTCGTTTGCAACCAACGTTCAACGAGCCCATCGGTCGTTTAATCTTATAAGCCACGAATAATGCCTTCGTCCTACGACATAGACTAATTAGCAGTCACGGAAGAACACGATCGGATGTTTTTTATTTTTTTTTATTTACGATTAGAATACTTAGTCTAGGTTCGATTGGTAGTTTCTTTTAATTTTCGTTTAGAATAATTTTTTTTTCTCTACGAATTTGGAATTTATTTTTATATATAAAACTTACAACACACAAAGCAGAGTAATGTATTTATTTTTAAAAAATATCACTTAAATTTTTATAATTTTCAAATAAAAGATATTATTAAATCGATTATTCAATCGAAAACAAAGTTTGTTTTTATATATAAAATTAAATAATATGTATAGATTAAATAATATGTTCTTTTTTAAAAAAAAAATTTTAATTTGTAAAATAAAACATATTATTAAATTGATTGTTCAATCGAAACGCAAAGTTTATTTTTATATCTAAAACTTGTCACACAAAGTAGTAACGTGTTCTTTTTAAAAAAATATCATGTAAGTTTTGCACAATTTTGATTCTATTTTTGAAAAAGTTTGTATATTTTATAATATGGTATTCTAACTTCCTTTTCGTAGAAGAGATTCGATCGGTATCATTTCATGGAAATATTTGGAGAGAAGAGGAATTAGTTATTTATTATAATCATTCGCGACGACCTTCGTCCAGTTATTTTATATTCAAAGAATGATAATGGACGAAATTCTTTTAGTGATTTTAACGACTTGATTATAAAATGGTAAAGGCGCGTAAACATCGACCGGTGTTTTTGTTAATTACTCGATTAGTTTATATATTTCGTAAAATTTTCATGAAAAAAAAACAAACTAAATTACGACGACGGACTAATGAGTGTCCACTTTTGGATTGTATTTTGGATCTAATAATAAATTATAAATAATGGCGTTTTAAAATACGTAAAAAAATTTAGGATTTTTATCAATTTATACGAATTTTGCTTTTGTTAAATTGATGACCTGGTTTTTATATTCATACTGTTAAAAAAAAAAAGAAAAGAAAAAAATTTTATCTTCCATTTAGAAATACATACTCAAAATATTCAAAGTGAAAGTATTTTCTTTCTAATCTTATTCGCTTGTATTTGTATCCGCTGTTTCGTTTTATTTTAATTAATTATTCTATCGATTTGTCTATGTTTGCTAAAACCTCTTTCGAGAGAAAGATTTTCTCCGGTTGTAAGATATATTTAAATAAAATCGACATTTAAAAGATAAAACGAACAAGAAAGTTGTTGGCTTCTAGTAATTGCCATACGAAAAATGAAATTCGATCTAACGAATCGATTTTCTTTTATCTGTGTGTGTGCGTAAGTGTGTTGTCGATTTTACCTCGATTTTGTCTTCGTCGTAGTCTTTTTCGTCTTCGTTATCTTCAATGTTTTGTCGATATTATGGTACTACTTTTTGTTGACAAAAATCAACACATAAAATAAAGAAAATACATGATCGAAAGGTAGGTAGCTATATTGCATAACGATTGCGTAGATTAGAGATCGTTCGTAGTATGGTAGTAGTCATTCCGAGATCGTTTAATTAACGCCTTGGACGTATTGCGTGATACATAAACGATTTGAAGAAAAAATACAAATTTACAAATATAGAAAGCGAACGGGATATGATAGTTAACTGTGTTAACGTTTACAAAATCTAAGCAAAATAAATATCTTCGTTCCCTTTTGTCCCCTCCGTCCCATTCGATGATTCAAAATGGACAACAACGTGTCAGATGGTTAAAATCAAACATTAGAAATGGCAACAGAGGCATTGATTTAACTTTTTTACGAAAATAAACTTACGAATTAGAAATTTATTAGTTAAATTTCCTCTTTCCTTTCTTTTTTTTTTATCGTCGCCGGCAATTAATTCGTTTTCGAAATGAAATGATATAAAAGAAAAAACAAATATGTATAGATAAAACAATTTCGAATGGAACCCAAAGATTTTTATTCTTCCTTCGGCCTTGACTTTTAGACGGAAATTCCAATTCGACGTTTTTTAAGCGTCTTAAACGAAACCATAAAAACTGAATTTAAGTGATCGTTTGAACAACAGTTAAAAGAAAAAACAGGAGGACCGAGAATATTTTGAAAACAAATTATATCGTCTTTTAGAAGACATTCATAAATATGCTCGCATTCAAAATAAATATTATAGTTTTTGTCTAAATGTTAATTTGAATAATGTCATTTATTATTGAGTTAACGATATACCGATTTAATGGGTATAATATTAAACAGAATTGTGTGTGTGTGTCAAAATATTTTCGAACAATTATATCGTTTGATTTTTTATTCGAATTAATTCATAAATAAAAGTAAAAAAAACTCGTATGTAGAAAATAATAATTAATTCAAAACTATGATGTGAATAATATCGGTTTATCGCGTTAATAATATACCGGAAGAAATATACAAGAGAGACGTGTTTTTAATGTAAGTGGATAACCATATTGATTATATTGTTAATTAAAAAAATGATGTATATATGTATATATTATATATAGTTTTTTTTTCAAAGAAGAAACAGAAGAAATAAACAGGAGACAGAAGTCGAGAAAGTTTCTCGTACATAGACTCGATCAAAGACAGTGACATTGGTCGAACAACATCGTGAGCTGTTTGAGATATTATGCAAGACAAGCATTGTTTCATCGTAATGAGTAATCGTAATTAACCTCATTACGTTTCTAATAACTAATATTATTAACTTGAATATATCTTTGATATCTTTAAACCAACGATTAACTCATTTCGTAAAACGAGAGTGTAATTTAAGAGGTACACGCTCTGATGATCAATAAAGATCCGCATTTCGCAAATATTCTGTCCTTGTTGTATTATTTAATCGTTTAAATAAAAAAAAAAAAAGTAAAAGAAAAAAAGAAATATGGATAGATTTGAGAGATCGAACAGCTATTTGAATAATTATTTAATTATTCAAATAATTTATCCGATTAATTAATTATTTAACTAATTTATATAATTAATTAATTGATTATTTATAATTATTCATTACGAAATCGAGCGTATCTATAAGATGATTAAATGTTAGCAGCTGTATCGAGTTTAAAATCGAAATAACGTTAGTTTTTTTTTAAATCTCGTTTCGTCGTTGTGCAATTGACGAAGACGCCTTGGTTTCCCGTTACTTTCTTTTCTCTCGAAAATAACTTTCGTGGTCGATGGATAAGAATGTATGTATATATATATATGTATAAGTATAAAAAAGTATATCTATCTGTCTAGATATCTGTTGAAAGATCTGAGAATGATTATTATACATTTTCGAAATAAATTAAATTGCTTTGCTCTCAATACTCTTTTTCGTACAAAATGGATTTTCTATGAGTTTAAGAGAAACAAAAAAATAATATAGAAGAACAAAAAAAAGTTAGAGGATCGATTTAACAGAAAAAAAAACCACACCAACATCGACGTTCCCCTCGCGTGTATTCGTGAATGGTGAAAGTGGTTGGCTGGCTGGTTGTTGGTTGACCAGCCGGTTCATTGTGCGCGTTGTAGATGTTTCGCGGAAAGGATTGACTTCCCGGTCTTCCGATTACGCAAGTGGACGAACCAGTTTTGGGCCAGGTCGAAAAACTCTTCCTTTCTATTCGATGGTCACCCTTCGATGTCCCATCGAGTTCAAAAATTACTTTACCTTCTATAAATTTAATCCTTCACGTATCATTTCTTCTCTCATATATCTTATCATTTATTTTTTTAATACTGTATTTTATATAACTTAATATTAATCTTCTACGATACTAATATTTTCTATAAAGATACTACTACGACTACTTTGTATGTAACTTGGAATCAACAAGTATTATTGACGTTTGTTAATAATATTAAAATTGAATGGAAAATATTCGTCACGAATATTTCAAACTATTATAATAGATAAATATTTTGTTTGAATAGAACAAATAATTCTGACATTAAGGTATGCATACAATTTAAAAGATATATACAGTGTAAATCACAATTTAAAATGAATAATCTTCTGATTATTCTCTATTCTATTTTTAAAGATTTATTTTTCATTTTCAAATCTTAGATTAATGAGAAACGAGTGGGTGATTTAAAACGATAAATATGGGTCTCACGTATATCCATGAAATTGAAGCTGCAAACAAGAGAAAATCCATTAGACCGCTATGATTATTAAAAGAAAATTGGTATGTTCTGGTTTGACGCCATAGTCACTAGTATAATAGAACAGTATTCTCGTTTATCATAAATGTCCAATCAGTCGGACAGTCGTTCAACACATTCGATCTTACCTTAGAGCTCTAATGCATTACGTAAGTATATGACCAAGATCGTACGTGGAATTGATTCAGTCATTAAATATGATGACGAAACAACACCAAGTTAATTGTATTATTTTAACGCATCGATTTGACATACTTTTAAACGAAAACTAACTTTCTCGCCAATATAATCGATCATGATCCGTATTCGTTCATTTTAAATCAGTAAGTAAGTAATCGTAGAAAGCACATTGACTTGATCATGGACGATATGCAAGTGGTCATTTTAAATCATTGTATTAAATTCGACCTTACGGAAATATACGTAAACATTCGACTTTCCTCGTTTGCTTTTTCGGATCTTTCCAGTGAGATATACTCGTCGTTTCTACGTTTTTAAATTACGAAACTGGGCGAACAACTTTCTGGTCATCTCTTCCTTGCTGCAATTGCATTTCACCGCATGAAAGTGGATACATATGGTGCATGTCTTTCTTTCTTTTTTTTTTATCTCTTTTAATTCTCTTCCAAACTCCCTTTCGAGAAAGTAACGAGTCTTTAAACGAATAAAATTGAGAGAAGAAAAGTCATTTGTACGGGAATGACAAAAAAATTATACAGACGAATTTTATAATGACGTGATCGAGAATGTAACAGGTTTCAATATGATTTTCTTGCTATTACTTCTACCAGTTACGTGTAACTGCTTTCTCGATACAGGGAGCATCGATATATTTTAATATTTAATTATGTATAATTAATATTTGTCGACAAATTAGCATTCGTATAAATTATTCGTATAAATGAATCAAAGCTGAAAAAAAATACATAAGAATAAATATTCATTTAAATTTATAATTCAATGAAATGATTGTATTGATATAATATTTATAAGTAAAGATCGATCATTTTATTTATATTTTATTAACGCTTAAAATTAAATATGATGAATGGTGCTGAGTACACTGATTAACACGTTGCCGCACACTTTTAATTTGACGATCGTGCTTAGAAATACGAAGATCGGACGGCTATAGCCGTCATTTGCGGCAATGGGTTAAACAGATGAATGTGGTGTACGTAATCTATGAGATTTATACGCTCGCGTGTGATGCATACAAACATACATAAATTCGACACACATTTGATATGTTATAACTATTAAAATTGTTTCATTATTCCTGTATTGAAGATTCAGTAATGAAAGATCAATCTTGACCATTAACAAAATAGTCATTTCTTTTATACTGAATTCTTTGATTTAACCCTTTGGTTTCAACTTCTTTTCTCTCTCACACTTTATAGTTCTGTCGCATATATTATACTTAACCATTTTTGGCAACGTTTTTAGTTCACACGTTTGTAGAACTTGTCAATAGATTTCTCTCAGTAGAAAAATATCGCGATAAAAAGAAGAATCGTTGTTTCCATTACACGAGATGTTTGGAACATCGAAAATGCATGATTGTAATATCCACTTCCGTAAACTTGCAATCCGGCAGTTTCTATACTACGTTTGCAGTAATCACCATCTGAAATAATAAATGAAAATCATAAATCTGTAATGTTTTTGTTCGTTTGATCGATTTAAACGGTCGTTAATTCTATGGGGTCAGGATCGTTTCAAAAAAATCTCCGATCTCTGAAATTCTCTATAGTTTCATAGTTGAGTAAATTGATCAGTAGTAAAGATCAAAATGATCTATCATTGACCATTAGACCGATTGTCTGTTAAATTATAGTTATTTTTCTAGTATTATAGTAACAGTAGTAGATATATATACTTCGGATCAAAAGTATGAAATAAATTGCTGATTTCTTTATAAAATGCCAGAATGCCTAGAATATATTAAATTATCATTCAAAAGAAAACAAAGGAAGAACAGTTTGCTGAAAAATATTCATTCCTTGATACAAAATATAAAACACACATACTACTCATAAGATTTTTGACAATCGTATTTATATCTCGATTACCATAAAGGAATTCATTTGTTCTAATAAATAAGTGGTTGAAAAAGAAAGAGATACAAGTAAAATTTTTACATAAACCAAAACAATGTCTGGTTCATCATTAATTTTCAGTCATTCAAATATCTTGTTTTATATTAACACTACTTAGAAATTGAAAACAACTTTTGATCGGTAATGTACGTTGATATTTCTTAAATGTGGAAGATTAAATAAATACTCAGCATGTAAAATATTATTTTATTGTATAGGAATTTTGTTGGATTAACCGATCAAGATAAGGTTCAGGGCTCGAGGGCCGAAAGGGAAACTTCACGAAACTTTGGAATTCATGCGATCTAGATAAAGAGAAAAAATCCATGGTGAGGAAGGGGTGGGGAAGGCGGGAAACGATAGAAGTCGATTGAATAGAGTCGAGTGGTACTCGCTTCTCTCGGCCTACTTCGATGTTACCGATTTACACAACGTATTCGCGTTCGAAGAAACTTTCCAAGTTAAATTCACTATGTAAAAGAATCAAAAGGGTTCTCCGTAAAGTCGATCGATACCAGTCACGTACGCATCTCTACTTTCCATCGGAATCGCTTATGAGGAGACGGTTCTTTTCATTTTTCTTTCGACATTCGATTTCAGCGAGTTTATATTCACTTCGTATATTACATACTGCAAATACTCGCTATACATTTATTCCAATAGCTAGCAGGTAGAGATAGTCAGCTACTGAATAAAAAAAAAAAAACATCCTATAACGCGTTAATTATTAGTCAAATCTTCAATTTCATCTTTGGTCTAGTATTATCGTACCCCATATATATAAATTATTGTCATTCTTATTGGAATTACCATTAGAAAATACTTAACTTACAGTAGAAGTAATATTTATGACACGATAAATAGAATGTTTTACGTTAGTTACTATAATGGCTACCATATTATTCGATTTACCATACTCGGTGAAGTTATTGCTAACTACAAAATCAAGTTAACAGATATTTGTTTTTTTTCTTTTTTCAAGAATTTCATCGATAGACTATTTTTGAAAAGGATACAATTTGTATTATTACAAATATAATATCCATAATACTTTTTAAGTTCCGTGTATGAATTATCGAAGATCTACGTAAAAGGGAAAAGTAGAAAGGAAAATGGACGCTTGGAATTCCTAGTCGAGGAGGAGCAGTTCTCGGAAGTTCTCGCTTTGGTATTGAGAGTGAACGCAATTTTGACGTTGTGGCTCACGTAAGAAAATACGGAAGAGGCATATGAGGGCCGCGCGAGCGCACACGTGCGCTCCTTTGAGCGCATGCATACACGAGAGTTAATTCTCCTTTTTGCCATTCACTTGCGCGTTTGTTCAACAAGAGATACACTATAGTATGCAAGAACGTCCAAGGTACGTCACCAACTGAATTGCATGGATGGTTATAGGCTTTTAAGGTGCAACCTGCGATGCTGGAAACGATAGTGGAATTGTCGAACGTGTATGTCTCACGACTTCTAGTTTCTTTCTTTTTCTTCATATTATCTTTCTTTATGTTTTCTTTCTCCATTTCCATTACTACCACTCCTATCTACCTCCTTCTTTTACACTCTTTTACTACCAGTGACTACTATATTTCGATTTCGCAATTTTCCAATCCCACGGGTCCAAGAATTTTACGATCCGTGTTATCTGGATCTATCACCGCGAACTTGCTTTTTTATTTTTATGCGGAAATAAAATCGATACCTTTTCGTTGTTTTTTTTTCTTCTTTTCATATTTTTCTTTTGGACATTTAAACAGGATAGAAAATGTTACAAATCTTTCTCGTTTTTCGAAAGATACGAAATGTATTGGATTACTTTTGTAATTTATTCCCAATTTCTTTTTTTATATAAAAATCAGATTGATCGTTGATGTTACTCAAGAGTTTGAATTTGATGTACGAGTGATCGCACAAGATGAAAAAAATGTTATATACAACTATAACCGTTAATCCTAATAATTTCAACGGTACCGTCGCGTATCGTAATTTAGTCGTGTGTGTCGTCACATGAAGGAGTATTTGTAGTGCTAGCCGGTAAGTAGTACGTGGGAATCGCAACCTTCAATCTGTTACGGTAGGATATTGCATAATTTGTAACAAGTCACGGGTAGTGGCACCGGTTCGGCAAGATACGTCACGAGAATTAGATTTTTAATTCGCTAACGTGTTTAAGAAAATAAAGTTTACTTAAAAAAAAATAAATACATAAATAAATATATATTGAGAAAAAAAACACATAGGATTAGTTTTTAATTAATACGATTAATGTTTCTTGAAATTATCTTACCATAGGACCAACCAACTACTTCACCGGTCCTAAGATTTTCCGTTCTCAACCAGTCTTCAAGTGGCCTGAAATATTCTCTTAAAGCTGAACCGTCCAATCTGTCTTCACCGATTGCTTGTTCAAGAGTATCTTGCCATGGCATCGACGAACCCTTTTCCATCAAGTTTCTGTAACAAACGGATTTATTTCGTTAGAAACTTTCCATCAATTACGTTGATCTATAAACCCAATATATTGGAATATACAGTAGAACAATCGTTATATATGAATTTATTGGAAAACAAAAGTATTCGTGGAAAAATAATTCTTGTTTGAATAATAATAATAATAATACACAACGAAAGTGGGTTAAAAAATAGTTTTGAGAACTTCCATGGTTTTCTTAAATAAAAGCGTATTTGATCAGAAAAATAAAATTGTTGTTTTTCTGTTAGATTGAAAACTTTTCAACGCACCCACATCGATCTATCAATAAAATAAGTCTTCACATTGAAAAATAGTAATCTTATAAATAAAATAACGTTTTATACAATATTTTATATAAATATACTAATATATTTATTTTATTATATATATATATATGCTATTATATTTATAATAACGTTTTATTTAAGATATTCATTTCCTTTATAATTAATCGGAACTTACAACACAACAGATATTTTTTATGGCGTATATCTATCGTAATAAAAACTTATATTGTTTCTCAAGATAAAGAAGAACCTATATACTATGGTGTATGTATATGTGTTTAGGTTTTTATCGAAAGCGCGTAAGAAAGGTGTTGTTCGCACGCACGCACGCATGGCATAATTAGGCTCACACCCTTGAGTAATTGAATTGAGTTACACCTACTTACCTAGCCGTGCGACTCAACAATGTGTAATTTTTATAAAGAAAATCATCAGATGTTATATATATATATATATATATATATGTATGTATATGTATATGTATATGTATATGTATATGTATAGAACGAGTGAACAACGAGCAACGTTGTTGTTGTTGTTGTTCCAACTTCTTCCATTGCGCCTTTTGTTTCGAACAACTCGTTCCTAACAGTGTTACAGTAATTACAAATCGTGCATACCTAATTAAATACGCGTGCGAGTTAGTTGTAAAATTCATTTCTCCAAATTACTTCTCATTTTAATCATCATCTCATTATTTGTAAAAGATAATACGAATGAGACACTAATTATGCAAGCATTCTTCACTGGAAGTCTATATTTACATATATTTTTCTTATTCAGTCTTATTTGTTTTTTAATTTAATTTTATTCATAGAATGTTATTAACAATTTTGTTCTCTTAGTTTGGTCGTATCCTTGCAAAAGGGATGCAACGAAGTGAAATTTCAAGCTTGATCGTGATTCGTTCGTCAACAATATGCATCTATCTTAGTTCAATTCATGACATGTTTATTTAGTTAATAATGTTTGGCTATTCAGAGAAGTAAAAGTAGGAAATTACGATATTACCAGAAGCGACCTAACAAGGGAGCTGTATTTTGTTACGAAGTGACGTCTGATTCCTATTGCCGTCATCAACATGCGCACACGCCCTCGTGTAATATAAACTTGCTTTCCTTGGAATTTCTGAGAGGAATTTCCCTCTCCTCTGGATGCCTCGTTAATAAATTCTATTTCTGCACCGACCTCGAAATCTTTTTATTTTATATTCAATATTCTCATTTATTTTTGTTCTTTAACGTTTGATTTGAAAAAAAAATAATATGAATGTTTCTTTGTTTAAATCAAAAATGATTAGAGATATTTTGTCATTTGTTTCAAACATTTTTGATCTATTAACCGAAGTGTTTCCCCGTTACGTTCGAAATAACGTTCGAAGTAGTTAGAATAGAGTTATTCGAACGTAATTTGAAACGTTTGAAATCGTTGTAAGGTAAGCATTGCCGAGAGAGAATAATAATGGTGCAATTTTGCTCGATAAACGTTCTTTTTAAGAAGCCGCGAAAAGTGTTATTTCGTTAGTTAACGAGCAAACGAAATAACAAACATTTCTAATTTCAATGCTTTTTGATGTTTCTATTCTGAAGTATGATCAAATTTAATGAGAAACATTAAAAGTGTCGATATCGATATTTCCTCGATTCTAACCGTGATCATTCCTTTTCTTTAACTTTCAAATAAAAATGCGTGATATAGATACCAACTGTAATACATAACTCAACGATACAAACAAAAAAAAAATCGATATTATATAAGAAGCTTTCTTAAAGAGAAGACATTAACCCTTAGAGTTCCATACATTTATCTTTTCCATGTATGTCGAAAAAATGCTTACTATTTTGATGAGTTTCTTCTTTCACTAAATACTTTCTATCCAATTTCAAGTTAATTTTTTGAAATATTTTCTTTAGAAATTGTTTACTCATTGATCTATGATTACGAGCAAATGTTTAAAATTAGTTTATTGTTGAAAGATCCCGTTATCAATTTACATTTATTTTTTTTGGTCTATTTAACAACGTATCGTGATATTTGACGTAAACTAGCGAAAGAAGAAAAAAAAGGATTGTAATAAAAACGATTATTGGTATATTTGATTATTTGGTGAGATTTCCGGTTCCTGTGTTGAACGATGAAAAAAAAAAGAACGGACCAACTTTCTTCGTGGGAAACTGTTCGATTGGCAAAAAAGAATTCGGTATGTCTGGTAGAAGGTATACACCTCCCGTTTTGTTTGTGAAACTAATTTATGTCGATCTCATAATTTCCGGTACTCGATCGAGGATTACGCTCGTGCTTTGCGCTCGTGAACGCGCGCTCGCTCATGTTCTAGCGAAATCTAGACACTTTCCTGTCGGCGTCGCAAGGATTTCGTAATGCGGGATGCTGAGAACAAGGCTCGTTATGCGTCTCTTTGCGATACAACGATATTTTTTTTTTTTTATAATATAGCACAGATTATACGAATCGATCATTGTTTATTTTTTCTTTTTTCTTCTTCTTTTACCATCGAGAAAAAGATTTCATTTGCTATTCAAAACAACGACGACAACTACTTTTTCCAATATTTAACTCTCAATGATTTGATTTTTTTTCTTTTTGAATTACCAATTACTAATTATTCCGTCGATTGTTAAAAAAATTTGAATAGAATAAAAAAATGATTTAACAACGGTTCCTTTTTCGTTTGGAGTAATTATCATAAGTTATTTGAAGAAAACAAAATAAAAACATTAATTAAAGAAAGGGTAGAACAAACGATGTACAAAATATCAATTAAAAATAATAATTAACATATACGGTAAATCGGTACAAAGTTTCAATTGTTAATATATTTTTGGTAAGTTTAAAAGATATTATAATTTAATTAGAAAAAATTGTAATTAAGTTTAATTACAAAATCTATCAATTACGTACAATCGATTATCGAAGTTTATTCTACCTTATCTGAGATAGTTGGAAACAAAATAGTATTGGTTAGTGCTTTATGCTGTCACTTACGCAGTGAAAACGGAAGTATAACTTATAGCAAACCACTTACATTCTACTCTCTCTCTTTATCTCTCTCTGTTTCTTTTTGTTTTTTTTCTATTTCTCTTTCTCACTCATTTCTAACGTCTCGGGTTTCTTCCATGAGTTTTGCGTGAACGAGCAACAACGTTTTACACGTTAGACGACACACAGAGAGTTTTCTGTGTTACTTTTTTTTCTTCTTTTCTTTTTTTATTTCTATATTTCCCTCTCTTTCTCACACCTTATCTCTGTTTAGTACTAGAGAGTTACTTTCGTAATTCCGTGTAAGACAAGAGTTGTAAATCGTCCTTCGATTACAGGAAGTTGATTTGATGCCTTGAAACGAGTATCTCAAGGAACGCAACCGATTTGTCTTTTTTTTTTTTTTATGTTTAACCCTCTTGTGTTGCTTCTTCGTATTTCACTTTCTTTCTTCGTAAATAAAATTCTTTTCCAAAGTTCCAACGACCGATTGATTTATATCATCTTTGTTATTATCCTTATTTGACTCTCGCCACTTTCGTGGTTTTCTTTTTCTTTTAATTTCTAACGGAGCAAATTCTTTTAGGGGTATATAATTTTCATTTATTGTAGCAAATTGATCACATAAGTCGACGACGACTGTAATTATATTTCTTTAGATACGTACAATTAGTGAGATACGATTGATTACAGTATACAAGTAATCCTCTTATAACACGTTAAATAGGTTCCTAGAAAATGACATGTTCTGTGAAATTGTGTTATATGAGACCAAGAGTTTACTATTCCATCGTGTCATTATTTTAAGGTAATTTAGTTTTTCGATATGTTAGGCAAATATCATGTTATCCGGTGCTATAGAAATACTAAGTGTTGTACTAAGTTCTATTGCAATTTTCTTATCATGTTAGAGTGAAACCGTGTTGTACGAGGATTACCTGTAATTTGAAAATAGTTGATCAAACTTTCACGTATTTCTTCATATACATATTTCATTAACAATTTTCGATTTCCTTTTCGATCATTCTCTTTGATTCATCAATCCAATTCATTGTTGTGAACAAGATATTTATTATGTAACAAGATCATCTTACGAAAATACGGCACAATGGATCATAGTAATCTCGATAAGTTTGTCGTAGTGACAAAAATCGAAGGACGAGAGTTTTGCTGGCTATCCGCAGCGAAATTGCAACACGAAATAAAGGTTTTCCTCTCGATGACCCAGATAGACATCGAACACCGGAGATTGCTGCTGAAGTAGGCGATCCGATCGATGATCGATCTGACGGTGATTATTGTCAGCCTCGTCGATAGATTGGATTATACTTATATTACGTATTTTTCAATCTCTAACCTTGGCTGAATCATGTCCCGTTATTTGTTCAAATTGTGTATCCAGAACTACATTTACCCCTATACTACCCTATATATTTATATGTACACGTGTAATACAATGATTAAGAAAAAAAAGGAAGAAAATATCGAAAATAAATATCTTTCTTACAAATAATATTTCGTCATTTCGTACGGTTTATATTCTACGTTAATTATTCGTTTCCAAAAAAATTTGATTTTATTTATACAAACAAGTCGTGTGTCGCGCTAGGTTTTTATTAGTTTCTTTAAATTACCAAATTAATATTTAAAAGAGTTGAAAAATATTTCTCGTATTTATTTTATATAATACCGAAAGAATGTCGTTCGATTTGGTTGTTATGTATAATAAAGTACAAAGAAATGTCATCAAGGGAGGGGAATGGGGTTCGTTTATAGGCCAAGTAGAAAATTCTTCATAAACAGAACACCGAATCATCTATACGATGAATTTTAGCCTTGAATTTTAATAAGATCGAAATGTCAGAATTCTTCGTAAAATAATTGGTTCTACTAAATTTGATCAAAAGTTTTGTGGTTTTAAGCAATTAAGACAAACAAGGTATACAGATCGTTGTGTGTGTAATATTTTCAAAATCGAACTATGATAGGACAATAAATCATTGGGAACGATAAATATTATTGAAAGTTTTATAATCGTGTTATGCATGTGTATAGAATAAATGTACCCCTCCAAATAGAAGACGTCTATAAATTAAGTAAAAAAAAAATGATACAAATAAAATACTCAATCGAAAATTGACGGTCCGATTTATACAAATAATTTGGGTAAATGATACATGTCAACATGATGATTACACAATCACAACGTATTAGAATTAGAAAGTGTATCGGTGATGTGTATTCACGATTTTATTAATTTTTCGATTCGATGATAAATAACAGAGTGTTAGGAGTCTAACTAACAACTGTTTTACATTTTCTCTTTGCTTGTTTCATATTTTTTAAATATTATTTTTATATATTTACAGTCACACGATCTTGGTATTCCAATGAAGCGTGTAAATGTGAGAACGTACATTTTCCACGTATTGAAATGTGCTCAATCCGACTGGCGGAGTCCCGTCGATTTATCATTTTCCTCCATCTTGGAAGGAACCAGTGAAGGTTCGAAGTTTCCATGCAATGGATGCCGGGGATGAAAGAGACGGTATCATTGAACCGTTTCTTTCTCCTGTTTCCCTTCTCTCGGTTTGCCCATTGTCTCGTTCGTCACGATTCATATTCTTTCTTTTTCTACCCCACCCCGCCCCTCAAGTCTCGCCCTGGTCTCTTGTTCAAAGTTACACGAATGCGTTAGATAATTTTATCGACGCGAAATCGAGACACATAATACACAAGGAACACATTGCTACATCATGAAAGAAAATATTCGATGTAAATTCGTCGGGTTGTTTTGTAGATATAAATATAAAACACTATACTCTAGTTGATACTCTGAGAACCACGAACGTGTAAAAAAGTTTCGCGTATATGTCACAAACAATTGACGCTACGTTTCCAACGTCAAAAGTATACACATGAGAATGATATAATACGTTATATATAGAAATTTTCCTTACTCGAATAAATTTGGAATTATATTTCTTGGTTTTTTTTTCTTTCTTTAAACATATTGCGAAAAAAAAACGAAAAAAAATAGAAAGTAGAAGCGTGACTTTTAAATTTTGTAAAACTAGTCGGCTTATCTTTCTCCTATTACGTACTTTTCGTTGCGAATATTAGTTATTTAATTCCCTATATTCCAAAATTTCATCAGAATTTTTATATTATTCGTATAATATGAATACTAAGATTACTTACCCGAGAATTCTTCCAGCTTCGGGATTTCTATAAAAGTCACATTTATGCAAGGGTCTTCGAGAATCTTCTGAAAATCTTTGACCAGAGGTCCGACACAACGCACGATAGATTTGGAATTGAAGAACACCGGCAACGAAATTTCTATAAAAAAAAAAAGAAAACATTCATGTGCAATTGAAATTAAATAACTTGATTATAAATATTTACAAATATTTCAAAAACATGTATTATTTTCAACAAATAATATAATATTATTATTATATATGATTAGTATATAAATATATAATTCATCATCGTGTTTTACACATTTAACATATAAACTAATTAAAAATTATCGTGATAATGAAATTTTTATTGGAAATAAAAAATATGTGTCTTTAATAAAGTTAAAGAAATCACGAATTCTAAGATTCGATGATCCAAGTAGACAAATTTCGGTGAACCTTGAAGAATGATTACCAAGGTCATGGTCATCAAAGTGGTGGTTATATTCTCGTTCTATTCGACGTGTAATTCGATGCCATCGTCGATACTTATCTTCGTTTAATAGATCGACTCTAGGATAACAAGGAGAGAAAGAGAGCTTTTTGTATGTGCTTGTATAAACGTGTGTTTTCGTTTGTATGTGTGTATGTGTGTGTGTGTGTTTGAGACCAGGTCAATCTGGATACGAGCACGCGAAGACATCAGCGTTTCACCTCAAATTCCTCATCGGCAGCGACCTTTACGTAATGGCGGTGGATCGAAATCGCAAACGTTGTTTTCTCTCCACTTTCCACAATTAAAAAAAAAAAAAAAAAAACACCAACGATATGATTTTACTTAAATTAAAGTAATCAATTTATTGCTAGAATAACTTGTGGGACATATATTATTAATTTGTTTTTACTTTTTTACTCTCGAGTGTATCCAAATTTTTCTCGGTGTCTTCGAGGAACTAGGATATAGAGAAAACGAGATAATTCGTCAAGACAGTCTGTTACGCGATTCATACATAATTTAATTAACGTCCAGTTCTTGTGTTTCTTTATATATACATTTAATTTATACAAAGTTTCTTTTCTTTTTCATTTTACTTTTATATTATGCATGCGACCATTCTCACTATTTGGGATAAAATGATATATAATATTTATGATCTTTCGCAAACATTTAAACCAACACACACAGATGACGATTATATTTTGAATTATGCACGAAAGTGTGATATTAAAAAAAAAAAAGAAAATAAAGTAAGAAGAAAAAGCTGAGAGGGATTCGAAGATAATATGTCGTTTAATGGAATCCAAGGATCGTTCGAAATTTGATCTGTTGACCTTTGGCGAACGTGCTTATGTTTCATCTAACAATAAGAGAATGTAGATGAATGTATTACTCGAGGTAAATCGTAAAGATGAAAAATCCGATTTGATCTTGATTCCCTCGAGGGAAATAAAATATAGTTATCTAATTTGTCTAAGCAATGGGGCGGCTGTGTTATTAGATCAGATTTATACGCATCAATGAGTTCAAGACCTTAGCCGTGAATAGCATAACCATGATTCATCCATTTACATCGATGATCCTTGCTCGGTTCATGATCGGAAATGGACTAGAAAAATTGTTGGATAGTCTCAGTGATTGTTCTTTCTTTTTGCATTATTATTATTATTTTCTTTTTCTTTTTTTTTTTTTTATTGTGCACGCTCGAATAATTTTGACGATTTCAAACGACCTGCGTGTTCGACGGTTATAAAACTTCGAAAATAAAAAAAAATAAAAGAAGGGGCGATAAAAATTATGCTCAAGTTCTATTGATTTGTTTTTTTCCACGTGTTTCATATGTATATTTAACGCAACGCGGCTTTTTACGCCTTGTAAACATTGCGAAAGTCTGTTACGTAAAAATCAAGAATTTTTGCCAATTGTAAGATTTTCTAAATGCGGAAGTTTTGTTTGTTTTTTTCTTTCTTCTTTCTTTTAATAACAAGGTGGCGCTGAAAAATTGAATATAGATAAAGGAAGAACTTATGAAAGATAAAGTATAATGTATTGAAATGAAACGTTTAAACGGGATAATAAGAATTAAGAGGATCGTTCGAATATTTTGTTATATTTTTTTCTTTCTTTTTTCATTAATCGTGTTAAACTTTCCATGGCGAAAGGTTTGGATCGTTTAATGGGTATTTTTGTACGTACACGTAATTATAAACGGAGTAATCGTACCATACATGATTGTATAGTGTATTCCCGTATGTAACGGGATCACAGTGTGTATCGGTAAATTTTGACGAAGATAATAAAAAAATGTTTCGATTTTTTTTTTTAACGATAAACGATTTATTCACATAATTCTTTTTTCCTTTCTCGTATAAGTTGAAAAATAAAAGTATATATATGTCTTATACGAGAGAGAAAGAAAGAGAGAGAGGTTTACCTCGTCTCTCCCGCAAAAGGAAGTAATGGTTTGCAGCAGTGGTGCGATCTCACAGAGATAAATCGTAGGTGAGTTTGTCTCGGGATACGTAACGTATTCTAACTATAGTTAAAGTACAGTAGTAGTGATAGTAAAAATGATTCGTGCTTCTGTTTCTCCGACAGAGTATATAATAGATACATAGGATAAATATGTCTATGTATGACTTTGCGGTCTTGGTTTTAAACGAAGGAAGAAACGAAAACGGAATCGTAACAGCGAAAGGGATAGGATGCTTGAGATAACGTGGGAGCCGATTTCTATCGAACGTTGCACTCGATTAATATAATCGATAATCGATATTTTCTTTGAATATTACTGTTTTTTTTTCTTTAAATACAAATAATTATTCTTCGATTTTATGTTAATTTAAAAAGAATAATAATCGAGTTTTAATATTTATTTAAGAAAAATACAAGAAAATAAGAGGTTTATAATATTAAAATCATTAATTATTGGTATTAAACAATCTTATAACGATATTGTGTTAGCAAATTTTTTCCATTTAAGTTTATCTCATAATACGAAATGATCTTGACTGTTTGAAAGATATGATAGTTAGTAAGAATAACCGAATACTTCCGTAGCCGTAAAGGAAGGAAGAAAAAGAATGATAAAAGGGGCGGAAGCGAGGAAAAACGGTCAAGTCAACAACCAGAGCACGGACTTTCGCTTTTTCTCATAAATCCTTTTTTCGAATCTAACGTGTATCATTATCGAATCGGTTATATTTAAAAGATATTTATTCAAAAATGTATGTAATATTTTGATTATTATTATTATTATCATATACGTTAAACGTATATATTATGTTTTTATAAAGTGTCTTTTAACTGAAACTTGGCGTTATTGCTCAATACTTAACATATTCAAGTAACGAGATCCATCGATTCTATTTGCGCACGATGACTACAACTACTTCTAGGATTTATACTAACATAAGAGGGAAGAGAATTCTTTTAAATCGAGATCAAGAGATAGAAAGAGAGAGGCGAGAGATACACGTATGCGCAAGATGAACGTTTCTAGTTGGACGAGAAAACGGGTGTAATGGCGATCGTAACGAAATAATGCTCTCCCTTCTTCTTCTTTTTTCCATCTCTTTTATCCATCATTTTTATTTTTCTTCTTTTTAATATACATCGAAATGTATAGAAAGACAAAAAAAAAATATAATATGACAGTTACCAATGATCACGATCGACAACTACTTCAACGAAGGCAACGACGACTACGACGACAATAACGACGACGAAGGTAATGACGAAGAGAACAAAATTCAAAAAAGAAAGAGAGAGTCGGGTGTGTGTGTGTGTGGGGGGACCAATCCCTATCTCTTTCGCTCTCACTTCCTCGCTCGCTTGTTTCCTCGCTCCTCGAGTCTGTCCCAAAGGGGAGTGGTGGTTGGCCGAACGGTGGGACCGTCGTCGTTCCAAGCGAACAAAGAGGTGTAACGTGGGGGGTATATGGCGTGCTCTTGGACCCGGGGTCCGTATTGCGAAGGCGAAAGTGTGCCGTGTATATAAGGCCCCGAACCAACGGCAATCAGCATCCAGTTCACTCCTGGACGCACCCGGAACATCGCGAGAGTCAAAATGAGAATCCTGGTACGTCGAAATTATTCGAGAATCCAACCCCCCGTTCACCTTCTCTTTCTCTTCCTGCCCTCAGTCCTTCGATAAGCGTGGAAACACATAGGATTGAATATAATAACGCGTCAGTGAAAATAACATTCGCGGAAAGTTTATTGAGTAATATTTTGGAAATGTATTACGCGAAAAGTGAAGCTTCGGGATCTGGTGGATTGAAATTGATCGCGAAATAATGTTGAAATTTATAGTTAATTATTAATCGGTTAATTGTTACACGTCATTTGGTTCCTAATGCATTAGTTGTTCTACAGACGATAATCGTAAATCTCGATATTTTCGAAAGAATCGATAGATCAAAGATCGATCAAAAAGATACAAGGGTAATCGAAATTGTCCATATTTTACAGATATACCTAGCGGTAATCGCTTTCGTATCCTCGGTCGCTTTGGCCGTGGAAGCCGTAGAAGCTGTAGAAGCGGCTGAAGCAACAACAAAAAAGCAAGCAACATCAAAGAAGCAAGAGAAGCGTGGCATCTTGGGTCTTGGATACGGCTATGGCTATGATGGAGGATACGATATTGGGTCCGCAGGACACGGGGGTGTGGAATTAGGACATGGATACAGCGGCGGATATAGCGGCGGATATAGCGGCGGATATAGCGGTGGATACGGTGGAGGTTACGGCGGAGGGTATGGCGGAGGTTACGAGGGCGGATACGGCGGCGGGTACGGACACGAGCACGTTAAGACCGTTACCGTAGTCAAGAACGTAGCTGTGCCATATCCAGTGGAGAAGCACATCCCTTATCCGGTAGAGAAGCAAGTACCGGTTCCAGTAAAGGTTCCAGTACCACAACCTTATCCCGTAGAAAAACACGTGCCTTATCCAGTGAAGGTTCTCGTCAAGGTTCCGGTTCACGTGCCGCAACCTTACCCCGTCGAAAAGAAGGTTCCATATCCAGTACATGTTCCCGTAGATAGACCCTACCCCGTCAAGGTCTATGTCCCACAACCCTACCCAGTTGAGAAACAGGTGCACGTTCCGGTAAAGGTTCCAGTACCACAACCCTATCCTGTTGAAAAACACGTTCCCTATCCAGTCAAGGTTCCCGTCCATGTACCACAACCGTACCCAGTCGAGAAACTCGTACCATACCCAGTAAAAGTACCAGTTGACCGTCCAGTCCATATCCCAGTTCCCAAACCTTACGCAGTTCATGTTGAAAAGCCTGTACCTTACCCAGTCGAGAAACCAGTGCCCTATCCCGTAAAAGTACATGTTGACAGGCCATACCCAGTGCCCGTAGAGAAACACGTACCCTATCCAGTAAAAGTACATGTACCTCAACCTTATCCAGTGGAGAAGCCAGTACCGTATCCAGTGGAGAAGCCTGTACCATATGCGGTCAAGGTGCCAGTTGACAGACCGTACCCCGTGACTGTCGAAAAACCAGTACCATACCCAGTTGAAAAACCAGTGGCGGTTCCGGTAAAGGTACCGGTAGCCGTACCAGTCCATCATGGTGGTTACGAAGGTGGTTATGGTGGTTACGACGGCGGAAGCAGCGACGGATATCACTATGGTCATCATTAATCGATCAACACACGCAGCTCCCTCATCGTTAACGGCTTCTAGGCCGAGGACGATCGACGACGACAACGATGAGGAATCAGCCTGGTATTCAGCATTCCTCTTAGTATATTACGTATTATAGTTATGTCGTTGCCGTCGTCATCGTCGTCATTCGTCGTTGTGCTAAGCTTCGATCGATATGCACTTGTACCTGGATCCGATATCTCGATAAGAGAGAGATCCGGTACGAGCTTGTACCGGATTTCGATCGTATCTTCGAAATCGGTCGCAATAATAAAGAATAAAAGAACATTTCGGAGCTCGCGATACAGCGACGTGGGCCAAATCACCAAGCCACAGAGGGAGAAGATAACAACAACAAAAATTAGCTAAGGTGCCCCGAGCTTTTTTAGTGAAACGCGTTCTATTCCTTACCTTACTTTTATACCGAAATAGTAAAGTATGTAATATTTTTTTTTGTATAAAATAATATTAATGTGATAGAAAACTATTCGTTTATTTTCCTCGTTTATTTCCTAACTATAATACGTTTCTTTCTCCATCTATCTTTCTCCTTTAGTTTCATTTCTAATGAAATGGTCCATTTCTAATAGTTAAACGACTATTGAAATCTTACAAAAACTTATGTAAATAATAATATGGATGAAAAGAATAAAATTTTCTATTCTTATTTCTCTGGAACGTAACATTACGTAAAATCAATGCTTGAAATTGTTACGTTGCCACACGATGAAGGAGAGTCACTTGAACAAGCGTGTACAGAGAAAAGGAAGCGAGCCACACGATGACGTTGCCTTCTTTCACGGTACGTGCAGCTTTCCAATGAAAACTTTCGTCTTTCGAGTAGACTAACACATCAATATGTTCCTAAGGTATATACATATATAATATAAATATATGTTGAGAGAGACAGAAAGAGAGTGAAGTGGTCCTATCGGTGTCACGAAATTGAATAACACATAGGTGACCCACTCTACGACCTATGCCAAGTTGTTTCCCTTAAAATCGATAAACGATTACCCTCTCACCTCTTTACTTTTCTTTCTAAGACCATCACTTTCATGCATCTCATAATTTTCTTCTCCTCCCTTATTCAGCCTCGGAGAAATGTACAAGACTATCGACTGCAGACGGTGCGTCTTTCTGACCCACTTTTAGCTCGGTATAATAATAGAGATGATACGTGGGAAAGAGTTATATAATTTACGAGCTGGCATAATAAAATCTCTTTCTTTTTCCTACCAAAAATGGATATAAGTATAATGGTGGAAATGATGAAAGCGTAATCATCACATTTAACTTCTAATGTAATATTACTCTTTCCTGCAAACGTCCATTAACGAATATTGGTTTTTAAGAAACAAGGAACATTTCATGGTCTTGTAATATTGATTAAAATATTATTAAATATATACAATATTATAAAAAGTCTTGAGATATATATGTAAATCAAATGAATGTAAGATTAAATACAAGAAAATAAACGTTATTATTATTCTGATCTTGAGCGTTCAATAGAATGTAGGAAGATTGAAGGATCAGTCCTCGCTCCACTTTCCTTGTACAAGAGGAATCGAGACGATTTGCTTGTCTTTGCCACTCGATTCATGAGCGACTTGTATACTTAGAAAAAAGGACTTATGCAATATAACTATTAGCGCACGCGACACCGAAACTGAAAGTAAGAGTCTTCCCTTCGTCATGAAACGAACGATCCTTCCGTTAGAAGCTAATTCCTTCCTCTTACCCTTTTACTCACTTACGTTACACGATTTTACCTTTTTTTCCTTTTTCTTTTCTTTTTTTATCTCGTTTCTCTTTCACCGATCTTTTATGCACTTTTACTTTCCAATTACGCGCTAAGCTAATTTATTTTTTTTCACATAAAAGTAAGATATTTTTGATTTACAATTTAACGATATATATTGAAAATATATTAAAATGTAATGTATCAGAATAAGACATTTTTAATATTTTTTTATTATATATTTCAATATATTTTAAATATCTATTTTTCTTTCTATTTTATCGATTGTTCCGTTACGGTGATGAAAAGAATTATTTTATACGACTAACGTCGATAAAGTAGTAATTCTGACTTATTGACGAACGATTATACTCAGGGCTTGTTAATATACATCATTTTTTTTTTCTTTTTAAGCTAATGTAAATAAAATATTTCTAAATTTTATATTGAAAACGAAATCTTAACAAAGAAGACATTGTTTAAATTGCATTAAAATAATGATAGAAATGTAAGTAATCAAAATTTGTTTTAATTGTGTCATGAGTTATGTTCGTCGCGCTGTATAACAATAAAAACAAAAAGAAGATACTCCTTGATCTTTTAACTTATGTTTGTTGCAAAATATCCGGCAAATGAGTTTCAAGAATCGACTGCAAGATAAATACGATGCGTATCTTGATATCCTGGCTCATATTGTAAAAGATAATATTAAACGCTAAAAAAAGAAGAAAATTACGCGTTAGAAAAGTCATGTCTACTTATCGAGGTCGAAGAACCGAGTTTCTTCGTGAGAAATATAAATGTACGATTTCTTTTTTTTCTTCTTTTTTTTTTTAAGGAAACTTCTTTTTTAAATGCGAAAATAATATTCTAATTTGATCAAACTTTCTTTTTCTAATTTTTTTAATTAATTGACGAAAGAAACACGCGATTTAAATAAATAATAATAATTATTGATTATTATTACAAATACTAGCTTAGAAAAAAAGTATATTGTGGAGAAGATATTATTAATTGGCTCAATTGCATTGTACATTAATATCGTGTTCAAATATTAATTGTTTTTTTATCAAATAATACGTTTAAAAAAAATGTATTACGATAAAATTAAAACGTATCATCTATTTGAAGGAAGTACAGATAAGTTAAATGGCATTTATACAAACAAGGCTAAGCATACTTGTATGACCATTCATAAAATGAAATCTTATGGCGAGAAAACAAGCTCCCTTACTTTAAGTCTATATAATTGTCAATAATATTTCGTGCTCTTACCATGGCGTGTTCTGCTATCGTTTCGAAGGCATCGAATTGCTTTGAATGATCGCGAATCGTGTGTATGTATCGTGCAGTTAATTACGTCTATAACACCATCGCCATAGAGCGTTAAATGCTCGGCACGAAAGGAAAATTCGAGCAGCGTATCTAATGTAAAGGAAATTTGAAACGTGCGGTACGATGCCGATACGATCTTCAATCTGTCTGTACGAGAAACTGTGTGAAATAGATCTCAGAAATGTAAATGACCTTTTTTTTTTCTTTTTTATATTCTATCACTTATTTTAGAAAAATATTACCTACGGTTTTAGAAAGAGATATATCAGTTTCAAAGTTTCAAACACAAATATCTACATCTGCATATATTCATTCAGTTTCTTACTTTTTCTTATTATAAATTTTTATATGCATAATTATTTTTAACTCGTCTCGTATTATTTTACTGATTTATATACAAAGAAAATACAACGAAAAAGAATATATTGTACAGATACAAGTAAAGAAGAACAAAGTAAAAAAACTTTTAGCTTTATAATACTTGGCATAAGGTTTAAATTGGTATTAAGAATAATACTTTTCTTTATTGCTTATTACATCTATATGATTTACGGAGAAACAAGTTCTTTGAACTTGATTCAATGAAAATGGAGATTAAACGAGTTAGATTCGAGAAAATAGTGGTTAGTGAAAATGAGAATTTACCAAAACCAGAGTAGTCGATAAAAACAGGATATGTGTACTGTGTTTGTATTTCTCATGTATCACACGATCCGTTTACTTTTCTTCAGAACTACCATGCTTGTTATCTTCAAGACTAAGTTTCACTTTTGACAACCTCCATCAAGAGTACAACGGCTTGAAAACGCGAAAGTTGTTTAACTCCCCTCTCGAAAGATGACCAAGAGCAAGAAGAAGGTGTATGTTCAGCCTCTGGATCAGTGGCAACGGTTCAACCCATTTGAGTATATAAACTAAGAAGATCGTAGAAAATGATCTACATTATTGTTTCTCGTGGCTTAAGAAAGCTATCGCTACAAATCTAGAAAGAAGAAAGAAAAGATTCAAGAGTACAAATAAGACCTCCTAGGATCGAAGAAAAACTTGAAGAAATTGTCACGATGGGTTGTATGGTGCGTTGTTTCTCGCAGATTTATAAGTGATCAAAATGTTTATTATTAATTACGATTAGTGTAATTTCGGTGTTTATGAAGTTGACAGAAATTAAATGAAATCTGTTTATTAAATTTGGTTCTTCGACAGTGTCACGCAGCTATGGCCTTGGCATTTTTCGTAGCTGTTGTTACAAGTACTCAGACTGATGAATCAAATTATCAAAAGAGGATTTATGTTTACGAGGATTTACCTATTGAAACATACGAACGAAGAATATTTTACATAAGACCACAGAGATTCGTTAGCAAAAATAGACGAAATTATTTAGAAGAGGAGGAAGATAAATCGTCGAAATACAATAACGATGAATCTACGGAACAAAATTATGCTTACGAGGATCCTGTTGCCGTTCCGTGTAAGTAAATTTTTCTTCTACGTCTTTTTTTCTTTTCATAGTTTAGAATTATAATTGTACTATATCGATAAATAAAAATTATTGATTTTTTTTAGCCGAACAATATGAGGATCATCAAGAAGAACCCGAAGAAAGTGGATACTCGTTTGAGTCACACGTTCCCGAAGAAAGCTCACACGAGAATCACTTTCTGGAACAGGACTTACACGAAAATGTTCACAAGACGATCACAATTATTAAAAAAGTCGCTGTACCGTATCCCGTGGAGAAAATTATACGATATCCCGTGGTAAAAAATATACCATATCCGGTCAAAATACCAGTATCACAACCATACGCGGTTGAGAAAAAGGTTCCTTATCCTGTAAAGGTTTACGTAAAGGTACCTGTGAAAATTCCTAAACCAGTGCCCGTGATAAAGGAAGTACCGTATCCGGTGAAAGTACCGGTTGATCGACCAGTTCCTGTTAAAGTTTATATACCAGAGCCCTATCCCGTAGAAAGGAAGGTTCACTACGAAGTTAAAGTCCCAGTTCCGGATCCCTTTCCAATAGAAAGGAAAATACCGGTCCCGGTAAAGGTACCGATACATGTTCCACAACCCTATCCAGTTGAAAAAATCGTACGTTATCCTGTCAAAATTGAAGTTGAAAAGCCAATACCGGTACCAGTATCAAAACCGTATCCGGTTCATGTTAGTAAGCCAGTTCCTTATCCGGTCGAGAAACCAGTACCCGTTCCGGTAAGGGTCGAAGTGCATAGACCGATTCCAGTACCGGTCGATAAACCAGTGCCGGTAAAGGTCAAGGTACCCGTACCTGCACCCTATCCGGTTGAGAAAGAGGTACCTTATCCGGTAGAGAAGCCAATAGCTGTGCCAGTCAAGGTACCAGTCGATCGACCGATCCCTGTTCATGTGACTAAACACTTGCCTTATCCTGTTCAGAAACTTGTCCCTTATCCCGTTAAGGTTGCTGTACCTGTACCAGTTCATGACGATGACAACGAACAACAAATAACCAAGTCTGAATATTATAATTCTAATGAAGAAGAATATTCATAAAATTAGTTTCAAAAAGACATCTGATATCCTTTTTGTTTTTCATTTAAAGATGGCGTTGTAATTACTTTTTTATTGTAAATAAAAAATTGTTTTAGTCTTTAATAATTTTAGAAAGCTATTATTTAGAAAATATAAGAAAACAATAAAACGGAAATATTTTAATTAATTGTAAATTTATTATAAATTTATAATTATTATATTAGTTCTGTGACTTCTCTTTAATGGTTAGGTAATAGAAAGACTCAAATGGCGCCATCTTATGAGATCTCATGAAACTTGAATGTTTTCTCAGACAATAATCAGCACCGATTGTTGGAAAAAGAGATACCTGTGCTAGTTTGTCTGTATTATTTTAATAAAAAATGTTTACCAAATATTCTTTTATTCTCTTTTTTAATAATATAATATAAAGAATAATATATATTTATTATTTGTTATATAATTCTTTAATTTTCAATATATTTTTTAATAAATAAAAAAGAGCTAGTTACCTTCGGAAGATAATTCATTGATTAAATTGAATTATGGTAACCCTAATTTTGTATTTTACGGTATAATTACGAGAAATTTCTTCTTCTATTATTTTCGAGAACTTACGATTACTTACAATATCATTTTTTACAATAAAAAGCATTAAAAATAAAGAGTACGTTTATCCTATTAATTATGATACACCTCGTTGGCTTCAACAAGAGATATATCAGATTTAAACGAAAAGAAAGTAGTCGAACTAGGAAGTGGTATAAACAACGTTTTATAGAAGTTTGCTACAAAATATATTACACTTATTGTTGGTGTTAGTTAATTCTATATACATCAGAAAAAAAGAAAACAAATGAAAAAAAAAACAACATTCTAACACGTATATTTGCCAATCCTTTTCTATATAAAGTAAAAAAGAAGATTTTCAAGAAGTCACGCGACAGATCGAGACGATTAAGAGATATTACCGGATTAGTCGAGCGAGAAAGCTATAATATGAGTTTGTAAAAGCACAATGTGTAAAACTTTTACACCGGTTTCGATTTCACTGCACTTGATACATGAGAATCTGCACAGAATGTCTTAATGAATATTATACAAAAGGCGAAAGTACCAATTTTATAATTTAAATGAATTCATATGCGTAATGAATTCATATACAAAAATATATTTTGATTAAAAGTTAAAAATCAGACGTGAAAAAAAAATTAACAAAATTTGGAGAATCTTTGTTTTAAAAAATATTAAATAATATTCGTATTTTAATAAAATGAAATATTCTTTTCTATAATGTACGATCGTTTTTACGACAAATTATAGAAAGTAATAGTATTTCGTACGCTTTCGTCGTTAACTCAGGATTATTATTTCTATTTGAAAAACGTCGTAAAATCTACGAGTTTAAAAGAAAAGAAAAGAAAAATATTCTTCAACAGCGTATACAAATTTATCTCTTCTTTACGCATTATACGCGTAATAAGAATTTGTTCGAGTTTATCTTACTGTGAAATTACTGGCCTAACATTTATTATAGAGCAATTTATCTCACGTACCTTAATTCCTTATAGTGTTCAAGTTTTTAGTTATTGGCACGAGGAAATAGATAGACGAGAATTTTGATTACTTTCGAAGACCCGTTATCCTTCGTCGCTAAGAATATTAGAATCTTACGAAAAAACAATGATGACCATTTAAGCGTAGATAATTGTCATGAACACGAGCCTCTACGGACTATAAAGGTCCAGCTAGTTCAACCGGGGAAAGTAGTTCGTGGTGTATAAATAATAGTCGGATAGCAAACCGTTTGGTTTCAGTTTACATTGATCTCTAGTATCGATTAGATACATTTCATCATGGATCATCTGGTACATCAATTTTCATATGAATTTATTTTACAAATTTTATAATTTTGTTGAACATTAATGAAATACCATTTTAAAATACAGGAACAAATTTTGATCGGCTTTCTGTGCCTTGGAATTGCATTAACATCCTCGGCCAGTCGTAAAGAAGACCTCGAGAGGGCAGCTGAACTAGCGGTAGAGAAAGCTGCTGAAAGGGCAGCGGAAAGGGCAGTAGAGAAAGCTTTAGAAAGTGGGAACATGACTACTGAATCAAAAACAATTCGGGAATCCTATTCGAGTATTAGGAAAGGTGGAAGTCGAGAGAGGGCTAATAACGAATACGGTACTCGATATTCTGATTTGAGAGACGACGAGGACACGGAATCCGATTCAGAGGGTGACACTGATGACTGGAGTAGGTTTTCCAGAAATAGATGGATCGGAAGACGCGAACCTTGGAGAAGAAGCTTAAGAAGCGATTGGATAAGCGATCATCATCAACATGGAAATGTTAAGACAATCACTGTAGAGAAGAAGATTCCGGTACCAGTGACGGTAGAAAAGAAAATTCCATTTACGGTTTACAAACACGTGCCCTATGAAGTGAAGGTTCCTGTACTTCAGCCTTACACCGTTGAGAAAAAGGTACCCTACCCCGTGAAAGTGTTCGTGAATACTCCCGTAGAGGTACCGGAGCCGTATACAGTCGAGAAGAAAGTGCCTTACGAGGTGAAGGTCGACAGGCCCGTGCCGTACAAGGTCGAGGTACGGGTACCACAACCGTATACAGTTGAGAGGAAAATACCGGTGGAGGTAAAGGTATCGGTGCCTCAGCCGTACACCATCGACAAGACCGTGCCGTATGAAGTAAAGGTACCTGTAAAAGTACCGACACCTTACGAGGTCGAAAAAAAGGTTGCCGTGCCAGTTAAAGTCATTGTAAATCGACCCTACCCTGTTTCTGTACCAAAACCTTATCCCATAGAAGTCGAGAGACCTTACCCCGTTGAAGTACCTAAACCTTATCCTGTTAAAATCAAAGTCCCAGTAGATGCACCCTATCCTGTACCAGTGGAAAGACCTGTACCAGTCCCAGTCAAAGTACCACAACCCAAACCCTATACGGTGGAGAAGCATGTACCCGTAGAAGTACCTAAACCTTATCCAATACCAATCAAAGTTCCTGTGGACAAACCTTATAAAGTTTACAACGAAGCACGTGTACCTGTACCAATCCGAAAACCCTTCCCTTATTGGGTTCAAGTACCGGTGCCTGTTAAACTCGATTGGCAAAAATCTGGTCACCATTCTGCAGAATCTTTCGAAAGGAAAAACGATTCTACGATGAGCCAAAGGACAATCAATGATTCTAAAAATTCCAATATGTCCTCGTAAAAATTGTGATTTTAATTTGATAATTAAGTAGTCCGATAAATTTATTAAATAATTTATTATTTCTTAGCTTTAAGGTATATAATTATTTTTTTTATTCTTCTACATGCTTTTAGGATAGATTTAAGTTAAATTGAAAAAAAGAAGACTAAAGTGCTTTTTTTTGTTTCAAACAAGACGAGTACAATTTTTATCGACATCCATTTTTTGGAAAGTACTTTCATTCAATAAAGTTCAACGTTTTCTTAAAGGTGTAAATAGGTTTTTGTTTTCCTGCGCAATATATTCTTTCCCTCCTTTCCCCTACCCAGTAAGCAATATACTCGCTTAGAATTTCTTCCTAACGACTTAATGTACGACTACGCCTTGTGATTTCGATGATGCAAAAATGAGCATTTTGATTTAGCCCGAACTGTAGGAAGTAATAAAACGAATTCTTGTTTGCGTTTTCATTTTTTGATGGAAAATAAAAAAGACAAACACAAAACAAAACAGAACAAATTCTTTTTACAAAAAAAAAAAAAAACGAAAAATATTAATTTACTTTCTATGATTCTTTCTCACAATCATTTTAGAGAATTGATTTGTAATTATTATTTTACCATAACTGATCAAATGGTTCAAATGAAAATAAAACTTTAGTTTAAAATATATATATAAATGAACGAGTAAGAACAAATAAGGCATGCATATCACGAGTTTGATCGCAACATAAAAGATAGTTCTCGATCTCGCTTGGCATCGCCCACCTTTCCTCCCTTCTTCCCCCTTTCTCCTCGCAAATCCCTGTGCCACTCGCTTCTCTTTAGATATATCCTTTCGTTTACTTCCTAGGACTCTCTCTTTCGTACCAAAGTTTAGTTCCTCGTTTCGGCTGAGAAGAGCCATGTTGTTGCGAGTGTGCCGCGTCACGAGGCAGATGGGAGATACATATAAATGATTGGAGTAGGGAGACGAGAAAGAAGGAATTAGGTAAAGGGGAAGGGGAAATAGAAGAATGGAGGGGAGAAGGAAAAGAGGCAAACTTCTGGCACAAGAGAGTATGCATGTGTATATGAGAAACTTGGAATGGATCAAAGACTTAAAATAGAAAAGAGAGATGTCTTGTTTATGTCCTATAAGCTGCCTGGATGAATACATAATAACATTTGGACGAGTAGAGTTTTCTAATATAATAATATTCTAGAAATAAGTTAGTATCTCTCATTATATCAATTATAGCTAATCTATAATTTAGAAAATAAGTTAGGTGATAGGTGAATTACGGTTAGAATAGAATAAATCATCCATGGTTGCCTAACACGACATTATTATTTTGAACATTATGGTGTAGGTAATGATTAAATTAGGTGGTTAAATCGGTTATGTACTGGCGCAAAAAAAATGTAGATAATCAATTATAGGGATAGAGAGGTGGTTGTTGCGTTTTATTTATAAAAATAATTCGTCAGTTGCTTCCTAGATATCATTTACGCTACGTTTGAGATAGATCGGTAGAAAAAGGGAAGTAAAATGAGAATGGAAACGCATCAAGGCGCGTTACGGAATCATCGTCGCGTGGATTTAAGATTTTAGAAAAATGCTTATGCGTCTACGTGAACGTCTACGTAGTGCAACAGAACGTTCGCGGTACAACAGACCCGGTGTGTTTCACTTTTCCGCAAGCGTGCAGAGGGGCTCCCCGTTTGTAAGCCGGGGGAAAGCGGTCTATAAAGAGGTGCTACTTTCGGGGGAAGTATTCAGTAAACTCTGGACATTGGCCGGCTCGCGCCAGAACCAAGAATCATGAGAATTTGGGTGAGCTATGGATATTCTCTACGTTTTTATTTCTAATCGATTGAAATTTACGATGATCTTACTGTCGTTTTTCCTATATATTTCAATAATTATTTATATAAATTTAAAAAATTAATTTTTTATTAATTTATCATCGCAGCACATCACATTTTTACTTGGTCTTTTGACCCTGGTAGTATGCGAGGAGAAGGAGAAGAACATCATCGATAAAAAAGATGTCGAGAATGATAATAAGGCTAACAGTGATCTTAACGAAAAACGCCAAGACAAACGTGGGCTCGGTCATTTCGAAGGTAGTTACGATGGTCATGACGGAGGTTACGGTGGTGGCGATTATGGGGGAGGTGATTACGGTGGTGGCGAAATCCATTCGTCCGGTGGAGACGGAGGTGGATACGAGGGTGGATACGAGGGTGGTTACGGAGGTGGATATGGAGGAGGTGATGATGGTGGCAAGGTCAAACAAATAACTATCGTGAAGAACGTCAAGGTTCCTTATCCGGTAGAGAAGAAGGTACACTATCCGGTCGAAAAAGAAGTACCGTATCCAGTAAAAGTACCAGTACCGCAGCCATATCCGATCGAAAAGAAGATTCCTGTACCTGTAAAGGTACTTGTGAAGGTGCCCGTTCATATACCGCAACCTTATCCAGTGGAAAAGAAGGTGCCCTATCCCGTGCACGTACCAGTTGAAAGACCAGTACCTTACAAAGTTTATGTACCACAACCGTATCCGGTCGAGAAGAAGATACCCTATCCAGTAAAGGTACCAGTGCCACAACCGTTCCCAGTTGAAAAGCCTGTACCATATACGGTAAAGGTACCGGTCCACGTATCAGCGCCCTTCCCAGTGGAAAAACCTGTACCGTATCCAGTTGAGGTACCAGTCGAGAGGCCCTATCCCGTACACATACCGAAACCGTATCCGGTACCCGTGGAAAAACATGTACCGGTACCAGTAGAAAAACCAGTGCCTTATCCTTACAAGGTTCACGTAGAAAAACCCGTGCCCTATCCGGTCGAAAAACCAGTACCTGTACACGTTAAAGTACCAGTACCTGCACCCTATCCAGTTGAAAAACCTGTACCGGTACCAGTAGACAAACCTGTGCCTTATCCCGTTAAAGTACCCGTCGAACGACCAGTACCAGTTCACGTATCTAAACCGGTCCCCGTGCCAGTAGAAAAGCCAGTACCGGTTCCTGTTAAAGTACCAGTTCCGGTACCGGTACATCATCATGAATCGTCTCATGGTTCTTACGAGGGTGATTACGGCTCTAGTTACGGTGGACATCATTTTTAAGGGCACCAATTTTTCCACATAGATAAAGTAAAATTTTTATATAATTGCTTTTTTTTTTTTTTTATTTGTTTGTTTATTCTGACGATGGCGGATCGCCGACGTACAATCGTCTTCTCGCGATAAATCTTTCAGAAGGTTTCTCTCGAGAACACGTCCAAATTCTTTTTTCAATTGGAGAAACAAAGATGCCCGATGATATTTATTCGTCGAGCCGCACTTTTTTTTATTTTCTCTTTTTTGTATCGAGAAAAGAACGCTATTGATAAGTTTGTATTCTTTTCAACAAAACAGCACTGAATTCTATTGATAGACATAACCGAAATGTCACTATTATTACTAAGGTACAATGTAACACGTTATTTGACACTGTCACATTTGATGAACACACTACGCGGAAACGTTTTTATATTACTCATAAGGATGCCTTTTGTATTATCTTTTTTACCTATATTTTTTTTTCTATTTTTAATAAAACCAAAGAGAAAATGATACTTTGTCTTTTGATGAACCACCCGTTAAGTAATCATAATTACCATCCCCGTTATATCCTTCACGCTCGATCGAGAGTAAAAGTACACAACTTTATTTGGCGTAAAGTACTTACGAGAAAAACATTTTAAAGCAAAATTCTCTAAGCTACTATTTGCCTAATTGATTTATAATCCTAATTAACGTTCGACAATTAACACGATAGAGAAAATAAAAATACGTAGATGATTTGATATAGTTAAAAGATAAAGATCTAATATCAAATTCATTTGCAGGGATAAATTTTATGTCCCGTTTTCACGATAGATCGATGTTAATGATAGACGATCAAAATTTATAACGGCATGTACACCAGATGTAAATTATTAACGTAAAGGAGAAAGGTACGTATTTATCGTAACGGTGCTATGGTGAAAACTAAGCACAAAAGAGAACATACATCTATCGAAAGTGAAATCATTTGCTTTCAAATGTTAATAGTCTTTAGTCAGGTAGCACACAGGTATATCTTAAATGTCATACCGTTTCAATGGCATAACAGTGATTACAAATAAAAATATTAACAAAACTAATAAGTATACCATACCATATGAATAATTAAAATTATATAGATAATATAATAGTATTGTTTTTTTTTTTTATAAACTTACCGAATATACGGAATGTTAGCTGGAATGTGATACTTCGCACCAGGATCGAAATCATCTTCTGATCTAAGAACAGGTGGTTTAACGCCGCTGTATTGTTCCTTCAATCTGTGCCAATGACAATTATATTCTTCTCGATTAATGTAACCACGAAAAACGTCCCATCGCCATCTGTCAACTGCTAGGCTGAACGGAAGGAGAACCAATTTTTCCATTGCCAATGAAAATAGATAATTAATATCAGCTGCGTACTCGTCTATGTATTTATTGGCTAATCCCAAAGTTTGTAGATGACGAGGTGTTGCTACGCTCAGGGCCACAGCTTCGCCTATAGCTTCGTGAAAACCTATTTTTTTTGTTTGTTTGTAAGAATACAATAGTTTCACGTTTAGATTGGTTGAGGTAGATTAGTAGTAAAACATTATTAGCCTTAACCTTACTTTCTTTCTTCGAGGTAATAAAATTAGCTTTCAATAAAATTCTAAGCACGTTATTTCCTAGTAAACAGATCTGATATAAAATATATACTGGGTGTTCCCTATTTTACAATCTTTTATTATAATTAATATATATTTTATTATAATATTATATTAATTTTATTATAATATTTTATTATAATTATATATATTAATATAAATATTATATATATTATATATATATATATAATAAATAAACGAAAGAACTACTATATTGCAAAATTTGTAAAAAGATAAAAAATAAAAAGAAACATATGTTTACATAGAATCTTTTTAATCAGATAACCCATTGAAATATGTTCCGATACGATTATTTAAGAATCCAATAAATTTGCAAATAACAATGATTTAAATATCATTGTGTAATATTTTTCTTCTCCATGCATGATTTATTACTTTTTTTTCATAAAAGTTTCGGTTGATACTTTTCCAATCGATTTCCCGTGTATCGGAAGGTAATATATTCTCCGGTAAGGGCGAATGACCGAGCGTTAGAGACGGGTGAAAGCGTGATTATACCGTAATAAAAATATTTTAACATCCAACGTCTCTTGGACGGTAGTAGACTGGTTACTACTACGAGGACGAGTCTACTAGCTAACATAAGAACTCGCGAATCTACTTCGAGCGTATCCGTTCGGCTCTCGCTTTCGCGTTATTACTCGTAAAAGAAGTTTTGTAGCGAAAGAGTCCTGGGGCTTTCCGGAAGTGAAGATAGAACGGACGGGATGGTTACGTAATCCCGTGTCGTCCATCGTGTCTTGTTCAGTTACCGTTTGACCGTTTTAATTTATTTTGGTATGCACTTCGTTATTATTTCTTTTTTTTTTTATTATTTCTATTTAAATTATATTCAATTACGATGATAATAAATAATCAAACAAAATATTTATGCAAATTCTTTTCGTAATTGAACATAAATTTATATTCTATGTAAGTTTGATTTGATATATATTTTTTTTTAACAATCTACTCAATGGATTTAAATCTTTAAATGTTACGGGCGCATATATGCGTCCAACGAAAGTAATCTGTGTTTACTTAAGATGCACATATGAGCTTATCAATTTTTTTGAACTTCCTTGGCTCGCAATTCTTTTCCTATTTTTTTTTCTTTTATTTAATTAAAATAATTAAACATTAACAGAAAATTTATTAGGCGAGCTTCGTATTCAAAGGGTTTACGATAGATTTGAATTTGATCTATCTTTGGTTTTTATATTTTTTAATATCATTTGCTAGATGGGGTTGAAAGAAAATTTGATAATTTCAATACCTGGATTAGCGCCGTCTCGAAATTCACGTGGTAGTCCACTGTATCGTAAGAAGTATTGAATGTGTGCCATCTCGTGATGCACGGTGATGAGATCCTTCATGGTAACTTTGGTACACATTTTGATCCTATAATCTAGACGATTACAGAAATCCCATGCCGAGGCTTGACAGATTAGAGAACGATCACCTGGATCGACGATTATACTTCCTGCCCAAAATTCCGGTGGCATAGCGCTCAGGTTTAATGATAAGTAAAATTCTTCACCGATTCTGAACATGTCTATCGGTGTATAACCCTGTGTTTATAATAATTTATTGTATCGTATGTTCTAGTTGAATAAAAAATATTTTCATTGTTTATAAGATAAGTTAAGTTAATTTGTGCATATTTTGCATTTACCTGAGCTTGCATTTCTTGCGTTACATCTAAATAATTTTTACCGGGATATGGAATTGTAATATCTTGAATATTAGTCCATGATTGAGCCCAAATATTTCCTACAAAATATTGCAATAATTACAAAATTTGAAAATATTCTTTTTTTAATTCGTTTATGGATGGAAATATTTAACATAATATTTTATCATGGATGGTACAAGTTTGTTTTTATAAGAGCACAACGATATTTTTTTTAAATTCATTATTAATTCAATAATAAATTTAAAAATATTAAATATAATTATATTTTAAAATATTATTTTATTAAATTAATTAATTTTTAATTTTAATAAATTATTTTATTCAAATTATTAAATATAATATAATTATATTTAATAATATTTTATTATTTTATATTTAATTATAATTATATTTAATATATAATTATATTTAATACCATGTTTACTATTATTAAATATAATCAATATAATTATACTTTAATAGTATTAAATATAATACTATTATTATATATTTTACTATAACCGAAATATTATTTTTAAATGGCATTTAAATTGATTTAAAAAAAAAAAAAAAGAAACGAAAGTCAATGACCCATCATGTTATTTTCAGTAAATGTGTTAAATAATATTTATAAATCTTTTTTATTGTCTAGTTACCTAATATGTGAGAAGGAAGTGGAGCGTGTCCGCTTATTTTTTCGGGTCCGTACAAATCTCTCAACTTTTTCCTAACATAAGCGTGAAGTTCTTCGTAAAGTGGTCTAATCGATTCCCATACGTTTTCGATATCTTGTTGAAAGTTTGATGATTCGTATGGGAACATCCAATACTGTGCAGCATCAGAGAAATCTAAATGAAAGACGATCGTTATTGTTTTAATCATTTTAAAATATTATTATTTTCTTTTTCTTTTTTTAATTATTTTTTTTCAAAAAAATTTTTACTATTCAATCTGGCTGCTTCGTTGTTCAACGTCACAAGTTGTTGATAAAGATCTTTCATAGGTGCACCGCTACGTCGTCTCCATTCCGTCCACACGTATTGCAATTCGTCCCAATTTCGACTTTTTCCCATTATCCCAGCAATATCTACGAAACAAATGATTACAAATATAACAATACAATTAAAATTGTATTTTGTTTCATACGTGCAACTCAGTTCCTGTTGCAAATTTCTCGTTGTCATGAGTTTTCACTTTATAATAGCGATTACGTTTGGATCTTTCGCTTTCACGACCATAGATCAGTCTATTTGTTTTATTATTTTCACGATCACTAATCCAAGCTCAACGAGAAATCATTATTTACCGATATTTTCATCATTTCTATAATCCGATTTAAATCTAATCACGTTTAATCGTTTATAAATTTAATTAATGTTTGTACAAAATCTTACAAACCAAATAGATCGTTCTTTTGGATGTATTATGTAAAGGTAAATGATGAAAATAGAAAGATAACACTGAAGGTATATCATTAATTAACACACTTATATATAGTTATAGAAAAAACAAATAAAAAAACAAATAAATGGAAAGTATTTTAAATATTACCTGGATATAAACGTAGTCCGCAATTAAAGGGATCGTTGTAAGCGCAAATACTTGCTCCATTGTAAATTGCAAGCATATCATTGATTATTCGATTATACTGCAAAAAAAAAAAGAAAACGAGAATATAATAAAGTATTATATATTACATTAAAAAATTATATTATTAAAAAAATAATATTATAAATATAATTATATAATTATATTTAATATAATAATATTCTATTTTAATTAATAATATTTATTAGTTATTTTAATAGAATTTGAATAATTAAATTTTATTTTATATATTTTTTTAATATAATTTTATTTATTTTATTTTATTTTATAATTTATTTTAATATAATAATATTTTTTATATATATAATTATATAATATAATAATATATATATATATATTATATTTCCTATGAGATAAATGAAAGTACATTAAACTTACTCTATCTAATTGATCCAAAGGTAGAGCTGATGGCCCAACCACGGAAAGGTACCTTAAACGACGTCTTATTATTGGATCCCTTATATTGTTAATATCAATTCTCGATATCAATTGCCATGCCTGATTTTGAAAATCAGAGTACAGTTGTTGAGCTTCGAGCTGAGAAAAGAAAAGTCAATTGATAATAAACATAATTTAAATGTTTAATATAATATATTAAACGATTTCTCTTTTTTTTTGTTTTTAATTTATTTATTTCTATTTATTGTCTATATTCATATTTTATAAAATATTACGAATAATATGAATTTTATAAATAATGATGGGGCAATATCAAAAAAGTATTATTCGACGATTTATTTGCTAAAAGTCGAGATTTATTATTATAACTTCGATTTCACTCTCGCATTGAACATAATCGTCTCTTGCAATTTTATAATGTATTCACTATAATCTATTCATCTTGCTTTTTCTTTCACGTACTATCATACGTCATATTATAACTAACGTGAGAAAACTGTTCCGTATTCTTAATTCGTTCGATGATCGTTACTCACGCATAACCGAGTTGCTTGTCGAGAAATTCTAGTTTACCGTTAGAAAGATAATAGCCTTATCGTTGCACCTCTTAGGAAATTCAGAACGTTAAGGGGAAACCTAAGATTGTTGTTGTAAGCAATACGAAACCAAAAAGGAGACATTTTCGAGATAAATAATGTTTACAAGAATGTGCGAAAAACTATCAAGAATTTTGTGTTTTTTTGTTTTTCTCGTGTGAAAAAAGTATTGTCAAATTTGTTCGATACTAAATTTTATCGATGTTATGTATACTTTGGTATTTACATAAAAGAGAGAAAAAAAACAATAGTCTTATATAACTTTATACGAAACATAATGAAACAATTAAGAAATTAGTTGATAGAATCAATTTTCAATCTCATTGAAAAAAACGTATAATTGAAAGAATCAAATGATTAAAAATATGATTACAATTGAGGAAATGAATTTGTAAAACATATGATAAAATTATGTTTAATTAATAATGCAATTTAAAGATTAATGACTTTCAATTTAGATAGTAATTGATTTCTACGACAAGTGCATCTATTTATGGTACATTTAGATAAATTTGTAGTCATATTTTCTGAAATCCTATTTAGTACCAAGAGTTTATTTCATTAGGGAAATTTTCTTTAACGATACTTTAAAAATACAGAGGCCGTTAATATGTACATTACCTAGGTAAAATGAACAAATCAGTTAATCTGCATAAAATTAACTGGGTAATATGCACATTAAAGGTTTTCAATCACCTTATTCGGTAACAAATATAAAAGAACATAATAAAAAAAAAGAAATTATAAGACAGACTCGTTGCAAAAGTTAATAATGTTTCCCTTTTCTTTTTTTTTTCTAATTATAAGTACTAATGTATAAAAAGAGGTAAACAATTATCGTAATTTTAAAAACCTTCACTTTAGTTAAGTCAGAGTCGCGAGGTGAGGATTTCACGTCGAAAAGGACCGGACGATTCTTGATATACGAGAGAAAGAGAGAGGAAAAATAGAAAAAAAGAAAAAGATTACTTGATTGCACAATGCACAATCGTTGCGGACCCGGTTACAATGGCAACACATGAGAACATTTCCCGCGGAGGCGTTCGGCCTTTCTTGTACAATGCTAGTCCGGTTGTCGTGTCATGAAAATCCATCGTACACGAAATTACGATTTACTATGGAGTATTAAGGAATACGTATATAAGACGTGACACGCGGCCGAGCTTTTCGAAGGATTAGGAACAAGAAAGACAGAGATTGGGAGAGAAAGAGAGAGAGAGAGTGAGAGAAGAGGTCGAGGTCTTTTCGACGAAGATACGACCAGATGGTTTATTTTCCACGATACTTTAGAAACACGTCGAAATTTACTTTTTTCTTTTCTTTTTTTTTCTTTTCTCTCTATCTTCCTCACTTACAATTAATTGTTTCAAGATGGTTAATTAAAATAACACGAATTGGTATTCTAGCACAATATTGTTTCATTCACAATTTTTCTATAATCAAATATTTTGATTATTTTATAAAAAAGGTTAATTAATAATAATCTAATTAAACTATTAGATATGATTTAAGACAATCAAATATATATTTAATTATATATTATATATATTTTAATTATATATATATATATGTTTTTATTTGTATTATTTAAATATAAAATGTAAAAATATTTGTTCTTGAATTAATATTTGTTGGGTTATGTATAATTTGGAAAACACTGTGCTTGCTTATGATTTATGACAGTATGTTTTTTTTATCTCTCTTTTTCTTTCTCTCGCTTTTATTCCCTACAAGAAGTACTTAGGTGTTAAAAGTGATTGCAATGTACGTATGAGTGGCACGTGCCAGTCCCGAAATTTGTTATCGTATTATTTCGGAATAGTTTATAACGCATGCGGGTGACTGCTAGTATGTAGGACGACAAAGACACGAATATTTTGGATGAAACCCAAACGGTGTTCGAGGGGTAGAAAATGTCTACGTTGATAATAATTCAATCAAATGTAAAATACACGCGAACAAGAATAAAAAAAAAAAAACAAAGCAAAAAATACTAGTGTCATTTGAATCTCACCGCTTGTAATTGTGAATATTCGTTGACATTGGTCTCGTAACCCCATTGGGCAGCTACATTTGCACTGCATCGTTCAGCACCTAGAAAATCCAATCTCGCTAAAATGTTTTGGTAGTCCAACTCGTTTGAAGGAAGTTGTCCTGCATATCCGTTGCCATTTGATTCGCGCAGACCAGGTAGATCCAATTGTGCGTTTACAAAAGACAACAAAAATAGAAGCAACGTTTTCGACGGTATCTGAAAAAATGAAAGCAACTAATGTTAAAAAGTTCGTTTGTCGATTAAATGAAAAAATCCTGTCGAGAAAACAACTGATAGAACGGTAATAGAATCGAGGATAATAATAATAATAATAATAATAATAATAATAATAATTAAAGGAAGAATCGATTCTATATTTTCGTAGAAGGTGACAAACCTAAGTGTATTAAAAACAATTGTAAAATTGATCTTTTTCGTTCGGCCTTGGCTTACAAAAAGGGTTGATCACAAGTGGAAACGTTTTTCCGGTATTCTCGTTTTCTATCTTTGAAGAATCTAAGAAAGAATATTCAGAGACCACGACAACTTAAATTATTACAATTGCTGCATTATTTTAAATCACTTTGTTACGTCGCGAACAAGGCGTTTACGTGCAATTCATCTGTTGACTTCACGGTCACGTGTTACGTCTTTACGTTACGTATTTCCTTTTCACCATGAAACACGATAATTTTTTATATTCATAGGTATACAAGATCATATGAGAGATTGGATTAAAAATTTATTGGCCTTGTATATGATAATAATTAAATAATTATTCATGATACGAAAGTGTTATTACATATATATGTATTCGTAACCAAAGCTAAAAATACATTACATATTAGAAAATAATAGGACAATAAAAAATAAATTATTTTTAGAATTTTTCGACTAAATTAAATAAGTTACATTCGTTGATGCATTATGCAATTATTAGATCGCAGCATAATTACAAAAAAAAAACATTTATTTACTAAAATTAATATTGATTAACAATTATTCGTATAAGAGAACAAATCAGAAAGAAATTCGAAAAAAAAAACAATAATATACAATTACCTTTCTAAAATTCAAATGAATATATAAACGAAATAGAACTTACAAAAGTAATGATCCTTGACCATGATAAAAGTTCCATTATATCGATACTAGATATCCCAAATTGAACGTTCACAGGTGTGAATATTCATTCGATATTTGAATTTTGAATATTACAAATTTTCTCGTCACCTTCTCGACACGTTCTCTCGTATCAGAAAGACTATGCAAGACGAACTAACGTTAACGGCACGTTTCGTCAAGTCGTCACTAAAAGCCTCGTGTCTGCCGGCAAATGTACATTTATTCCTTCGAGGCAGGTTAGAATACGACCACCAGGAGGTCATCCGTGGTAAGGAAAGTGGGGAGAAGGCGTATTACGCATACCTTACAAGATCTACACAGTTTTTTCTTTTTTTTTGTTCCGTCCTTGTTTGCGTGTTTTACGAACATTGAATGAAGAAAATGATTGAGGGAGGGAGGTTTTTAAAAGTAGGGTTTGTTTTAGAAGGAAACGACTAAGAATCGAGGATGAGACAAAAAAAAAGAAGAAGAAAAGGGCTAGCTAGCTATCTATCTAGCTAGCTAGCTAGAACTAGCTAGTTTATTGCGACAGCGTCAAGTTCTCACGTTGACAACGGCCGTTCGACTGACACCACATTGAATGACTACCATTGTTTACGATAGCACGCGCCTTACTGTCGAACAACATTTTTTCCAAGCACATCATGCTAATATGAAATTCGAAGATCTCTTGGTAAATAAGTATTGATAAATAATACGTTTCGTGGTTGACCTCTTTTGGTTTGTTTTGTTCATATTTTTACTTTGTATTACGAGGATAGAAATCTTTGTAGGTTTACTCGTTGGATCTAGTCATTTGTATCTGTGTTGTTAAAAAATCATTTATAAATTTTTGTTATATGAAAACTTGCTATATGTCATAAGATTTTATTATAAAATAGGTATATATGGTATTGATCACGTTTTCCCAGGACAATCATCGTTCTGCTCAGTTAATCTAATACGATATCAAGGTGAGTTCATACGAGAAAGTATAGACGAGGTTAAATTTTCTCGTATGAAATAATCGATGATACTAGCGTATGATCGGATTTCCCTTGTTTCCTATTTATTTCAAAATGATGATGGTCGAAACGTTCAGTTTAGTTTTTTCAAATAATATTATATTCATTTTTAATTATCCGTTGATTCATCCGATTATATCACTCGTTGACGAACTCTCATCATAAAAAAAGGAAGAAGAAGCAAAAGAAAAAAAAAGGGAAATGAATGAAACATCAATAAAGTTAAATCCTTGCGAATTATCTCGCCGTTGATGTCTTTCAACTGTAATTTTATGCATTGACGGATGATTCATCCGTTCACATGATCGTAACATCTAATTACGTGTGATTTTATCTTTTCGCATTGATCTAGCACGAATAGTGCTAGTAAATTAGACTTGTAACATGTCGAATCTTTTTTTTCGCTATTTAATCGATATTATATTTATCAAGGTTTATCTTCGACAATGATTATTTCGACATTTGTTGTTGTTGTTTTATTTTACAAATATCTCGTACAATAAATCAAGACGAATGATAATACGACTTGGGAGAACAATCAAATTATGTGACTGATCTACGACTCATCGTAAAATGCAAAGTATAAACAACCGCGCCCATCGGCAAACCATTTACAAAGATTGTCTCACGATCATTTGGAATGTCCTATCTATATACTTCATTCAAAGAATCATCTAGGCTTGTTTAAAAGAACCTTGAAAGTTTCAACTTATTTTAATTTTTTTCACATACGATATATTTTTCTATAAACTAACATGTGTATACGTGCATGTGTTACGTTAAAGTTAAAAAAAAAGATATATGAAAGATACTTTGATCGTACGATATTTCATTTATAATAATGAGAATGATTTTGTTATACGTGAACATACTCAAGAATAATAATTGCGTTTAAACGTCGTAAGAACGTTGGTTATTTCGGTAAGACGTAGTCTTTGTAAATAGTATGACCGTGAAATTAAATTAGCAAATTACAGAAAGAAATAGTCAAGAAACAGAAAGAAAGAGAGAGAGAGAGAGAGAGAGAGAGAGAGAAAGATCGTGTAATTTTCGTGTGTTTTATTCGTCTAGATGATAAATGTTTTTTCTCTTTTTTTTTTGTTTCTTTATATATCTTTTTGTTTGTAAATGTTGTATAATCGTGAAAAACGAGTAACGATTAAGAAAGTAATGGATACTCGAAATGTCTCCACACCAGTTGAAAAGCATAGTCCTCGTTCTCGTGCCGGTTGAGCTTCGACAATGGTTAATCTCATTGGAAGATAACGCGCTCCCACCGGTACCGGTCGCACGTACCGGCCGCGATTCTGAGTTCAAGTACGCTAGAATCTTCACCACCACTACCACCACAACTATCACCGATTACACGATGTGCAACAAGGTGTGTTTATTACTGTCATAATTTTTTTTTTTATTTCCAACGAATACCTCGTGTTTTTTATACTTTTTCTTCAATCGTTTTCATAATATTTCTTTTACGATAAACACACACACACATACGTGTATATATAAGAAAAATTGTTATAATTCTATTCTTCGGACTTTTTCAAAATGTTACTTTATTATCGAATTGTTCTATTATCAATTAATATCGAATTATATTTTACTTGACAAAATATTAAAAAAATAAAAAAGAATTATTTTTGTTTCCTTTTGTAATTTCCATTAAATTGGTTTGTTCTTATCTTTTCTTTTTTTTTTTTTAATTATAAATTTTATTTTTATCATTACCTTTTTATACACGAGACAAAATTGTCGAATTTTGTGTTCCTTTGTTCTGATTGTGTTCTTTTAAATTAATAAATTTGTAATTTTTATCGACACTTCAGTTCGATTCAATTTAACTTTTATATTGTTAGTTTTCTTTCTATCTTATTTTTATTCTATTCTTCTTATTAAAGATTTTCTTATGCTTGTACGCACACGAGTATTCACAGCATTTACCATTAAGTAAGTCGCTTGTTTGTATCCCGATGAAAACGTGAGAAAATATTTAATGTAAGCATATTACCCGTATTACGCGATCTGACTAGAAGAATAATAAGAAGAGAGCGTGAATATTTACAAGGACAATAGATCGATCGATGAGATCGATTCTCGATTTTCAAGGTTGCGAATATATGCATTCTAGTTCGAAGATCATCGTTTAATAAAAGAAATTATATCAATTTAAAAAAGAAAGCAGAAAATTCGAGCACGATTTAAATTTTATTTGGGAGGAGTATGTATGTATATGTGTTACCAAGAAAGACCGAGATTGGATGTCAAAATTAATGCATGATGAGTTGGTGTATGTACAAAATAATAATTAATAAGAATAAACTCAAATATTTGGTATGTGTTGACATTTCACTACGTGAATCTTAACATTCTCCAATTTCAATTTTTCACGATAACATATATGTATACGTATATATCATCATATGTATATATGAATGATTACAATGATTTCTTAGGCAAAATTACAACGGCAGGAAATAAAGTACGTCGCCTGTTTGTATGTTAGATGTCCTTCGAGATAATATTCTTCAACAAAATTCTAGAAAAAAACAAAACATATTATATTGTTCTTCTTCATTCAAGGATTTACGTTATTTATTGGGTCAAGTAGAAATTGTTGAAAAAGAATTAAATTTTATAATACACGCGTGAATACTTTATACAAATTATTTTATCAATTTGTATTATAATTAGTCAATTAGATTAGTTTAGAGATCAAGATTTATTAATTATTAACAAGTATTGTGTTAGATATTCAGAATTACAGAAAATTTTCAATTTATATATTTTTTTCTACACTAGTTATATTTTTATTCGACTTCTTTCTATATGTTAGATATTTTCAACTAAATAGTGAAATAAATAATGGGAGAAAAAAATTGGGATGAAAGAGGAAAACGGGGTGGGGAGGGGCAGACGTTGGTCCAAACTCTTATACCTGGGTCTACATTCAATGATACTCACCTTCACTGTTCACTTTTAGTTTATATAAAGTCTTTACCAGATTTTTTTGCGTCACTTTCACATTTTTCTCCTAATCTTTTTGTTTCTTACATCCTCCCACATTATTTTCTAGAAAATGTTTTGTCATAATACGTATACATATAGGATTGGATTAGAGTTCTGTCAGATTTTTTTTTTTTGAGTCTACTGATTCATGTATTAGTATAGATAATGTTGGGTCAAACAAAATATTCGTGACAAATTACTTTACCAAGGTAATAATGTGTCATAGGATGATTTCGAAAGTTGCAAAAGAGATTTGTATAGATTTATCGTTTACCATTTATGTTCTCTCTTGTCATTTGCTAAGAGAAATGAAACTTGATTTTTTAAACGAACTTAAGTATGTTTATTATGTATAGATATATATTGTACAGTATATACATACAAATTCTTTTGTTATTTTAAAAACTTTCTATATTATACATAATATAATACACGATGTTAAGTAAAAAGCAACGTAAACGAATATACGCATCGATACATATATCCCATGTAACATAGAACGTAATTATTTTAATAATAAGAAAATATCAAACTTTTAGATGACGTAAGCAAGACTTATAAATATAATTAAAAGTATTTAAATAATACATCGAATTCTTTAAATCGAATACATGCTTTTTCAATTTAAATCTAACGTAATACTTTTCTTACTGATTATGTAACGAGGAACGAGAGATTACGTTGTCTGCCAACTTTGAAACACCAGACCTATTAAGTAACGAGAATTGCTTTCTTTTTCTATCTAAACTATTTTCTTTTCTTTTTTTTATTTCATCAGTTCCACGTACTTGCACGTTGAATAACTTTTAAAAAGATCGAATCTTGTTTTTGTCTGGCAATTACGTGTCGTAGATGTCAAGGCTAGTCTTGAAAAACAAGCTCATTATAAACGAGAGCTTCTTTCTTTCCTCGAATTGTCCTTAATTGTAACAGGAGAGAAGATAACTTACTCTTTGGTAGAAGTAATTAACTACGATATTATGAATGTACTTGTTAAAAACTCTACTTGACGAGACAAAAGAACTGACAAGTTGGGATCGTTGCGATTTTAATGAGATTATAATTGCATGTACTTAATAATTTCAAATGTAAGAGTGTAAGTTGTGTACTAGATAGATCGTAATTATTGTAAAAACTAATTTTCGTGCAAGTCATTTAAAAAGACACACCGGAAATCGCCTCGTCAATTATTATCTACACGTATATGTAAAGTTATTTGTGATTCATGATATTTATTAGTCATACATTGCGTATTATAATATTTCTATAATGTTTGTAATATCATTTTTCGTTTATGGAAATTGATTTAATTTAATATACAATCCTATTTGTTCATAATTAATATTAAAATATTTGTTATAAGTAATTGTAATTAATAAAATAAAAATTTGTTTATTATCTATGTTAGAAAAATTTCTACAATCAGGATTGCATTTATTCCATAAGAAATGTTATACCAAAGAATATAGAAGATGGCAAGACCACTTTTCGAGTAAAAAAATCATCTTTGCATCGGGATCCCAGAATACAGTATTTTATCTGCTATCGCTTA